TGACTGGATTGTCCATAGATCACAATCTCCCTATTTGTCTGCAGATTCTCCTATTTGAGTGAAATAGGGAAATGCATTTTTTTTAAAAAAAGTTATTTCCAATTCTAGGGACAGTGGTTCTGCATTTAGCTGGCATTTCCTGCCTGTGGCAAAGGAATTGGCTTTTGCCCTTTACAGCAAAGGAAATGCAGTTCCTTTTCCAGTTTTCCTTTCCTTACTGAGGTCATATTCTTAATTTAGTCACACTATTCAGACATCCACAAAGGTGATATCTTGTAAGTGGGAGCTTTAAGAAACCCAAAACATTTGCCTCCCTTTTATGAAGCATTTCCAGATCTCCAGCCATAATCACCAAAGATAAATATGACTCATCTTTTAAAAAGATATCAGTGAAAGATTCATGGTGAGTGCTTGTGTGTTAAAATAAAACAGTCTCCCTGCAAATTACATAAACGGAACAGAACGTTGGAATGACTTTTTCAACTTTTCTTTAATAATATTTCCTCAGTTGTTTATATTATTTTCATCCAAGGATTCAGAAAGATTTTGTTGAATTGAATCCAGACTTAGAGACTGCAATCCTAACTATGTCTACTCAGAAGTAAATCCTAGTGAATTCAATTTGGCTTAGTCCTGGGAAAATGGGAATAAGACTGCTGTCATTGTCATACTTGGAGTACGACAGTAAATGTGCCTCCCGAGGTGGAAGACTGTCTATATTTCACTTCCAAAGTTGTATGAGCTTTTATCTGGTCAGCTGCCTTTGTTGTACAAAGTGACTGACTGGGATTTTGTACAGGCGACTCTCATTTCACGTTGGGGTTACATTTCCAAGATTGTGTCTAAAGCCAAAATTGTGTATAATCAAAACCTATTGGGTTCAATAGTGGGTGGGATTGCCAAAGTCTTTTCCTGGACACTCATCCCCTTTCTGTCCCCTTTTTAGTTTTTTTGTCAGGCACATAAAGCTGAATGTGCATGTTAAATGCACATAAGTATGCAAGTCTACTCAGAAGCATGTTGTATGGAATTCAGTGGAACTTACTTGCAGGTGTTTAATATGACTGCAGCGTTAAACATTAAAAATTTCAGCCTTTCACTTCTCCTTAGTTGAGATTCAATGTACAGTTATAGTTAATATCCCCCAGTTTAAACAAGTTGCTTAAACCTTAATGCACAGTCTTTAATCATCAGCATTTGTGTCAGTGTTCAGTTTTTTGTGGTGCAGTCATAACATCACAGCAGAGCCTTTATAACATCATGCCTCATGCTGGGGCAGAGGTTGATGACCCCCTTCTCAGCAAGTTTGTTGCTGCAACAAGTGTTGGAGTTGGGTTGTATTATTAGCTCATTGCATTTTCATTCTAGCGGAGGCCCTCAGAATAAGGCGTATTGTTCTTTCATAAGCGCTAGGCACAAGTCCCTCCTATTTTTTAAGTGAACAATTTCTAACAAACTGATTTTATCGCATGCTGTGGCCTATAGCAATTAGTCAGAGGCCAGTTGTCTGACAAAAACATGGTTGTGCTTATTGCGCTAACAATTTTAAATAAAAGTCTTTTATTTATGTTTAAATATGGTTTCTTTTCAATACTCCACTATCCTTGTGTTGTAGGATTGAACAAAGTTATTTTAAACTGCTTTATAGTTTGTATTTCAGCATCACCATAGCTGCTTGCATTCATGTCCAATTTCCTTTTGTGCTCACTTTTTGGAGGACAAAGCTGTATGGTGTCTTGACGCTGTGCCTTTTATGGTGATTTATTAACTGTGTCAGAATAGATGCTGGGAATTCTGGGGAAGCCGTCTTGTATATTGTGACAGTTGATATTGATTATGACAGTTCCTGGACTCCAGTGGTTTCTCACACAGTAATGATATTTTGTCTTCTTGTTATACATACCATGTGATATACATCATTGTGCTTTTCTTAAGGGGGAAAAAAGCTCTTTGTTCAGTACCTTTTCTTCACTGTAGTTATGAGAGAGGAACTATAATAATACATTGTGCTGCCAGGAGGCAAAACACGCAAACCACCTGTTGCATAGGAACCGGGAACCAGAAACCAACTTGAGGCTTATATCTAGATGGCAGTTATTGCAAAGTAAGCCTGAATGATTAGTTAGTGTTGTTTGTGTTCATTTACTGTAATAAGTTGCATCCTGTATTTCTATTGTGCTGAAATCCACACTCTGCCCATGCACTGAATCTACATTTATTGTTAAAAGCAACAAGAGTTTTGCTGTTTTCTTAAATGATATCTGAACTGTACCTTTTAAGTGCAATTCACATGCCATGGAATTCAGCAAGAAAATCCATAGTTTTTTCCTAGTGGTTCTGGGTTACCTATATTATTAGCAGTCATTTTCCTGTTTCAGAGTTTTAAAGATGGTGCATTGGTTCCCTTGCTTGAAAGGCAAGTCAGAGATAGCCGGGGAATTATTTACTCCTTATTTCTTTGTGGTTCAAGCACATCCCTAACTCCTTATTACTGAAATCAATGGGACTTAGAAATGGTTACATTTATAGGCATCATCTGTTGATCTATTCTCATGTCCGAATTCTGCTTTTGGAATTTTTGGCAACTGCCTTTGGGCGAGGGGGGGATATTTAGTCTAACCAAGGTTTCTCACAGTTAAAGCCAGCCCCATTTGCAGAATTAGTTACAGCGGTGCAATTTTTACTTTGGTTGAAGCACACTATGGGTTAAATAGCTAATTAACCCAAATATGTTATGTTATGAGTACAGTTTCGTTGACCAATATAGGAGGAGAATATGGTGGGGTGCAGGGGTAGGAAGTTGCTTCCACTAATGAGCTCTTCAGGAGAAGAGACTTGGCTTTTCTCCTTTCCCCCTTAAGACTTATCCAAATGCTCACCAATCTCTTCACATCAAGATAAAGACAATGCTAATTGCAATGAGACATCTACCTTTTAAATAAAGTTGGGGTTGTGGGTGTTCAGACTATGAGTGAAAGCATGCAGGCAACTTGATGAATGGCACCAAGTCTTTGATGCCCCTGCTCATTGCAATATACCGCTGCTACTGAATACTTTTAAGTATTCCAGCTATGCATCTGCTTGATAATCAGGTTTCAGAATGATTGATGTTAAAAGATGCAAAAGACACTACTGGTTAACCTGACAAGCCTGTTTTAGGAACTTCTGTCTAGGCTGATCACTAGTGACTGAAAATGTTTAATGCTGGTGTGGTTAATGCTGGTGTGGTTAATTCAGATCCACAGTCCTTCCTAACTTAAATGGTTCAGCTTAAAAAGTTTTTTAAAATTTTGCAACAAAACTGACATAGATAAACTGCATCATAGCATTAAAGGCAAGTAGATGGATTGTTTTACTCAGGTTTGTAGGTAATTTTAATATAGTTACTATATTTTTATATGAACAATACACAGTTAACAGATTAGAGTTGATCACTCAGGCTGCAGTCCTCATTGCGTTGAACTCTGTGAGTACTTCTGAGATACGCACTAGAAACACATGAGATTGTTTTTTCTGTTGATTAATCTGTGAAACTTTCACTACCATTTTCAGTCATGGCCTTCACCTACTGCTTCTCTAATTCAAAATTGTAAAGGTATTAGATAAGTGAGCAAAGAGTTTATTATGATGAGGAGCACATTTATTTTATTTATTAATGGGGATAACTTATTTCCTACCAATCCCCTATAAAACAGCACTCAAGGTGGTTAAGAACATTCACAGAAAATGCAATAATATAAATAATAGACTATTAAAGTAATACTTAGCAGCAAGTCAATTAAAAACATTGGGACTTAAGATGAAACAAGTCATCCTTAGGTTTTTGCTGCGGATAGATTAGAGATAACAGATGGAGAACAAACCAAAATAATTTTCTATGGGCATTAGAGATGAAATTCCTCTTTACTTGATGTATTTCAGTTTTCTGCTTTATTTAACTATCTTGGCCGTATAGCTTGCACAAGTAAATCTCAGAAAATTCACTGCAGTCATGTAGGGTAGAAAAATTTTCGACCACCATATTTTTTCATGGGTTTTTCCCAGTTTCTTTTCTTTAAACCCTTTAAAATATGATTTTATTCTATAGAAAATGTTTATTTTCAAAAATTCATTGTTGCATAAAATTATTGAATGGATACAATGCTAGATTTGCAATTTCAAAGTTGTAATAAACTTAAGAAGCATATGTTTATATACACAAGCACGCATACACAAATATTTAGTTTATTTATTTGTACATAGGATGTGGTAACTGCGTATGCTTTATCAGATCCCATTACATTTGGAGCCCTGGAAAAGTTCCTGGTTCATAATTTTCTGGCAAGGTGAAAGGGAATAAGATTGACCTCCAAAATCAAAAGGTTTAACGTTATTGTTTTATTTATTTCCTGGATTTTGAGACTATCTACATTTGTACTTTAGATTCGGATATATGAGGATTGTGGTGGAACTGGTGAATTTTTCTTGGTTGGTAGAATGAGAGTTAGATTGTATTTTTGCTTATGGAGCTCCTGGAATCCCTCCTGACAAAGTCTACTTTTAGTTTTAGCTCCTTGAATTTGAGCCTCCTGCTTGAGTGGATAATGTGGGTGTTGTGTAGAAAGCGAGAACTCCATAGTGTGTATTGTAAGCTGTCAGCTACTGATCTGAAATGCATAAAGTTCCATTCTAAATAACTTCATTGATCCTACTCATTTCCGTGCTGTCAGGGCTCATTTTGACCTCACAGTTATCAGTGGGCCAGGTCCTCCTGGCTGCTGCCATTTGTGGAGTCTTTACAGCACTGAACTACCACTGGCCATTTGAGATGTTGGCTGGCATACTCTTTACTGCTCTTGTGCATGATATGAATCAGCACCCCATATTTGATGGTGCCTGCATGTGTAAGCACTTGGGAATGTTTCTGGAAACACCTCTGATTCTTCTCTCTTTCCTCCATAGATGGCATTCACAGTGTTACAGCGCTTTGCACCTTACGGGTGACGATCATTACTGATGACATGCTGACCAACAGTATCACAGTACGACTGGAAAACATGTCCCAAGAGAAGTTTCTCTCACCACTGCTTGCTCTCTTTGTGGAAGGTGTGGCTACTGTGCTGTCGACAACCAAAGAGGGCATTTTTGTTTTCAATATTCAAAACGACACAGATGTCAGCTCCAATATTCTGAATGTGACCTTTTCTGCTTTGCTTCCTGGTGGCATTCGGAACAAGTTCTTCCCCTCAGAGGACCTTCAGGAGCAGATATACCTCAACAGGACACTCCTAACATTGATATCTACCCAGCGGGTATTGCCTTTTGATGACAACATTTGTCTGCGGGAGCCTTGTGAAAACTACATGAAGTGTGTGTCCGTACTTAAATTTGACAGCTCTGCTCCATTTATCAGCTCAAACACTGTCCTGTTCCGACCCATACACCCCATCAATGGACTGAGGTGTCGGTGTCCCCCTGGGTTTACAGGTGACTACTGTGAAACGGAAATTGACTTGTGCTACTCTAACCCTTGTGGAAACAATGGCCTTTGCCGAAGCCGAGAAGGAGGCTACACTTGTGAATGTTATGAAGACTACACGGGTATGTTCTTACTTTTGTGAAATAAGCATTGCATTATGCATGTGTTATGTGTTAAGAAAGGCCAACCTTCTAGCTTCTCGGTAAATCAAAATACCAAAAAGAAGCCAAAGCATAAGGCCAAATTTAAACCTAACTATAAATAAACAGGAGCAGGGGGAAGACCCAGAGCATGCTTTGCATGCACAAGGTCCAGTGTTCAGTCCCTCGCATCCCCAGTTAACTAAGATTCTTTAACTGGACTGTTGTCTAAGTAGAATCAGGGGTATAGGCTACGGAGGGCCAGTGCAGTAAATTAAGGCAATATAAATCCCACCTCACAGTTGTTTCAATTGTTATCTTTCCTCTGAACAACTGAGATGGCTGTGGTGTGATAGAAGCTGGTGAATGGTGCAGACCAAAGAACTGTCATAAACTATGTACAGAAAAGATGGCAAAATGCACAGAGATCAAAGCCGAGGTTATCAGGGTTAATTCTCACACACCCTACACATGTGGAATGTTTCTGTGTCTGGACAACAGGGCTTCTGGCACTTCCCAACAGAACCTGCTATAGAGCACCAGCTCAACTCTGAAGAGATGAGGAAACGCTTGCATACAATCTGGATTTGCTAGAACAGTTCAGTTATATTGAATCATGTAGTTTTGGGGTCAGTTGTGAAGATTTATATACACAGAGAAGAAACAAACAGTGGAACACAAAATTGTTCCTCCTTTAAACACCTTCCGCTCCTATTGGGAACAATAGGAGGAAAGGGAAAGACAGCTATAGATGCACTCAGATGCATGTCTAAATTGATTCTTTCTGGGCACTAGGAAGGCTTAGGATCCTTTGAATCCTATCCCTTCCACACTACTTGGCTTTTCCTGCGTAGAAGCTGCAATGTTAGTTGGGCCAGGGCTTTAGAGAAGCTGATGGTATCAAAGAGGTGAGCTCTGACATCAGGTCTGTCTCTGACAATGCGGGGTGGGGGATAGATCTAGTCTGCTCCATGGCCCCTGCAGTTCCCTCTCAGGGGCCATTGGATTGTACATTTATATGCACTGATGAACCCAAGTGGCCATGGTTTCTGGGTGTGTGCTCACTATGTGTTTTAGTTGGAGTGAGTTCACTGTGTGAACATGCATCTTCACTTTTGCATCTTCATGTCACTATGCACTAGCATAAACACTGCAAATGCTCCATGTAAGTCATGAGTGTGCCCTCAGATGCAGATAATAGAAGATAAATGGATTTAGTGTGAGGCATATTCACATTTCCCCTGAGAATGGTTGTTGCCTATAAAATAGGAATGAGGAACCTGTTCTCATGCAGACATCATTGGACTTGAACTCCCATAGTTCCAGCCAGCATAGTAAATGGTTAGGAATTATGGAATTGGAGACCAACAACAGTTAATAAGAGTGCCATGGGTTCCACTACTATGCTCAAAAACAGACGGTTGATACTCCTTTCCTTAACTACAATTTATCTCTCATTTCTTAAATTCTTTATCTACCTTGACAAGACACTCTGGATCATAGTTCTCAAACTTGTTTGGAGCTATAGCTGCATGTGAGGCCACAGAATCTGCATATTTGCCAGAAGAATGGCCGCAGCACAGCTATTGACCATGTAAATTGATAAAAAGGAATCAACTGTGCTTTTTACGGCTGGAACAAAAATCATCCCCAATGGTGGCTGCCCTGGTGCATACAGGCAAAAATGTGGTGTGGGTATTCACTTTTGCTTGACTGAAAGTTGAGGAATGTAGGGAATTTGTAGTGCCAGTGCACACTGGAACCTTCTGATGCTGTCTTTTTGAAAATCTTATCCTAGACTTAAAAGGCTGTTGGAGTGGTAATCCTCAAGGAAATGCAGTATACTCTGGAAGCTCTCAAAATCCACTTAACCCTATGCTTGGAAAAATAATTACAAGAAAATAGCACAAAATCTTTCATCTGTTTGCTTAGATTATATTAGAGATATACCCCAAACACCTTGATTTCCTCCAAAAGGCAATTACATCCCAATGAAGAGGCTTCTTTTCCCCTCCCATTCTCATTTCTCCCACAATACTTTGAAGCTTTTCATTTGTTTAGATGTAATTTATACATGATGAAAGTTTCTCTGTCTTCAGGAGTCTTCTGTTTCAAATAGTCAGCTACACAGAGCTTTTATGAGCTATTTTTGAAATGGAAATACCCACCAATTATAATTACCTGGGACAGACTGTACTTCCTGTGATGCAGGGAGGTGAGTGATAAGGAGACATAATATTTGTGGGTTTAAATCAGATATGGAGCAACTTAATTTCATTTGGCCAAAAACGTACATTCACTTGCTTGAATACCTGCCTACAACAATCTCATACTATGAAGATGCTTGTCTTAAGGAAGAAACACAACATGTCATAGACTAGAGAATATAAAGTAGATTCCCAAGCGTCCCGTTCCCCCCATCTTGTATGTAGGAAGCATATGTCTTGGACATAAAGCAGCAAGAGAACAGATTTTATGTTCACATTTTGTAAAATCACTTATCTAGTACTAAAATCAGCATGTCAGTCCAAGAGTTAGGGTTTCCAGCAGTAATGTGGGCAGAAAATTTTCCAGCTTCTGATTTTCCCATTGATTTTTCCCCTTTTCTTAACATTCATTTGTAATGATGGATGTCAGTTGCAAATACCATATTAGGCAAGCATGACAGTTCAAACTTTTTTTTTTTACTTTGTTTACTAAATGCAAGTAAAAGAAACATGCCAAATTAGTCACTGCCCAGGGAATCAAAAAAGTTTCTGTTGCAGTATGGAGCCTCTGTATCTGTTTTTCCATGTTCCTTAGCTGTTCCGCCTCCTTTTGTGAGAAAAAATTAAATCCCTACTTACTGCAGCAGGGGGGCAGGGGTTAGATGGGTTCTGTGCACTGGAGCTGTTTGTTGGTCACAAAAATTGCTATTTTGCATGCTGCTCTTGCAAACCTTTCCAAAGTGGATCAAACAGTGGGGTGGAAATTTTGGCTTGTGCTCAAAGAAAGGAAAGAAAACCCAACCGGCATCTGTACAGTGGTCATGTGAACTTTCTTGTGCCTGTGTAACAGTGTTTTTATTCAAGCACTGGAGTCATTAGAAGGCTTTCCTCTGTGTCTTTCTATAATTGTGAGAAGTAATGCTCTGGAGTCTTCAAGGCGGAGAGATTAATTTTGCCAGTTGCACAATGTACTACATTCAGGAGAATTGCAAAACAAAATAATGCAAAAATTAATAATTCTTGTTCAGTGTATGATTAAATTATATTTCAGTTACTGAGCTGGTCAGTAGCAAACTTTCGCCCACTTCTGCAAGTTAAAACACTTCTTTTCTTTACAGTTTCTATGTGTTTGATTAGCAGGTCAGACAGAGCATTTGTTCATTGTGTCTGAGAATCTGGACTATGTTCTTCCTCCACTGTCAAAGGCACTATGCCTCTGAATACCAGTTGTGGGGACTGTGGGTGGGCAGAATGCTGTGGCTCCCAAGTCCAGCTTGCAGGCTTTCCACAGGCCATTGTGAGAACAAGATGCCTGTCTATAGGGGCCATTGACCTGATCCAGCAGACTTCTCTTATGTTCTTAAGCATTCCCTTCTTTTCTGAAGATTGTTTTATGCTACACAACAGTAAAGTAAGACTAAAGCGTACTTATTTATATTTGTTTTTAACACACTCTCATTGCAAGGGCTTGAGATAGCAACACTATTTTAAAATACAGCCTAGAATTTTATATAGATAGATAGATAGATAGATAGATAGATAGATAACAGTGGATATACTATTGGGCATATCACCCAATAGGTGCAGGCGATAAAGATTAACCAAATAGCACCCACAGACTGCACACCTGATATTTTAAGGAGAAGGCAGGTTCCTTCCTGTGTAGATGAACTATCCAAAAACAGCACCTGTTTTGTCAGGATTAATTTTAAATTTATTAACCCTCATCCAATCCATCACTTTTCCCAAGCACTGGATCAGCACTTCTGCTTTGCCTGAGATAGCTGGGAAATATAGGTAGAGCTGAGTGTCCTTGGCATATTGATGCCATCCAATTACATATCCTCTTATAATATCCTTCATTAACTTTATGTAAATGTTGAACATAAGAAACAAAATTGATCCGTGTGGGACCCCATAACATAGATGCTACTGGGCTGAAATACAGTAGCACAGTGCCTCCTCTGGAACTGGCCCTCTAGGTAGGAGCAGAGCCACTGAAAAATGATGCCCTTGATCCCTCAACTCAGAGACCCTATGTGGGAGAATACCATGGTTAGTCGGTATTAAATCCTCCAGAGATATCCAACAAAATAAGCAGGGTTATATACCTCCATCTATCTCTCAATATAGGCCATCCATCAGAGCCAGCAAGCAATTCCAAATCTGGGTCAGAATCCAGATTGAAATGGATCCAGATAATCTGTTTCATCCAGTAGTGCAGATTAGCCCTTTATGTGTTGAAACCATCAATTTGTGTACGCACAGTTAATTAATTTAATAGTTTGATGAGAGACGGTTTCTTGTTAGCGGGAGAGAAAGCTGTTAAATTAATTGTAGTATTGAGTACTTGGCTCATTTCTTGGTTTTGACATTACTGATTTACTGTTGACTGTTTTACCCAAGTCAAAGTGCCATAAATCACCTCTGGGGTTAACTTCATTCTGCCATGAGGTTTCTAAAAGTCAATTCCGACTTTTCTGCACTGTCAACGGAGCACTGACCATTATATCTGCAGATCTTCCAGTTACTGATTACTGAGATGTCTCTGTTGGTGTTCATCTACAGAATTCAGCACTATTCAGTTGACCTGTTCAACCAGCCCCGGGTGCAATGCACACTCACCACTGAAAACCTTGAGTATTCCCCCTCCCCTCTTGGCATCTGTTGCTTTTTGCCTGTGGAAATGTTTCAACAGATCAAAGTCCTGGTCTGTCTTCTTTTGAAACCCCTTCTGGAGATTCAACATTCTTGTTTGTTCTTTTTAATTAGGCTTTAAAATGGTCTGACAGGATTTCTGATGTTACAAAAGCATTTTAAAGTGCTGGCATTAAGGAAGCTTTGCAATTGAAAGTGATATGCCTAACATCAGTGTAATCACTAAATCCTCCTTTCCCCACCCACCCATGAACCCAGAAGTTCACCGTGTCACCTTCATCATAAAGGTGATTCCATCACGGACTGGAGAAATAACTCCTGTTGAGGGTATGTCCATGGTTTTACCCTTTGCTGAATAGTTTTGGGTGGTATTTTGAGAGTATGAAAATTTTTAGCCCTGAGGTCATAAGATGCTTCTTCACCTGATGAAAAAAGCAGCACTATTACAATAATACTGATAAAAACACCTAGACGTCTGAGGGCCAGTTCCCATATTCATGCTTATCAGCATCAAACTGGGGATACTAGTCAATTGCATAAATGCCAGTCTTCATACATTGTTTTGTTTGTTTCCAGTGGATGTGGAATGCCTTTCCATTGCTTTGCAAAAGCAAATAGTCACCCACACTTTAAAGAAGAAAATAAATTAACTCTCCATATTGTTGCTAGGAGATAATAAGTTAACAATAGAAGAAACTTCCCAAAAATGAAGGGATTGGTAAAAAGGAAATTGAATGGCAAAGTCAAGAGGGTCAAATCACCCCAGATGCTTGGGAGCTGTTTAGAGACACAACATTAGAAGTTTCTTCTGTATTTCCTCATTTATTCTTGACCGTTGCGCTAATAATACTGGACTGATTAGTCACTTTTTAAAATTAAAAGTAAGCTTAGAACAATTTGCAATGTAATACAAAACTTAAAACCAATGCAAAACAAAATAAAAATGGCAAATTTTCATTTACATAAAAGGTGGTCTAACGGATCCTGGAGTCCACAGTATCTAAATCCCTCCAAGTTAATTCCAAAAGCCTGGCTGAAAAGCACGGACTTTGCCTGGCTCCTAAAAGCAGTCAGTGACGGTGCCATGCACACCTCCCTGGGGAGAACATTTCACAACAGGGGGCTACCTCTGAAAAGGGCTGTTCTCATGTTGCCACCCTCCACGCCTCCCTTGGAGAGGGCACACACAGAAGGACGACCATTGCCCCTTGTCTTGGCAGGTGTGGATATGTGCTTCCCTTTTTCCTGACCTCTAGGCATCTTTATTAGCAATATTACTATATTTCCATTACTGGCTCTCCGGAAACCTGTTATATCATGAAAGTGGCAGACTATTACACAGAATGCCCTCTGGCTCACTGAAATTTCAGCTAAGGAGAAGCACCCAGAGGTACAATACTGAGCTAGATGGACCAATGTCCTAACTCAGTATAAGGCAACTTCCTTTGTTCCTGTTTTCCAAGGTATGCAAAACCTTTGCCTTTGCCTTACCGGAGGAGTTTTATTTGAGTTGCACAAGTCTCTGAGTATTTTTTTCTCCCTTTCAGGCTGTGCATAAACTCTTCCCCTCCGAGTATAACTTTCTATTGTTATTCATAATTCAGGTCTGTGTGTACAAAATGAAGAAATATTAAAGGAAGGTATTGTGCAGGTCTTTTCTGATTAGAATTTGGTATAACTGCTTGTGATTAATTGCTCACAAATACAAGTATTATGAATTCTTGTCTTTAGGTTGCCTGATCAGCATGATGTTGAATCCCAACTGGCAGCCTAGTCACGCACTTCCCTTTGCAATAAGGCTTCTCATTAGTGCTGAACTAGCACGATAACAAGAGGCTAAATAATTAATCAAATTGCTACCATGCCAAAGAATCAGTTCTGCTGGGTCTGAGTTTTCCCCCCCTTTTTGACTAAGAATGTTATTTCCATTTTTAAATTATTTATTTATTTATTTATTTATCGTTAAATTACATATACATACGTAACTGGACATTCTAACATGATTGGATTTATAATATATATTTAAGGATTAAAACAAAATATTATATTTATTACACCACCAGAGCTATTCTCCCATTCAAAAGCAAATGATCCAACACCAGATACTCAGAATGTTATCAGCAGAAAATAAAAAGCATGTTCTCAAAGAGTATAAAGCAGATTTAATTGTACTAAAAGTAGATATGTTTTTGTACGTGAAATTTTGGGCTTTAATTTCTCTGTTATGTATTCTTGAATACAAAATTACAAGGACACAGAGCACTGACATGGAGATGCCCTCCCAGGTGATATAAAATCTCTATATGTGAATTTCTTGAATCACTTTGGGGTTTTTTTTAATTGACACAAAACATTTGGCTCTCCCAACTGTTCTTGCCAGTTGCCTACCTACTTACTCTAGAGAGTGAAGGTAACTGAATGCATCTGCTGCTCAGAGTGGGCAGTGGGCAGTGAGCAACTGGCAAGAGCAGCTAAGACCACCACAAGCAGATGCATATATTCACTCTCCTGGCTGCTCCTGTCTGCCAATTGCCTTTTTCTGGCAGAAGGCTTGAATGCTTGCCCCTGCTGCTCTCAGCTGGCATTTTTGATAGGCTGATAAATTATAATAGCTGCAACTATTGCCAGTTCCTCCTGATACTAAAAACTCACACTGTTGCTATCCTCAGCATAGTTAAGTCTCTGGTTGATAACATGGGAAACTGCCCTGTTATCTAATTATTATCATTTATAACTTTATATCATGCATTTATTCCACCATGAGCTCAAGATGGCGAATACAAGGTAACCTGGCAGTCTCCGCCACTCAGACCCTTGGTCCATTTAGCCCAGTATTGTTTACATTGACCAGAAGCAGGTCTCTAAGGTTTCAGACAGAAGTCTGTATCTGTCTTACCTGGAGATGCTAGGGATTGAAATTGGGACCTTCTACATTCAAAGCAGATGCTCTGCCAATGAGCTATGTTCTTTCCCCAGTATCAGTCATACTCAAAGTAGACCCACTGATATCACCAGCATTGGGTATCACCCATGGTGCTGAAAACAACTCTAATATTTATGTGTGCATCTTAAACATGTTTGTCCTGTGTTAAACCCTGAGAGTTAGCAGGGAATTGCTTCAAAGTAACTGACTTACTGATTGCTGCTCATATCTCAATACTGTATAATGCAAACTGGTGATCTGCTAACATTCAGTTATTGACCATAGCTCAAATCTGCATGTTACTGTTTGCGGATACTGAATTCAACTAACCACAGTCTGCTTTATTATTATTGTTTATGTCATGAAGTGGTGTTTTGCTTTGTTTTTTGCACTCTTATGCAGTTCTGGACACACTACACATACTGGTAGGAGGTCACATTGAATTCAGTTCTCCTTTTTTTTTGAGTAGGCAAGTGTAGGATAGCACCTTTAACTGAGTATCTGGAAGAGATAGCCCTTAGAACATTGCATGGCAAGGCCCCCGAGCCCCACCCCATCAGCACAGCACAGCCAGAGGCTAAATTAACAAAGGGTATCATCATACTGAATTCCTGGCTTGAGGCAAACTATTTGTAGTTGTCAGGTGTATGGAGGTGTGTCTGCAAATAACTGAAACCTGGATTACAGTATATTCAGCAAGGCTTAAATGGGTAAATTTAAGCTTCTGGGCAAACTGTTATTCCCCTCTTCCTTTCTATTCAGATCCCCTACTTGTTTTTTAACTATTCATACTTTGCATTTTTATTTATCCAGGCTTGGTTGTAAGAACATTTAACGACCAATCAGATAAAAATGATGTACTTATTTCCATGAATAGTGCAAGAACATTAAGTAAGTTCGTAAATAAATAAAGCCAGCTCTTAGGCTTGCTGTACAGCTTCTGTTGACATCATGGATTAAGGACACTGGACAGCCTTTTGTAAACAATGGAAATTAAGTATATAATCTTGAGAATGTGTTTGCATTTTCTGCTGACGGGGGAATTGTTTTTGTTGCTCTTAGCAGATGTGCCCTAAATAACTTGTAATCCCAAATACATTGTTTCTTTCCTCTTTAAATTATTTTTTTTTAAATCCAAATTAAAAAGAAAAGAGGGATCCCAAATTGTCTGCCCATGTGTGTGTGTTTGTGAAAGAGAGAGAGACAGAGAGAGACTGTAGGGGAGGAGGAGGAGGAGAAAACAGCTACTCCATCTCCGCCTATAGTTTTTAAACCCTGGTTGAATTAAACTATGTAAACTATGCTCACTTTATTCGCATTATAAAAAATCAGGGAAGCTGTTTTGGTCCATAAGCAGAAAAACAGTCGGGTAATGACTTTATTAGGACCAACCAAAAGGCACAAAAGCTTTTGAGTTCTCTTGAACTGTTCAACAGGCACAATGTTGCTAGTCACTACAGTAGCTTCTAGAAGTGAAATGCCTCAGTCTAGCGTGGCTCCTCTGTGAAATCTGAGGGAGTAGTGAGAGCTCTCTTTCTGCTGGAACAATATGCATGGAATGCCACATTTATATCTTCCTGGCCTGTCTACCCAATTGCTGCTGTCACTCTTGTATTACCCCATTTTTGTTGTCTTACCCCAAAATTAGTTTATATTTATTGTGAGAAATGCAGAGCTTCCAATTCTGACAAGTGTCATTCTTGATGAGACAAAGTGACATGAAGCATCATACCATACTTTCTCCAGTTCACAAATTTAAATATTTGCACAGCGTAAGCATTAGCATCCCAATCCTAAGCATTTTCACTGTCTTATCTGTGTATAGCACAAGAATAGCACCTCTGCGGCAGTGGCTTACCATCGAAGTGACACATAACCTTCCAAAACTTTTATTTGCAAGCCTTACAATCTGATGTCAGTAGATTTTATTGTTTATAGCCAGTGGCCATCACAATACAGTATGAGCACAAATCACACGAGACAACCTGAGATAAACATGCTTATGTAGAAACAATTCCTTTTGAATTTTTGAATCAATGCAGCCTTTTTATTAATTTAAGTTAATTTATTGTTACATTTATATCCAACCTTTCTTCCAAAGAGTTCACGGTAGCGTATGTGTTTCTCCTCCTCTCTGTTCTGACAACAACCTTGTTTGGTAGGTTAGGCTGAGAGATAGCCCAAAGAATTCTAACTCTGGTCTCCCAAATACTAACCCAACATCCTAAAATAAGCACTACAACTGCACTAGCTTTTAGGCTTAATTGCTGTCACATTTTTCTTGACTTTGTCAAAATATTGGTGTGCAGAAAGCAAACACTATATTAATATGTGTTAGGCAGAGCTGATTCACACACGGGCTCAACAGACAATGGATGTGTGGCTCAGAAGCTCAGAACCTTATGCGTACCAGATCATGTGTATGCAGATTCATATATGAATAGATCCTGCTTGAACATTCAAGGAATTAAAAGGTCCCATGGGAGGCATAGCCATGTGGACCTCAGTTCAGTTCATGCTAAAGGTTCTGTGTGTTTTGGGGAAGAGAAGAAGACTATGTCTTGCAACTGTGTTCCACTTACATGCCAGGAACACATGTAAACCAACACAGAGATCAAAGATTATTTTATTTCTTACTATTCATATGGAGATAGCAAGTATGAGAAGAGGTGTTTTTACAGGAGTGTGAATTCACAGTTTCTGTCTGGGTTGTTAATCTGAGTCAATAGTCCTGCCCTATACAATGTAAGAAACCCATTACTCTGTGGGCCTTTCACAGTTCACTCTGCATCTCTAGCAAACTCAGTACTCTTCCACCCCCTCCATCCCATTCATACGATTGTTTACAAGATCACTTGGCTTTTTTATGAAGAAGAGAAGGGTCAAGAGCCCTCAAGATAACTAGGCATTGTTCAGTCATTCAGATTTCTTCAGAATCACATTCACATTTTGAAGGTGTAAACAAATTAGAAGTTCAGTCAAGTCCAGGAGTTGGTGTCCCAGGATAAATGAGTGCATAAACAGACCTTGAGCAAATAAGGTCTGGCACTCTATTGTTATTTCTTAGTATTTCATTATAGCCCCTTTATGTCGTACATCCCTTTCCTGAAGACAAATATCACCCCAACCCACCATGAATTCCTATGCTTCGCCTCCTGTGTTGCTAACATCTGAAATTTGCAGTCTTGATTTCAGATGTGAAAGAGGGTCTTTTAAATATGAAGGCAACCACTGTTTCAAACAGGAACAGAGGACAAACAATAGAATGAGCAAACAGGTCTGTTGACTTGCCAGGAGACATTCTTGACCTTGGTGGAATGTTCAGGGATCACCCAAGTAGTTATTAAAAAATTGCATTCAAGAATGTGCTATTATTTAATAACTCCAGGGCCATTTTTTTCTACCCATAAGAATGGCAGTGATTTAAAGATTACAGACCATACAGACAGCTGCCTGTTCTCTTGTTTACTTGATTCTCTAGTGTTTCTGCAAGTACATATGTGCATGTCAATGCCCTGTTTGTTTGTTGTCAATTGCCCTTTCATCGGCCCTGTAAGATGTCACTCCAGATAGAAGTCAGGGCTTTATTGGTAGATACTCTCTTCCAGTTTCAATAGGGCAAGACCATACTTAGCCATTTATTTAGGTTTGTGCTGTTCTCAACAGTTCAAACATGCAAAAGCACTGTAGCCTGAGAGACTTCATTGTGATTACTAGGTAACAGAAGGATTGGCTCTGATCAGACAGCAAGATATGGTGCTATCCTTGTAGTGTGGGTGGAAATGCTTTTGATGTTAGTGTATTTTTAATGACATTTTAATAGTCCTTTTGACTGTTTAATTCCACCACCACAATCATGCAGTAGAAGCTCTTTCCTCTGCAACAGTGTCAATTACTTTCATAAGAATGAAACAACTGGCCTGGTGTAATGGGAGAGCATGGAGGGGTCTTCTGTCAGAGGTGCAAGAGCAGACCATGGCACTTAACAGCTAACTCACGAGGCTAGGGTGGGCAACATTGTTTTATGGAATTAGACATAAATACATAGCCTATTTCAGATGATAGTTTATTCTGCTGAAGTTCATCAATCACTACTTGAAATGCTTTTGATCTACTAAAGGTTTTGGAAGCATATTATTTATTATCTCCTCACACTGGATGGATTTTTTATTGTGTTGTGTTTTTTTAGGAGAGTACTGCGAAGTGAACGCTCGCTCTGGGCGCTGCGCTCCAGGAGTGTGCAAGAATGGTGGGAGGTGCGTCGATCTGCTCATAGGAGGCTTCAAATGCGAATGCCCTGCTGGCGAATATGAGAGACCTTACTGCGAGATGACCACAAGGAGCTTTCCCCCAGAGTCATTTGTCACTTTCAAAGGATTAAGGCAACGCTTCCATTTCACTGTTTCTCTCATGTAAGTTTGCTTCCTTTCTAGTGAAAATTTCCACTCACTGACCTGGTTCACACACGAAGCCAAACCATGGCAAAGAGCTGAAGACATATCTAATGAAGTTCACCACTTGATTTCAATTTGTGTTTTTAAAATAACCCTCATGCCCACAAACTGTGTTGCAAGTTAACTAGTTCCAAAATTGCATGAAGGCTGTAGGTTATGCATGCCATATACCACAGCTGAAAAAGCAGATGTAATAAAAATAGCTAAATAAAAAGTAGAGGCAGCTTAAAATCATCTACTTCTTCATCACAAGCTGTTTCTTTTCTCTTAAGCATCTTGTCACACTTTCTGCAATAATTGTCAGCTGTGTGCCACCTACTATAAGGCTGAGGAGCTTCTCTTTCTCTCTCCTTTCCTTCCTTCCACCAACCAGTCACTGTTTTAAAGAAATAGTTTCTTGGCCACATCCCAGTAATATGTCCTTGATGAGGGTGGGTGGTTGCATGACAAATAGGGCAGAACAGCTAGGCAGGTCTTCGATGCAGGCTGCAGTACTAAGATCAGGTTCTTAGAAGTTCCACCCACAACAATGGGGCTTCCTTCTGAGTAGACATTTAGGATTGGGCTTCCAGTAAGCATGAAAGTGATAGTGGCCTGGTACGACCCACCATTTTTTGTAACCTCGCACATCTGCTCCATGCACTATAAGAATAAGTCAGCAGTGTCCTAATTTGGCCTGCTAAGCCATTTTTCCCAAACCACAGTTACCTTCTCCGTACCTGATGCCATAATGGGACATTGGATGCGATGCAGATAAAGACATAACTGCAGAAGAAATAATATGGAGCCTTAAAGTGCACTCCTGTTCATTCATTGACAAGCAAGGCTGGCTGTAACTGCTGATCGGTTGATTGGCACTTATAGCAGGCCCCACAATAATTGACTGGGTCATCAACAGAGAAAAATATAATGCAGCAGGAAAGGGTGGGAACAAAAACATCATGGAAGAAGGGTGGGGATTCAACTTTTAAATGTATATTGGATTTGATGTTAACTTGTTAAAAATTGGTGAAACTCAATAAAAAATTAATTGGCAAAGTAAATCTAAATTAGTCATGTCCATTAACTTCAATGAGTCTACTCTGATTAGGACTGGCACTAAATGCCACCCAATGTATTATATTTAGAAAACTGTTCTAGTGATGTCATAGGCTCTCTTCATAGATACAGTTTCAGACATTTTGCTAGTATATGGTACATTACAAAGGAAATAGATTCCATTTTACAGCTAGGAATATACTAAGTGTCCATTCTTTGTTAACACAGTGGCTGGAAATTCTTAAGAGGTTTGTTTACCGAGCAACTGTGCTGTAGATAATTCTTCACATGTGCTTCCTGACCTGTTTTAGGTTTGCAACCAGGGAAAGGAATGCTCTGCTTCTCTACAATGGGCGTTTTAATGAAAAACATGATTTTATTGCACTTGAAATAATTGAAGAACAGATCCAGCTGACGTTCTCTGCAGGTAAGACATTTCTGTCTTTTTCGCTTGCTAAAGCCAGCAGTAGCTCCTTATTGAATGTGTGCATGTGTCAGTGAAACTGGACAACTCAGTAGCGTGAGAGAGTCACCCAGTTGTATCCAGATTTTTTTAAAAAGCACGTAACAGCAATTCTGTGTGGCTATGCTTGGTGATAGACTAAAGCAGGGGTTCCTAAGCTGTGGTCTGTGGGTCCACAACCTCCATTTAGGGGGTTCACGCCATGTCTTTCTTTGAAGATGGAAGTGGTAAATATTAAATATTCACATTGTTTTTAACTGTATTTTGAGTGCTTCATTTATTACTAACACTGTATTTTGTTGCATTACAGTTTGGATTCTATGCAATTCAAATCGCAATACAGTAAGATGCAATACATAATAAATGAAAGAAGCAGTAAAAATACATTTGAACTTTTTACAGCATCTAGCACAGCACATTACAGGTGGAAAATCATTAAGTAGTCCACCAACAGACACACACACACCCCTAGTCCATGAGTTGGGGGATACTGTGTTAGAGTGAGAAGTATGATTTTGATCCCATGAACCATTAAGAATAAAGGCAGTAGATGTAGATATAGACAGATAGACAGACAAACAGACAAAGATAGAGATAAAAATATATAGATACAGATATAGATATAGATATAGATATAGATATAGATATAGATATAAATAATAGGTCAAAACCTGTGGTTTTCAAACAAATTAGTGCATGGGTATTTCTAAAATGTCTGCAGTTGTTCTGTTCACTGGAACAAATACTGGATTTACAGTCACAAAGCAAATGGATTTTAGACTATTAGGAGATCTGCTCAAAAGGGAAATAAATAAGATTATAAGCCTATGCATGCTTACTCAGAAATTCCAATTTTGTACAACTTAATGCTCTTTAAAGTGTGTATCGCACTATACAATTGCATAAAGTACATGATGGGTTTTATAAAACAGAATCAGAAGTTTTCATTGTCAACTATACACCACATTGAAGGATTCATTGCTACAATAGTGAGCTGTGAGTGCCTAATTTTATAAGGTACTGAGTGTTCCCAAATTGCTTTAGCAGTCAATGGGACCATTCATGTACTTAAACTGAAGCACATGCCCCCAATATTTTGTACCAGACCATTTACATGGTGGCTGAAAATAGAAAGTGCATCAAAAAGTAGGCCTATTTTCGACTTATGTAAATTAAAACGCATAGTAGGGCAACACTGTTCATGTGTAGCAGAAGCAAGTTCCACTGTGCTCTGTTCCTCAGGCTGCAATCCTATTCACACTTTTTTGTGAGTAAGCCCCATGGAACACAATGGGACTTGCTCCCAAACTAACAAGCATCAGGCACTGTAATTAAATGAACGAAAGAAGGGAATTCAAAAAACTGCCAGAAATACTGAAAACTGCTGGATTGGTTCTTGATGTGCATAAGGCAAAGATGTAGTCTTTTGGAACTCTGATTCTGATATCATTGAAGAAGCTATTTTTTGGGTTTAAACATTTTGAGATGGTTGACATACGGCTTAAAAGTACTCCAGAGGAAACTTAACATGCCAGGTGAGAGCGGCAAAGGGCAAGCGCAATCCATATTCCTTTTGTAATGTATGGCAAATTTTTATTGAATACATAAATTGTTCAGACTGTGGCAGGAATCAAACCAGCATTCACAGGAAAATGTGGCATGATCTTTTAGAGTAATCAAATGAAACTTTTAACACAATGACATGGTAAAAGTGTAATTTCATCAGGACAAGTTATTGACATTTACTGTTGTAATAATTGTTTCCTCAAAATTTATCTTCTGTACCATGAAAATAAATAAAAACTTTATTTATTTTTTTAAAAGTACTCCAGAGGGTTGGCAAATCCTCTAGAGGCTGCAGTGGGGAGCAAGAACCTCCAAAATTGCCTCTCTTCCCATTCTACCCACGGTTCAGAGCAGCTTCCTTCCCAAGCTGATATACCTAGCATATTTTTTTAATATATGACTTTTGACACCCCAAGCCTTCCAGGACAGTAATTTTGTTTTTAAAAGATAATGCTCCTGCTAGTTTTCTGAGCATTAAGACCTCCTAACAATAGTGGCACACAAGAGGAAGAAAACCAAGGCACCTTTGCAAGGTGAGGAAGAACCCTCAGGTGGTGTTTCTCTCCATTGCAGCTGTAGGCTGGGAGAAGTCTGGTGCTGTTAACGGGGAGGAAAGTCACTATCTTTGCTTTTCGGAGTTTGCTTTCTGAAGAGCAGAAAGTGCACTTTATCTTCCCATCGCAGCAGGGCAGTTCTAAGAGGAGAGGTTCTTTTCCCAGCTCAGCACTGCAGGTAGAAAAAAAAAATCTGTGTTTGCTCTTCAGAGGACTTTATCTCTTCCTCACAGCCACAGCTCAGCTTCCCCTGTGTGTGTGAGTTTGCTGGGTGTCTGCATCTCTCTCTCTCTCTCTCTCTCTCTCTCTCTCACACACACACACACACACATACACACACCGTGTGTAGTGAGTGTGTGGACTGAAGTACAGTCTGTGTGGATGTGTTTGCATGCACAAAACTGAATGCACAGTTGCTGGCCAAAATGACTTAGGCCATCATCACAGCTGGCCTTCAGAGGAGGCTAGGGTCAAGAAAGGGTAAGCGTTCCTGGTATAAAGTAACCCATGATTCTTACCAATTTAAATTCAGTTAGTTTTCCTGTTCATGGGTGCAAAGTATTAACAAGGAACTGAGATTTTTAAAAGCATAAATTTGGGGTGTTTTTGCATTTGAATGTCTCCGTTTGCAATAGGAATATTATAGTTGCACTTAAGATGGTCTTAGGTTCATGAAAGTGATCATGGAAGCAGATTATGTTAACTGTCGAAACGTATGTGGTCTCTACCACTTCTTTTATGCATGTCTGATGAAAGCTTAGTTGATTGGAACTTATTTGTATTTTCTTTACACTCATTAAGCAGCAACATACCTTATCTTTAAGATGAGTTGGATCTTTTTGCCAGGGCACAGTTTTAAAAATTGAAGACAATAGTTTTTGGGTTGTCAGGTAGAGGGATGGGCTTCATAGAAATGGAGGAGGAAGCATAAAAATGCACATTTTAAGGAAGTTGCTGGATGCTGGTGGCTGTTGAGTTCAGTAAAACTAAAAAGGCTGAAACCCACATATATTGGCTTAAGTAAGTTGTGCATCAATTCTGTGAGTCATAGGAGCTATGGTGTGTGAGTATTCTGGACCTTAAATGCACTCTCCTACACTTTCACGCAAGAGATATAATTAGATGTGAAGCATTTTGCCCAAAGCAATACTTTCTATATCTACTAAGTCTAATTGGAAATCAACCTATGGTATATATAGTAACCAGAAAAGATTTCTGTCTAGATGGTATCAATTATTTGTTGGTGTCTGCACCCTCAAGCACTTTTTTATTAAGAAAGAGCAATAGTGATGCAAGAGGAAGGCTGCTTGTCCTGTTTTGTGTCTGCATAAGCCAGACGTTATTTCCGAAAGATTTGTGCTAAAATACTATAGAGAAGAAACAGAGAAAAAGAGGACTGCCATACTTGTGTATACATTCTTATATACTACGTAAGATCTTTGAGATATTAAATTTTATCAGCATGGCTGCGTGCCTTTATCATAAGTCTGCTTCATGAAAAATCATATCCATGAAAACATTTCCTCTTTAAAATGGAAAATTCGTAAGTCAGGGGAGAGTCAAGTGCTCTGATCCAGCAAGAAAAACCGATGTATAAAGCAATATTTCAGTGCCTGCACTCAGCGTGGCTGCAAGTGATACCAGTATTCTGGGCCCCATTGAACTGGTTGAATTTTATTTTTAATGCTATTATGCATTCCCATCTGGTCACAGTTTGCCACGTGCAACTACTTTGGGGTGACTTGATACAAGAGCTGTTGGGTTGTATGCAATTAAGTGGTCCTCTTAGCGCAAGGATTTCCATCTATGCAACAGGACTTCCTCTCCCCATGTGCCCCCCAGTCCCCTCCCCGAATCTGTTTTAGAGCAGGTTGGGAAGGCTGGAAAGGGAGAAGAGGTCCTGTTGCTCAGGCATAGATCCTTATGCTAATAGATACAGCGCATCATTTTTAAACTATCCTTTGATAAAATAAGTGACACATAGCCTTACATCTGATTCACGTTGCATTCTGTAATATGAGCAAATATAGGTCACAAAGCATCTCAGCAACCATGACCTACATGTACAAACTCTTGAGTATAGAAGCCTCTGAGGGACAACATGGGGCAAAATCACAACATATAATTCAGTGGTGTGGAAAGTGCTTACTCTTATGCAAGGCAGGGGCGGGGCATTCAGTTTTCACCAGCCAGGTATGAATTCTAATCCATATACCAAACTGTTCCCAAGGGTTGCCCAACTCCCAGGAGCACATTTTGTAGGAGGTGTAGAGGGCTGCAGTGAATAACAGAGTGGGTGGGGGCTGCCCAAAATCAGATGCTCTACCTTGGGCAAACAGAAATGCTTTCAGTTTCCACTTTGTTTGAATAACCAATGTTGTAAAATAAACAGAAGTTGGGAAGTTGTCACAGATTTAAAGACAAGCACATATATTTTACGACTGTTATGAAACTTTAATGCTTCCTACTATGGAAGTAGCTTTTCTTTTTGTGGGGGACTGAGATAAGGGGAGCCTTACTTCTGCATTGTTTGTTTTTGTCAGTGTTGCAGAAATTAGGAAATGCCTAACCTCTAAAAAGAGGCTGTATTTGTGTTCCTCTTTCAGTTTAACGCCTGTCTGTATAAACTGAGCAGGTGTATATGTTAAACTGAAGGAAACGTTTGCATGAATACAGCTAGAAATATAGTGGTTTATCGTATGCATCGGGGGGGTTTTTAATGTCCCCCCCCCCTTATTCTTCTGTAATGGAAACTTTTGTCTAAGTAGTCATTCATAACAAACCCTGCCTGACCAATTTGACAGAACCTTGTGTACTTTTGCTGTAGATGTTTGTTCTTACCTCAGAACAGCAGTGAATAGTCACCAGGCTGGTTGTACTGGTATGCACAATTAATCTGACATTCTCTGCTTTATCGGATCCAATCTTTAAGAGACATTTTAACGGAAAAGAAAGGAAGCAATGCCATTAATTGCAAGGTTAGAACTCCTGGAGCTTTCTAGGGCAAAAAATGTTTTCTTTGTTCCCTCACACCTTATCTGACAGTCCTGTAAGACCCCAGCCTGGAAAAACAAAAAAGCCACAAAAATGCACATTCTTTCTGTGGGTAACAACTGTTTGCACAATCTGTATTTGCCCTAAATATTTACCTTTTGTTAGGAAAAGTGTTTTCACTCTTTAGTTAAAATTTGAGGACTGCCACCTTCTTAAGCACCAGAACACTAGATATAGGGGGTGTAATCCTCTATATTTGTAGGAAAGTAGTTAACAAATTTGAATATTGTTTGCATTAACATAATTTATAGCAAGCCAAAGTTTATAGTAAACACAGTTAATACTCTGCAGCTAGTCGTTTTGTTGTCATTTATTTGTGAAGGAATTGAAGTGTCAGTACCTTCTTGGCGTTTGTTTTCTAGATGTGAGAATGATGCCAATGATGGATGAATGAATGAATGCATAACTTGGAGAAAGGCAACCCTCTCTCCAGTCCTGCCCTCAATGCAGTCAAGTGCAGGAAGATGAATGAAAAGTTTTCCCTCAACTGCTAATCAAAATTTTTGTTAATTATAAAGATGATAGTGTAGTGGAACTTTTTAAGGTGACTGTTTTTCTTTCTCTTTCATGCAACCTTTCAGGGGAAACCACTACGACAGTTGCCCCCTTTGTTCCAGGAGGGGTTAGTGATGGGCAGTGGCACTCTGTCCAGGTGCAGTACTATAACAAGGTAAGGCAACATGTTTGGGATATATTTTTGTGAACTGAATTCTTCTTCATTCAAATTGGCCAGCTTATTTGCTCAAGAGAACCAGAGCCAGTCTTTAGACTTGTACAGTGGACCTACATTTAGCCAAAGCATGTTGCTGGAATGGAAGTTTTTAACTGAGACATAATACTCCCTGCTTTAAAAGAGCAATAAAGTGGCTGGCTCTAACCCTTAGAACTGTTGGTGTAAGATTCTGTATCTCTGCCAGTGAGGCTGCCATGGCTGCTGTCCACTAGGCAGTGGTGCATTAAAGTCTATGTAAAGCCTTAGAAAATCAAGTCCAGCAGGTTGCATACAGATCAGCATCCTCCTTTAAATGAACAATATGGGTTTCAACTTGTGAGAGTAAGAGCTCTGTTTTGTGCACTGAATTCCTCCTGTCATAAGAAACTGCTGATTCAGGGGAAGCCTTTCTTTATTTTTAAACGTAAAGAGAGCAATTATTCAGATTCTTTTTGTTGTTGTTGTTGCTGTATTTGTAGCATAATTAAGTCAGAAGCTCTTGGTAAATATCCAGGGAGAGAGAAAACAACATAAACAAAGAAATAGCTCTGAATTCATTGGCTGAATGCCATTTTCAATTTAACAATTTAGACTGAAGATAATAGCAAATAATTGCCACTTCTAAAGCATCTGGCTCTACCATGTTGTCTCTGAGGTTTTAAGAAATATATAATCTTGAGTCTGCATTTCAAGTAAAAATGTTACCTGTTGCACATTCTGAAGAGTTTAATTGGTGGATAAGGTTTGGTGTTTCTCTTACATTGTTCAGTTTTGTATCTTGTTCTGTGTAGTGATATATGTGTGTTTGGGTGGATCTGGTTTTATGGCACTGAATCCCTGATGCCATCATGCTTTCGTTGGCCTGTTCAATGATTAGAATTCTTTGTCTTAGTTAAGTACATCCTCCTTGAAGTTTACAGTAAATATTTGGCACACTTAAAATCCAGTCAAACTTAAGCACATTTTAGACTCATTAATTTCAGTTAGAAAGATTTAAGCACATACTTAATGGGGCTTCAGGATGCTGGTTTGATTGGATCGTGCCTTGATTATCAGCTGATAAAATTCCAAGAACCCTGGCTGACTTGACTTAATTATTTCATCATTAGCATGATCAGTAATTTCTGCTTGGGAACTTTATGAGGAATATAGTTGCTTCTTGATGAGACGGAGGATATATTCATACAATTGTTGATTGATTAATTATCAATTTAATGGTACACAATGCATTGTCTTCCTAAGCTTAGGAAGCAAAATGATGAGAGTAGGATTTTTTTCATCACATGATAAGCTTGTAAATGTATTGCAGGTCTGTGGGTTTTCAAATGTTTCAAGTATTATAATGTTCAGGGGTGTCTCATGGTTTGGTTGGCACTTAAGGCAGGATGGGGTAGGGTGGGGCAGAGTGACAACTGCAGTGACAAGACACTCTGATACAAACTAAAAGTGGACCTCAGGATTTCCCTAGTTGTCTGAGAGAATTCTGAAAAACAGCAGAGTCTCAATACACATGGAGAGCTAACTTTACCAAAGCCAAGGAGAGGTTGAACATGCATTTCCCCTTGAATTGTGCTGCTCCAAATGGTTACCTGCCAAAGCAATTTGGATTATATATAGAGGGTTCTCATGTTTAAACCACATAGCAGGAGTCAGTAGCTGAAAACTTACCCCAGACAAATTCAGTTCCCTGATAGACTCTTTCTTACTCTCGCCAGTTGCCAAACCATGAAGAAAAGAGGTGGGTCAATTGAGTAGCATATGTAGCATCCTGATTTGTTAGTAGTCCTCTTATGAGGACGTAGGAATCGTGGCCTTCTGACTCTGCGTCCATTCTCAAAGCAGCCTTCTGTGTAAACTAGTTGCTGTTTAGTGGTACAGTGGTACCTCAGGTTAATTACCTAATTCGTTCCGGAGGTCCTTTCTTAACCTGAAACTGTTCTTAACCTGAAGCACCACTTTAGCTAATGGGGCGTCCTGCTGCTGCCGCACCGCTGGAGCACAATTTCTGTTCTCATCCTGAAGCAAAGTTCTTAACCCGAGGTACTATTTCTGGGTTAGCGGAGTCTGTAACCTGAAGCGTATGTAACCTGAAGTATATGTAACCCGAGGTACCACTGTATACAGGATGATGAAAAGAAGACAAAAGAATTATATCAATAAGGATGCTGTGTCATTGAAAATCATATTATAGCTTGAATATGGAGATTCAGGATTTTCATGAAGTCTCCGCATATTGGCTCCAAATGGATGGCTGGACCGCTTCTGTGACTGAAGCAATCTTAACTATGGTTTGTTGGAACCACCCACCTTCATACCCCATGGTTTGAAGTTGGCTTGCTTCAACAAACCATATGAACTATGGTTTGTCTGGCTTTGGACTTCACAAGAAGCTGTGGTTAAGCAAAAATGGAAGCAAAGGCTTCCAAACTGGTCCTTGCAGCTGCACATAAAGCCTAGGGCTTACTGCTGCTCATTCTGGTAACCCTCAGCCATGGTTTAGCGTGTGAACAAAATGAGCAATTCCACTGTTTCAGCCTGCTTTAAGTTCTTTTATGAAGGAAACTTACCCATTCCTGCGTGTATTTTTATTTTCAGTCTTATTTTGCTTATTTTGCTTCCCTGCCATACAATTACAAATATTTGTAGCTTGTTTCATCTGTGTGCTTGGACCCCATGATAAATTTCCTTACAATCTGAAGAAACACTCTGCGTTTGGGTGTTATTTCAGAAAGTAGCTTTAATAGAAAGCTGATAAAACGACAGATGATAGAGTAATTCGTAGTTCTTTTGCTGGAGCCATTCCTGCCCATTGGCCAAGAAGCCTGGGAAAAGGAGCATATATCAGCTGAAGTCTGGATTTCTTAGCTTGGTTGTTGGTTTAGAATTCTAAGCAGCTGCCAAGAAGATAAGGACTTGAGACAGCTCCAGGGTATTCTTTAAAAAGGAAAGTGATCCCACACACTGGTTAAAAATAAACCTTTGTCTCATTTTCATGATTCTTTTGCTCTCCCCACCCCCAAGTGATAGATGTCTTCTAGCAGTATGATTATTCATGTTTGAAAATAGGTGGGAAAATGCTTTGCAAATTTTGTGTACAAGCTAATTTTGCACCTATTCTAAAAACCAGATTCTGCCTCTCTGAGCTCAAGTAAATTAATAAGCTGCTTTGGGAACAAAATTGGTGCAAGCAGTCTCAGGATCAGATCACAGTCACATGCCATGCAGATGTCTAGCTTTTATTTACTTAATTCCTCGCCCTGCAACAGCTTATGTACATGAAGTTAAAATTGCAATAAAACAGATTAAAACAGAAGCATTAGTACACCACTATATGAAAGTAGTCTGCAAAATAAAAACAAACAAGCAAACAAAGGCAATTTACAGAGGATGAAAAAGTCAGGGGAAATAAAATAAAAAATCATTTTCCTGGCACTGAAGTAACATCAAGGTTGGTGCCTAGTAAGCTCATCTGGGGAAGACATTCCACAGGTGGTGGTCCCACCAGCAAATAGTCATCCTCCATACCTCAAATGGTGGCATCTGAAGAAAGCTTGTTTCTGGTGGATTTTCCTGAAAGCTTGTTAGGATGATGGCTATGGAATTATTGCATTGAAGCAACTGCCTATTGAATCTTACTAGAAACAGTAGAGGAAGCTTCTGGTCCTCTCTGAGGCTACAGAAGCTCTAGTGGCCTTTTGGTGTATTGTTGGCACACATGCAGTGCGCACTAGCCTCTGCTGGGTGGGTGATTTAAGCAAGGCTAAGCCACAGCCCTGCCTTCTGCTCCCCTTTTCTCAGAAGGATTCCTTCCCTTGTGTGACTGAGGCAGAGAACAGCACTTTTGCCTCCAGTGGTATGTGTTTGGAGGCAATTCATTGGCAGACTCTTGTTTTAAGGAGGACTAAGATTTAAAAAAGCACTATGAGGGGTTTGCTAAGACATAGATAATTTAGGGATTATGGGCTGTGCCAAGATAAATGGATGTTATGTCTAAACTTGAAACAACTCAGACACGTCATAATAACTCCAGTGTATTTCTCTACTTAAACTGCATAAATAGAGCAGGTTTGAGAGTAAGGCAGCTTTCCTATTAATTTCATATCTGCATTATTTCTAGGTCTCTCTATTGCTTTCTCCTTCCTCTCCCAGCAAATCTGTTACCTTACCATTCTAGATTTCTGTTTAAATGTTGTTCTTCCTGTATATTTCATCTCTGTTCTACTAAAATGGTTCAGTACTATGTTGTTTAGCCAGTGTTAGCAACCAAGGCAAGACAAATTTCTCTTGCTCCCTAAACATATTTGCATTTATCTATATGCTGCTTTCTTTACATGGCCCTCTCTCTGAGACACTTGTAATAACTAGCATCTCTTCAAGTTCTGCATCCTGTATATATGTGTGTGTATACATAACGAGAGAGAGAGAGAGAGAGAGAGAGATTTTCAAAATAGCTTTATTCTTAGATCAGTCGAATAGACAGGTGACCACCAGGAAACCTCCAGTATCAATTTCATTTTTTACTATACTATTTTAAAAAATTGATAGAAATACCGTAATTCATGATGATAGAAATAGGCAAATATAACATTTTGTTGTTTTCTTAACATTTGAGGCAAATGAGACACAATTGCTACAAAGATCACTCAATCACAAATGCACCTCCTTAAAACTTGGAAGAGTTTCATTCCCTTACTTAGTGCATCTAAATTTCAGTGTTTCCACTTTGGATGAATTATGTTGTAAAGTTTCAAGGCTTCACAGGTATCTTTAACTTATTACACCACCTGCAATGAGTCTTGAAAGGAAAACAGGACTTTGACTGATTTTGTGGAGCAGGAGTTTTTAAAAATTAAAATCTTTGATGTGCTTCCAAATCCCCTTGCTGTGAATCATGTTATCTTTAATCTACCAACTAAATTATCTTTTCTTTAATACAAAGTGAAGCTTTAGCCAAAATTAAATTGAGCATGTCTTTTTCATGGGAATGCCAAAACAAATTACACAATTTGAACAAATACTAACAATTGCATACACTTAATGAAAATTAGAGAGTAGCCTCTTAAATCCTAACATGCTATGTAAGAGTCAACAGAATTCTGCAGCTTGTTTTTCCATTGGTAGGTATGTAAAGCAGCCTTGACAGGCTGATTGGGCAATTTGTTTTGAGCAAAGCATATATAAAAAAATACACCTCTGCAATCTCCAGTCAACAAATGCAAGATCCATTTGTGGTAGCATAACATATCCTGCAGCCCTGGCTGCCTCTGCAGCTGAAAGATAGATTATCTCACTTCCTTCTGGAAAACAGGTTTTGCATGATGATAGCAGTCACCTGTTATGTGACCACAGTCGTACTGTACCTCTGAGATTATCATTTGCTCCACTGTATACCAGTCCCTAGTTATCTCACTGTTATCCTTTAGAAAACAATTCTATCTAACGTCATAGGTAAATACCAGGGTAATTATTTAGATTGCAATCTGAGAATGTGCCAGTTAGAATTGATTTCTGAGTTATTAATAGTAATGATATTTGTGTTTTGGAATTAATATACCTTTAATTTGTTGAAAAGTCATCAACCAACCTAGAACCTAAACACCTTTTATTCCAAATAGTTTAGATTAGCAGTTTGCCTAATGGATGAAAAAATAATAATAATCACAATCTAATAGGATCCATATGGAAATGTGTAGTTGAAGAGAGATCTGTGGCCAGCCACACCTTCGCTACACAATGTGTAGTAATGTGCCCAGCTTACAAGGAAATAAAAGCCAGCAGTCAGAAGAATCCATACACCTAGGCCACTTTTACGGAAAGCACTTTTTAGGAGCAGTGAGCTCTTTCCAGAAGGTGTCCGTAGTGGTGGCTTACACAAGTTATCATGAAACAAACACTGCATCTGTACACCAGCCCCTCACTGGCAATTCAGTCTAGCCATTTCCCCAGAAGAGGTTAAGAAGGAACATGTTCTTCTGTGGCAATACAATAGCAAGAACTTTTTTGTTCTCCCTTCCCAAAACCTGTAAACTGGAGGAATGAACATTCAAAGTCTTAAGTGTGGTGGCAACAGTTACAGTACCTTTACAATAAAGGTAAAGGTCGGGTCACAATCCCAGGGGATGGTTGAGGTGGAAACTTCATCCTCTTTGCAAAGGATGCAAAATAGCCAAAGCAATTAATCATTGTGATTCCCTGTCTCTCTAGATGCCTAGAGAGAACATGTGTGCATGCAAAAATACTGACTGTTGATGTGTGTTAACGGCTTGCCAGACTGAGTCTAGTATAAGGATTCTGAGTCTACATTACTTGGGTAGAAAGAATTTCAACCACCGTCACAGCCCTTAGATAACCCGCAACTGCTAGTATTTTCCTTTCTACACAAGTATTAAAGGTATATAAGCTTAATCATCTATCAATTGATAGGTGCCAAGTCTTAAAATAATTTTTTTTATATCTGGATGGAGCTCACAGAACACATTCTGTTCATCTCAGATATACACCTATTGCATGTGCTTAGAAGTATCCTGTTATTATACAATATTGTGCAGACATGATGCCACACGCCCAAGCACAGCACAGTGTAGATGGCACAGTCAGAAATCAAAACTACTAAGAAAGTGAATCAAATTCTAGCTCAATTCATCTGTATGCCTTTTAAAACAGATAAAATTCAAGGCAATCTACAGAATGCAGATAAAACATGCACTTGTATTATATCAGTAAGGAATTAAACATAGTGTGCACCTAATCAAATCTAATAACTTTGTGACATGTTGTTATAACATTAAAGGACAGGCTTATCCTAATTAGTTATAATCTAGCTGAACAGTGAATGGATCTTTGTACGATGTAGCTGTAGTATAGCTGTTCTGCCCTCATTTTATTTGCTGATCAATAAGAGTGTGAGGCACGGTGACAATATAGGAAGCTGCCTTATACCTCTCAGAATTGTCTGATTGGCATCCATAACATGTGTTCTACCACTGAATTATAATACCTCCATTTGTAGCTGCAGCTGAATATCCACAGAATAACTAAAATCATTATTGGGTTGCACTTTTAGCCATTCCTTGATGAAAATATTTTGCCCACAAACTACCCAACTCCATTTCTTAGATCTTGGAAATTTGATTGCCAGTTTAGATATTACAAACTAATCAGAAATGTATTTATCTAATCAGAAATATGTATTGTTGAGTTCAGTGAGATTTACTTCCTGGTTAATATGCTTAGAGTTATAGCCATAGACATTACCAGATTATTAGAGAACACAAGGTATGTTTTGAAATGTTATTTTAGCACACTTGAGTGTCTTCCATTTGTTATACAGCAGTGTGTCAGATGCCTGTCTGTAACTTCATTCTGTAGTGCTTCAATAACATTTCAAGACTAGGCAGCCATAAAGGTACTTTCCACCTGATTGTCTTGATCCCTATCTCTTGGTCAGCTGATGACTTCATTTGATGGTGCTGGGACATAGATGGCTTGAGCAGCAGCATATAACAAAGTTATGGATGACATCTGAAATGAGGATTCGCCGAAATTCAACACGCAATTATTTTCACAATTTGTTTTGCAATTGTCACCAGTAGAGATCGTAGTCAGAGAGATAGAATCAAAGATATTAGTCCCAGTGCCTTCAGAACTAAATCATTAAAGGATTGAGAAGGATTATCTGCATAAACAGTATCATTGGAGAAGATTATTGTAACAAGGCTGTGACTGAAAATAACATCTGTTTCAGAGTGTGAATTGAATGTGGATGTGAACTTTATAACTTTGTTAATGTTTCTTGTCACAAACATGGTCTATAAATTGGATATTTCAGCTGTTTGAAAACTTGTGCTTGGTAAATTGGTATGTAAATGGGATGGCAATTCAAAATATCAGTATTATATATCACTGTGCAGGCCTGCTGTGTGGTGGTTTTCTTTCAAACTGGTAGCAGATGGGGTCATGCACATCTGATTATTGGAAAGAGATTCCTAAAGGCCCAGTCTTATAAATTAACTCTTTAATATCAGAGGGCCTATATGATTCCAATCTGCCCCCCCACTACTTCAGAGATACTGTGCTGGTGATTGTTCACCCAATGTTGTGTATAGGTGCTCACTGATGCTACTGCACAGGGGTTCAGAATAGGGTTGTGAGATCAACAACTGCCCCATATGTTCACTCCTCTTTCAGCCCAGCACCCCTGGAAGGCTAGCACAACATTGTGTTTGCCACCATCAGTAGAAAGGGCAAAAAAAGCACACACACAAAAAACAACAATTAATTGCTACCTGTAGCAACACATACTCTAGTGCTTATGCAGCTAAAAGATCTTTGCTTTGATCCTAATGCTTGTGCAGTTACAGAATCTTATTATGATGGGGCTATGTATATATATTCCTATGAATAATATTACGTTATAAGGAGACAGACATAAATATTACAAAGGTTGCTCACTATAGAGGGTGATCACAGCACATTCTTCAGATGTGCTGCCTGCTCATCTTCACGGCTTGAAGTGACAGGCAAGCATTTTGACAAATCAAATGTTGTTCAGTCCATTCCCTCCCTTTCCACCACCATTTCAACCTGCTTCAACTCCACCTGGAGAAAATTAAGAAAGCATCCTGCAACTGGGTGCCTGAGATGGAAAGCCACCAGCTAGGAGCTCTCCTAAGAAGGATTAGGTAGAAAAGGCAGCAGCAAGTGAATAAATGAGAGGGGGGAGTGGACAGGGACTTGTATGCCTGCCTTCTCCCTTGGAGAAAGTTATTGGAACTGTTGTAGAAAATTTGCCCATATTGGGTTTCTGCTCAACAATCTTCTAAAGTTTACATCTAATAAAATACTAAGACTTTACATGCATATGTACATCCATGAATCTTTGTGAATACCAGCTATTAATATGTAAGCATACCCATGTGGTCGTTTTAACACTGGAATAACTTCACTTCGGACCTGCAGGATTCTGGAAATATGCAGAGTTTCAAAATAGGTGCCAGAGGATACAGACTGAATCAGTGCAAACAGCATCTGTGAAAGGGCTTGGGAGTCTGACAATCCCAGCAGTCTTCATTTCCAGGAAGCTCCTTCTTCCTCGTTTGCAAGCCAGAAAGTAGATTCCCTTTATTCCTAGGCTGCTCATCTACGGCCTATATTAGGAGGAGCTAGCAGGTGCTCAAAATGAGCAAAGGATGACAGATGTCTAACGTCATAGGTTCTGAGAATTGTATGGAACAGGAAGAGACCAGGAATATTCACAAGCCGTCTGAATAGAATCATTTGATCACAAAATTTATCAAACCATGCATAAGCAGAAAAATTGTAACACTCTCCCACCAGGGAGAAATCTTACTTCAAAACATTTTATTGTTAGTGGCAGTTAATATGTGGCAGGATATTTTTCATTATTGCCCACTAGTCAAATGAGCTGTAATCCAGCAGGGCAGCTGGCGGTGGAGAAAAATCAGCTTTCTCTGTAACAGACTTGATTCCCCACCACCGCCCATGTTACCATGGCTTTCAAACAGGGATGGTTTACAAGATGTAAACTTTCCAAGCCTTTGACAAAGTTCAAAACTGTAAGAGAGGGGCCCTTCTTTGTGAAAGGCTAAGGCATGGGTAGGCAAACTAAGGCCCAGGGGCTGGATGCGGCCCAATTGCCTTCTTAATCCGGCTCACAGACGGTCTGGGAATCAGTGTGTTTTTACATGCGTATAAGGTGTGCTTTTACTTAAAATGCATCTCTGGGGTATTTGTGGGGCGTAGGAATTCATTCATTCCCCCCCCCCCAAAAAAATATAGTCCGGCCCCCCACAAGGTCTGAGGGACAGTGGACTGGCCCCCTGCTGAAAAAGTTTGCTGACCCCTGGGCTAAGGCTTTTGATTTGCAGAAGAATTTGGAGTGAACTGTTCAGTTACACAAAGCTCAAACGCATCTCAAGTGATACAAATTTGTTGGCTCATCGTACACAATGCATTTGGTCTGGCTGGGGGCTTGCATGTTTAATTTGCTCTCACACTCAAGTGCCTCAAGTTTTTTTTGCCTGTGTTAATGATATGCTAGCTGGTCAGCCTTACAGTTGGCTCAGGGAGGGTTTTGAATGCAGTTTGCTGCATCAGCAAAACATTGTACTTTATACTTGAGGAAAATCTGCCCCAGTCTACAGTTGATGGAATGAATATTTATTGGTGTTTTAAATTGCAGACCTTGCCTGTGTCATTACAGTATTTTTTAAAAAAATAGCATATGCAGACATCTTGTCACAACTACAATACAGAGAATTTAGGGATAGGTAAACTCTCTCTCCCTGGCACATAGTGATGAAATCGTCATTGTGATCAGGGCCAGGAAGCTGAGGCCCTCCTATATCCTTCAGGCAGGGCTGGATTAACCATTAAGCATATGCTTAGGGCGGGGGGGGGGACCACAGAAATTTTCCATTCCCAGGTTTTTAACACCAGTGGCCACAAATTTCTCAGCTGAGCATTCGTTTTCTCAGTTGAAGTATATTTTTAAAAATCCCAGCAGAAAAACTGTGCAACAAGGCAGGCTAGATGCCTTATCTCTACTAAGTCTAGAAGAAGATATGTTACCTAAGATTAGTTTTGAGGATCTGATCAAAGACTTTGCAATTAGAAAAAGGAAGAGAATTTTTTTCAAACGAAGTGGAATTATACAAAAAATAAACCCATATTTTGCAATATGCCAGCGGTGGGTGAGACTTCCCTTCCCTTTCCATAATGCTTCATGGTATTGATTCATGATATCAATTCTTCCTGAACTAGACAAGAGATAGGGGTGAAAGAAGAGAGTGGTACCTGGACTCTTTTAGATGACTATACCGCTGCAACATCCATTCACACAGGACTCAATGCCATAAGTTAGCACGACACAGGTTTTCTTTCTTTTTTCTTACCAAGACTGATGTTTTGAATTCCTCATCATAATATTGAAATTTTGCATGCAAATATACTCTACTTTGTCTGCCCACTTCCCTTAAGGCTGCCCCTGCATCACTCCCTACAGGCCCGGTTGTGGACCATGGACCAAATTCCATTGTCAGTCATGATCATTGCATGACCTTACAGAGCTCTTGGAAGGACAGCTCTCTCATTGTCAATTCTTCTGCCTGCGTATTTGAACAAGAGTTGAATGTCCTAACTAAATCAACATGGCATTATCTATAATCTGCCATCATTGTGTGACATGTGTAAAGTCACAACTTGCTATTGACAAATAGTACTAAAAACTGAAACTATTTTATTTGCCTCTTCTCCAGAACATCTGCATGGCTCTGCAGTTAGCCTGTGTCTACTGCAGACCTTCACCCAGCCTCTGTGATCTGGCATTTTGATAAATGGAATTTATGGCCTCGTGATCTGGCATTTTGATAAATGGAATTTATGGCCTCGTGATCTGGCATTTTTTATAAGGGAAAAGACAGACACATATCAATGTGTATTAAGTCATGGATTCTTATCCGTTTGTTTTGTAAGCCCAGTTCAGAAGTTCCAAGTCTACTCACTGGAGATTGTGAATGTACTGGCTGACTTAATCTGCCTATTTCAATCCACTTCACACATTGGCACTCTGCATAGTAGTTTGTGTGTGTAGATGCCAACTACCGTATTGGCCCGAGCCAATTTAAGCCTTTGATCTTGCAAGCCCGCAAAAGTTGCCATACAATCACTAAAATCGCAAATCGCTACTCAGTTGCTACAGTTCCGCAGGCACTCACACCCGTAAATGGCAAATGATCAGTCTCAAGCTCGCGAATCGTCAATAAAACTTTTTTTTTTGGTTCCATTTTAACGTATGTCTGTTTCAGCAGCAATATCGTAAATGCCCATTTTTGTAAGGTCGCAAATTTAAGCTGCATTTTAACTTTTCACAGTCAGAATTGGGGCGGGGGGAGTGAGGCTTATATTCAGGCCAATATGGTACATTATTTGAAGAAGAAGAATTGGATATGTTGATTGCATGGTTGAGCCCTATGCCCATAGGGCACTATGCCCATATGTCCTCCATAGGCAAAGACCAGTTGGTGCAGTCACAATCTGTGCCACACCTCTAAAAACATACACTTTGAGTTCCTGCACAGGACTCTAGATTACACACATCCAGTTATCTTCTTTCTTCACTCATTCCTTTTTTACCCACTAGTCTGCTAATTATCAGTTCAAGCACACACAATAGATTACAGTATGTCATGGATACCATATAGTAATCTATATTGTACTGTGTTGATGGAGGTGAAGCCTCTGACACTGATTGGCTGACCTGAATGCTCATAGAATAAATCTGTCAGACTAATTTTGTATTTGTAGTACAGCATTTTATAGTACAGCTGTAATACAGTGTGAAGAAAAAGTGGTCAGTTTGCTTGGGATTGAAACCTCTCATAGGTCCTAATGATGGAAGATGCTTTGTGAACCAGTTTGAGGACTGGAAAAAGTGGAAAAGAGGTGGGGGAGTGAAGGGATGGGGAGCCCAGTAGGAAAGTGGCAGATAGAGAAATGAAGGTTGGAAAGAGAAACCAGAGAAAGGGGGGGGGAGGGAAGGGCCAGAGGAAACGGGGAGGTGAAGCAAGACGGGCCAATGAGGAGCCTAGGACTTGCGGATCAGAAGGTTGGCGGTTCGAATCCCCGCGACGGGGTGAGCTCGGTCTCTGCTCTTGCCAACCTAGCAGTTTGAAAGCACATCAAAGTGCAAGTAGATAAATAGGTACCGCTCCGACAGGAAGGTAAACGGCGTTTCCATGCGCTGCTCTGGTTCGCCAGAAGTGGCTTAGTCATGCTGGCCACATGACCCGAAGCTGTACGCCGGCTTCCTCGGCCAATAAAGCAAGATGAGTGCCACAACCCCAGAGTCGGCCATGACTGGACCTAATGGTCAGGGGTCCCTTACCTTTATGCTCAGGCTCAAGCAAGACTATCTGATCTATATATGTAGAGATTGGGAGACTGGTTGAGGGACAGGCTATCTAGCCAGTGAGACCAGGAAAGCAGTCAGCTGAAAAGCAGGGACCAGCTGGAACAGTTGATGGTAGAGAGAAGGAGCCAAAAAAAAAGGAGGCATGAAAGGAAGCTTCACTTGGGACCAAGGACAGGAAGGGACAGGACAGGAAGTCGTGCCAATGGACAGGAAGTGAACAAATTAGAGAACTTTGGAAGGCTGTGAGGAAGGAGTAGATGAGCCAAAGGATAATAGGATTGTTCAGTATAGTACTCCTGGGATTTCCCTGCCAGAAGGGCTGCACCTTTAGGAGATGAATAGGAGGGGAATTTTGTCAGTGGGGATTCTACTATTGCTCTAGCATTGTGACCTGGCAAGCCTAAGTGAGCAGTAAGGGCACATAAGAAAGGGTTTAGGTGTGAGCCTGTGAATTTCACTGTGAATAAGTCAATCAATTCGTTGGCTGCAGACTTTCGGCATTAGTTTTCTATTTTAATTCAAAACATTTTTTAAAAATGGTAATGATGGGCATTTTTCTATAATCCATTTAATGGGAGCAAGGATTTAGCATGGCACACTGTTCCATATAGTCATTCAGCTGGCACCTTAGGAATTCGCTGTAAGGACTTTGAAGTGCACCCTTATCTGCATTTAATCACACTGTAAGCTTCAGGAACTCAGAAGCTCTTTAAAGAATTTCACATCTGTCTGTGGAAGACAAAGAGAACTGAAAAATAGTGCTTTCTTAGTGTTTAGTTGCATCAACAGTGTACCTGGAGACTCTGGAGGGATCTCTAACGAGAGAGAAGCTTTTAAAGATTAGGGAGGAAGCATCTCTGAAGACTTGGAAGATCCACATGACTTGAGAGTCAGCTCTAGCTGGGCAGTGAGTTCAGTGGCCGTCTGCCCAAACAGCTATTTAATTGCCATGTCACATGACCATGACAGAGACTGGGTGGCCATGTGTCAGGAATTCTTTAGCTGTGATTTCTGCATGGCAGGGATTGGAATAGATGGCCCTTGAGGTCCCTTCCAACTCTATGATTCTGTAGTCCTATTAATTTAAAACGCAGCAATAAAAACAGATTAAAACGAGTTACAGTCCCAATGATAGGGTGGGCCCAAATAGATATAGATATAGTGTCAAAGTTCAGAGCAAAGAGGTGCATCTTCAGCTATGCATGCACAAACAAAGTTGTATAGAGTTTATCATCAGGACTTTGGGTGTTTCCTTTGAACTAATAATAAAGAAGAACCTGGAAAACAGAAGCCCTAGGTTTTCTTAGCGAAAGGAAATGGTGAAGTGCATTCCTAGGTCTGTGAAGCCCTTGGCTCGTTCAGTGGAAAGTGTCATTATGGGTGTGCATTCTTTATACTCGAAAACAAGCATGCACAAAGCCCTGTGTCTTTAATGAACATGGAAGGGGAGGGGAGCCAATGAGACACTTCAAAGGAGGAAAGTGTTTGTGCTCAGGATTCATTTATACCTTTGGTGATCAGCAGGAATGTGTCCTCCTGTTGAAATACGTGGTGGGTTCCCTGCTCTTTTGCCTGTCTGCTTTCAGATATTCTTAACACTCTTTCCCCTTCTCCCTACTACCCTGAAGCTGAGGTAGGGCACCTTACTGAATGCAAGCCTTGATGTCTCCTAATTTTCAGTTGCCTCTAATTGACTCTTCCAATCCTCACAGGCTACAAACCCACACTTAAAGGCATAAAAGCTTGTCTGGTGTTCACCGGCTTCTTCCCCTTAGGTTGCAAATGTGCCCTTTTCAGTTCCTGCGGCTTTATTTGTTTCCCGTTTGTTTAATTTTTCACCCAGGTTTGGCTCTGATAGCTGTGCTCAGTTGAAAACGTGTCCGTAGCAAAGCAGTCAATGAGATTTCTGACCACTGAACCAGTGAAGTATCGCCTGAGAATCCGAATTTCCCCAACCCCCAGTTTCATACATCAGTCTTTTGGGCTCAGACCAGTAGGTTAATGAAAGGGTTTTCTGAATCTGGCAATCTGCCTAATGAGACTGAACATGTTTGAACTAAAAGTGCACCCTTGGCTTCCAGCAACTCTCTTGCAGACTGCATTACTGGTTCCTCTGTTTTCTACTAATTGCTGCAAGGGGAAAAATATGGACTACTGTGAACATGATACTTTTTAATCGCAACTACTTCTGCTGCCCTTTCCCCCATCTGGCTGCACAACTGTATGAAAAAGAAAATAGTCATTTAGCTTTTCAAAAGTCAGTAGGAAACAGGTTTTCTGTAACCTTTAACCATTCAAAACAGTGAATGAATTACTACTGATTAGTGAGCCCCTAAAATTTGGCATGACTTACAAAAATGTGTGACTTTTAAAAAAAGTTTTGCTCGTTGTTTGTCTTTATTGGTTATATCTGCTTGACTGAGGGTGGTTTAGTTTAACAGCGACAACAAGAACAACTAGCATCAGAAATCCCTGTTCAGACATAACACCAAACCGTGAGATGCTGCAAAGTTCAGGCTCTCCCACTCTTCCCCATCGTGTTTGTTCTTGTTTTTCCTAAACTACAGCTACCCTTATGAGTCGGGGGCTTGTTCTGGCTCATCTGAACTGGACCTGTAGTTATGGACACAGTCAGCTTAATCACATTGAACTCAACGAGAATTAAGCAACTTAATAGTGTGCACAATTGGAGCCAAACTTGCTAACTTCATTTTACACTATATGTGCTTATTATAACTGAGCGTCTAGGCCTGTGTGGATTTGTAAGTAGTGTAATCAGTAAAACGGTCATATTATGCCATTTCTTTGGAAAACTAGGCCAGCTTGTTCCAGATATGATATTCGTTTCATCTAATTTTCAAGGGCATTCCCCTGTGTTTTCGTATCTTTGTTTTTGTGTGCTTTTTTTTTTAGTGCAACCTATGGTCCAGCTCTCAGCATTCCCCTGTGTTTTCGTATCTTTGTTTTTGTGTGCTTTTTTTTTAGTGCAACCTATGGTCCAGCTCTCAGCTCTCACTTCCATACATGCTCAATACAATAGGGAAACTCAAAACGGAAGCCACGTAGCACGTTCAGCTTCTGAAAATCGTTTGAAAACAGGAGCAGTTACTTCCAGGTTTTCGGTGTTCAGGAGCCAAAATGTTCCAAAATGGAGGCGTTGGGAGCCGAGGTTTGACTGTACAGTAAATGGAAGCAGCAACTGGAAAATGATCACCCCTACATTCCATCTATTTTAAAACGAGAGACCAAAGATCTATAAAATGCCCAGAGTTTTCAAAAGATGCAAAGCACATGCAAATTTCAAAATGTAGTGTGAGCTTTATACTGAGGGCACTTTAAATAAAAGGATGCTTCTATGCTTGCATGCCTTGGTCAGCGGTGGAGGTGAAGCATGTCAACTGTATAATTTTACACTCTTCCCCCATTTCAAAGAGCCTGGATCTGATGGCTTTCAAATTCTTTTGCAAAAAAGTGTTCACTCTCCCGGGCTGACCCTATTAAGCCCCATGTTACCTGAAAGCCATCTTTCATTAGCTGGAAATTATGCCGCAGCTTTGCATTCAGGGGTAAATGCTCAGCGTTGCACAGCCAAATTTACCAGCATGACTACTATTATTGTTAATGGGAGCTATTTAACAAAGTCTGCGCTTGTGGCATTGAAAACGTGCTTCTTGCTGCTTTCCTGCATACTGTTCATATGAAAATAGATTGTGATTAAGTCTTCAAAGGCCACATACTGTTGATGTAAGAGAAGAAAGAGGTGGGCAGGAATAATAAAAAAGAGGCTTAATTACTAATAATTGCCTTGAGATGGCTCAATTTCTTTTCTTTTCTTTTTGTTTCGTTCCATTACTTAACAGCCGCAATAGTCAGGTGGCAGCCTGTGGGCAGCATCTGGAGGAAGCAGACAGGGGCAGTTTCCAATCAGATGGAATCAGTTCCTATCGGTTTCTGTGTGGCCAGAAGTCCTTCGGCTGCTGTGCTTACCCTACCCTCCTCTCCACATCCAGTGGCTCATTTGCGGGCTCACAAACACTCTTCTTCCATTAAATCCATATAAGAATATATTACCATATCTTACAATATTACTATGTCTTATCTCTGAATAACACAGGATGGTTGCTGTAGCTCTGTGTCTGCTGTTAGACGGCAGAATGCCTCTGAATGCCTGTTACTGGGAAGCACTGGTTTTTCTGGCAGGCCTCCCCTGGGTCTCTGGCGTGATCCAGTAAGCTCTTCTTATGTTGACGGGTTAAAGAGAATGCCAAGGCACGCCTGCCCTTTGTGAGGATAACTTCCAACCAGCTTTAGTGAGGATTTCTTTTCTGTCCTTTTCAAGTCAGAAGTCTGTACATACTTACCTGTGAATAGGAATGGGGCAGAAATTTGCTCAGTTCACATTTTAATGCAAACCTGCCTAATTTGCGCATGTGAACTGATATACTCCTCTGACACTATAAGTGAGAAACTGAGGTTTTGGCAGGATGAGCTGGCTTGGTTTGATGGGAGTTGGACATTGTGGAGGGCCACAGAGAGCCATCTCATCCCCAATATTATCTAATGTCTACATGAAACTGCTGTGAGTGTTTCTGAGGATATTTGGAGAGCAGTGTCACTGGTATGCTGATGACATTCAGCTCTAAGACTGCAGCTGGTACCCTGATGCAGTTATGGACTGGATAAGAGCCGAAAGGCTAAAACTGGATCCTGACAAGATGGAGGAAATGTGGATGAGCAGTTCTCTCAGGTCTTGGAACTGGGTGAAATGCCTGTTCTGAACAGGGTTGCTCTCTGCCAGAATGAACAGGTGTGTAGTTTGGGAGTGCTCCTGAGTCTATTTCTGTCAGCTTATTCTTGGCCGTCTCATCGCATGGCAGCACAGCCTTTAGGTAGGATGCAGTAATTCAAAGCTGTGGCTGCCAAGAGGTGAGAGGACCATGAGAATGGGACCCAAATCACTTGTACTCCAAACTTTAGCATGTGGACCAGCTCTAAGAATGCACCCCCTTCCCTCGCGCACAAACAAATGATTATATTCCAGGGTCCTGGCTTTATTTAAAAGGGGAAAAATACATCTATATGCCCTGATAAACACAGACACTAATCTTATGTTGTGAACATTTTGCAAATGAGGATCTTTAAAATCCAGGAGATGTGGCCACTGTGTACATTGTATTATCCTTTAATCTCCAGATCTCATCTGTACAGTGTTTACTACAATGCCATCTGTATCATTCACAGATACTTAAGTGGCTATTTGATTGGATCAAGAATCTACTATAAGTGAACTGAGTTTGTTAGTCAGACTGAAATCCACCAAACTGGCAATGCTTCTGTTTTCCATCTTGACTTGAAAACAGAAAAGGCAGGGAGTTTTCTTTTTATCTTGTTCAGGAAGTTTTCAATCACACGTGGGTATTTATAATCCTGTCTTTTACACTTGGGACATTTAGCTAAGTCAAAAAATTCAGCCCTGTATTGGCTCATGAAGAGACTCACACAGCCAGTTTCCTTATGCTTGTAATATAGGGCAAGGTGGTAACTGAGGAGCATATACAGATGCATATAACTAGACTTCTGCCTTTCTATCTGTTCAGTTCCCCAGCAACTGTTGCTACAACAACAGTTAATACACCCATAAGGATTGGGCAGTTAATCTTTATTTATTTAGCAATTATTTATTTATTCATTACATTTCTAGGCCATCCATCCACTAAGTCCTCTGGATGGTTTACAAACTTATTAAAAATACAAAATACAATTGGGGTGAGGGGGAATAAAAGCAGTATATATAACTACATAAAAATCAGCACAAAACAACAACAATGACCTCAAAGCCACCGTAAACACAAGCAGCATAAAATCAACATTAAAAACAGCAAAGGAAAAATAAATTAATGCAAGAATTTAAAAAACATAAAAATATAGAAGTTATGGATTGAAAAGGCCTGGGAAAATAAAAATGTCTTCACCTAAATTATCTAGAGATGTATGCCTCAGTCCTGCAAGGAAGACCTGCCTTCTGCATATACAGCTAATATGGATACAGGCGACAACTGTTATGGGCACGTTCAGTACGTGTGCAAACATGCATGTGTATATCACCATAACCCGGAATTAGTCAGAAAAGGGGGCTTAATGGGGGCAGGGCCATAACGGGCTTATGCATGCTCCACCGACACGCGTGGGGGTCAGGAATGTAACCCCTTGTGGCAAAATGGTTGTTGTCTATACTCATTTGAGCCCCAATGAAGAAGCAGGGTGTGTTCTTGATGCATATGGGGAAAATTAGTTTTTATTTAATCATAAATAAATATTTTAGCCTACAACATATAAAAAAGTTAAAAGCAAAACTTCAAAACGGTTAAGAGCAGATTAAAAAACATGGCTAAGTTTACATACACTAAAGACAACAACAACGACAACAACAACAAAGCAGGGCATAGATGATGATGATGATGATAATTTATATACCGCCCTATACTCGGAGGTTTTAGGGCGGCTCACATAAAGAGATCACTGTATATAAAATAAAAATAAAAGCAATAACCCAATAATACCCCCAAAAGAGCCACATTTTAAAAGGGTATGGGATGTTGATCAAGTCAACCAAAGGCCTGGATAAAAAGGAATGTTTTTGCCTGGCGCCTAAAGGTGTCTAATGAAGGCGTCAGGCGAACTTCCCTGGGGAGAGAATTCTACCAATGTCCTGGCATGGGAGGAACACAGCCAAGGGAAAACTGGTGGTTTAAAACAACAGCAGAAGTGAAGCAGAGACAGTTAATTGCTGTGGGATCAATTTAATGTAAAACAAGTGTACCTATTTCAATCTAAACATAAGTCTAAGGGCATCAAATCATGTCTACAGTAAAAGTAAACCTTAGCTATCTGATTATTTACTTGTTTATTAAAAACACTTCTAAACTGTTCTTCATTGTAAGAGCTCATATCTTATCCACTGACTGAAGTCCAGAAGCTACTGAAATGCTTGGAAATCCTAATGGCTTTCCTAAGACAGCCAAGCAGGCAAGTATCTTCAGGTCTGTTTTGGAACGCAAAGATTAAAAGACGCCTGCTTCTTGGGAGAAAAGCAGTGACAAACCTAGACAGCGTCTTAAAAAGTAGAGACATCACCTTGCCAACAAAGGTCCATATATTAAAAGCTATGGTTTTCCCAGTAGTGATGTATGGAAGTGAAAGCTGGACCATAAAGAAGGCCGATCGCCGAAGAATGGATGCTTTTGAATTATGGTGCTGGAGGAGACTCTTGAGAGTCCCATGGACTGCAAGAAGATCAAATGTATCCATTCTTAAGGAAATCAGCCCTGATTGCTCACTGGAAGGACAGATCGTGAAGCTGAGGCTCCAGTACTTTGGCCACCTCATGAGAAGAGAAGACTCCCTGTAAAAGACCCTAATGTTGGGAAAGATTGGGGGCACAAGGAGAAGGGGACAACAGAGGACAAGATGGTTGGATAGTGTTCTCGAAGCTACAAACCTGAGTCTGACCAAACTGCGGGAGGCAGTGGAAGACAGGAGTGCCTGGCATGCTCTGGTCCATGGGGTCACGAAGAGTCGGACACGACTAAACGACTAAACAACAACAACATTGTATTGAGCCCCTTCATGGCAACTGGTCCCATCACCTCCTGGCAAATAGAAGGGGAAGAAATGGAGGCAGTGAGAGATTTTACTTTCTTGGGCTCCATGATCACTGCAAATGGTGACAGCAGCCATGAAATTAAAAGACGCCTGCTTCTTGGGAGAAAAGCAGTGACAAACCTAGACAGCGTCTTAAAAAGTAGAGACATCACCTTGCCAACAAAGGTCCATATATTAAAAGCTATGGTTTTCCCAGTAGTGATGTATGGAAGTGAGAGCTGAGAGCTGGACCATAAAGAAGGCTGATCGCCGAAGAATTGATGCTTTTGAATTATGGTCTGGAGGAGACTCTTGAGAGTCCCATGGACTGCAAGAAGATCAAATGTATCCATTCTTAAGGAAATCAGCCCTGAGTGCTCATTGGAAGGACAGATCGTGAAGCTGAGGCTCCAATGCTTTGGCCACCTCATGAGAAGAGAAGACTCCCTGGAAAAGACCCTGATGTTGGGAAAGATGGAGGGCACAAGGAGAAGGGGACGACAGAGGACGAGATGGTTGGATAGTGTTCTCGAAGCTACCAGCATGAGTTTGACCAAACTGTGGGAGGCAGTGGAAGACAGAAGTGCCTGGCGTGCTCTGATCCATGGGGTCACGAAGAGTCGGAAACGACTAAACAACAAAAATTGTATTGAGGCTTCCGTTTTCAGTTTTTCGGTTGTCGAACGTTTCAGAACAGTCTTCCAGAACAGATTACATTCGACAACCAAGGTTTGACTGTATATATATAAAAAAGAAGGCAATTTAACCACTCATTCAACAGTTAGAATATCCATATATTTTGCACTCAGGCAGGAGTCGACCAGCCAACCCAAAATGTCTCAGATATGCAGCATGATGTGAGAGGGAAATGTCCTGCACTCTCCAGTTCATGGAGCTGAGGCTGGATATGGAAGTAGAAAACAAGCTGTTGTCCCCAACAGTTCAGAGCTGGAGCAGGAAGCAGAGTCCCGTTCTACCACCGTACCTGGTGTGTGAAGGGGAAACCAGGTTCTGCAGGGCAAAATGGACTCAAGGCTCCCTCTAAAACTGAAACCTTTGCCTCCTGTTCCAGCCCAAAGCTGGAATGGGAAGCAGAGGCACAGCAGATCAAGGTTTATCTAGCTGGGAGCTGCAGCAGAGAGCTACAAGCTTATTACACCTCTTCCTTTGTTTTCACTCAGTGCAGTCAGAAGAGCCAAAACAAATCCTGTGGTTCAGCGAAACATTGACGCTGGAGAAGAGGTGATGTTCATTGTCTCTCCTCTTCAGCTCCAGGTAGCTTTCTGCTCATGTCAGTCTCTAGAACCTGCTCCCATCCCCACTTTAGCAGGAAGAGGGCAGCGAGATAATCAAAACCTGCCCTTAGGCAGAGGCGAAACCAGGCTTTATTTCACCCAGGACAAAGACCCAGTTTGGCGCGCGCACGCGTGCACACACACACCATGTATGCAGTTGCATGCATACACACACAGGCTGGGAGACTCAATGGTGCCCCTCTGGAGGCTTCATCTGGGGCAAAAAAACCCAGCTAGCCTCCGCCTGCCCATAGCTATGGACTGACTCAGGTATCTGTAACCTGTGTGGAAGGTAGTGTGAGAACTCACTTTCAGGGTACAGTGGTACCTCGGGTGATGTACTTAATTCGTTCCGGAGGTCTGTTCTTAACCTGAAATTGTTCTTAACCTGAAGCACCACTTTAGCTAATGGGGCCTCCCGCTGCCGCCGCGTCGCCAGAGCATGATTTCTGTTCTCATCCTGAAGCAAAGTTCTTACCCCGAGGTACTATTTCTGGGTTAGCGGAGCCTGTAACTTGTAGCATATGTAACCTGAAGCGTATGTAACCTGAGGTACCACTGTACTAATATGAAGGCACAGAACAGCACAATGTCCTAATGAATTAATACACAGGTAAAGAAAATTTTGCTCTAGGAACCATTTGTAGGAGAATAATTCTCTTTGCAGCGTCTCCCAGATTGTTTCAGGGACAGCCAAATAAGAAGCAATACAATGTGAGTTTGAATCAGGACTGGCTTCTGGCAAGAAGAAACGTGGTATCCCAGAACTCTAAAGGAGTAAAGGAAGAGCTAGAAAACAACAAGGGATAATGTGGCAGTGGGAACTGATGAGCCCCTGGGCTAGGGGTATAAAACATGGGTAGCAACAGCAGCAGTGCTGGAATTAGACTTATTGTTGAGGTAGGTTGACATGAAATATGGCGGTTCTTGGGGAAACCAGATCCCAAGCTATGAAAGAAGTGTAATGTGTAATTGACATAAGGACGTCAAACTGGGCTTGGAAGGGAACTTAGGCAAATCTGGCCAAACTAGTGAAGTATGTTTCTAGTAGCAAGCTGTACACTCAAAATCTTGGATGTTGTGTTTTGGACTGACTTTGAGCTATCTTCAAGAACCTCATCATATGCAACATATTACAGCAGCTTAAACAGGTTTCCAGAGACCACAACACCAGTTTCCAGAAAAGATTGCAGCCACCACAAGAGCCTAAGCTGATAGAAAGCACCCTATGCCAGCAAGGACACCTTCAGCTCAACTGAATATAAAAGAAACCCTCATTCTGTTTGCTCCAAAGTAGGAACACTGGTAAACTCTGCATTAAGATTGCGAGCATCGCAGACATAACTACTGTTTCATGTCTAAATGCCAACATCTGTGAGGGGAAAACATCCTTTATATACCCGGTAGAACTTTGATGCTAGCTTTGGTGTTCATATGACAATATTAAGGTGAAATATGAAATTCCTCACATTTTTGGTGCTGACGTTGCACACGTTACTACATCTACTGCTCGCTGAATTTGGAAAATTTTGTCACAAACTGCAGATGAGGTTGTGGAACTGCTTGTAGCCTGTACTGCATGCGAGGCTGACATGATTGAACGGTCTGTCACCCGCCCGCCCGGCCTGCCTGCCTGCCACACATGCTCACAGTAATATCCTGTACTGCTCATAGATGTCAGGAAAAAGAATTGTTTTCTTCTTGACGTCTAGTTTCTATGTGCAGTTTTGTTTTGTTTTATGTGGACGAACTTTCCAGCAGTTGAGGCCCTCACCTGCAGTATGATTTGTTGCTGCGCAGGCATAGAGATTTATCTCATCTTCTGTTTGTGAGAACTAGGCCTTACTGTCACCTGATAGATGTCAAGCCCTTTGTGTGAAGAGCTGCCAAATGATGTGGTCACCGTAAACACAGGAGGAAATGGAAAACAATGGGATGGTCTGCTATCAGGAAACAGCTTTTGAGAAATTTCTGAAAAGTACAAATTCTGTGGTGATCCTTTCGGAGCGGCTTATCCCTAAATATGACAATTTTAGTCTTTTGCCTTTCGTCAGGATCATATACGACATTGATTATCTGTGCAATATGTTTACTTATTGTCAGGATTAAAATGAATTAGATTGTAATTCAAGCTGTACTTATTTTATTGCTCTGTATGCATTAATTATTGCAGCAGTAAATACTATTTCAGGTTAATATTAGCTAATGCCTGTTAATTTGAGTGACTCCAGTGTCTTCAACAGCAACAGGACTTTACATGCGAGATTATGAACAATATCCTGAAACTCTAGCACACCTGCTAGGCAATGAGTCCCGCTGACTATAGAATCATAGAATTGCAGAATTGGAAGAGACCCTGAGGGAATGCAGGAATAACCCAGTATATTAGGATTTACTTCTGGATAGACGTGGATATGATAGCACTTAAAATTCTCTTGCATTCTTAGCGGTGAGAGTAGAAGCCAGGCTTTACTAAAAGGGTTTTTCTAACATTCTCAGTCCCGTGGCGAATGTGATTTAAATATTTTGCTGTAGCTCCATGTACAGGAACCTGTGTCTCTCCATTCCACGACCAGATACTCTGCTGATCTGGAACTTGGCCAGTTGTGGGGATTCCTTGTTATCAATCATTTACTGAACATTTATAATAATGGTGCAGTAATACATTTCCTGCAGTTCCTGTTATGTCATTGAGCCTCAGTGGCATTTTCTCCCAAGGAAGCAAGCAAATTTGGGATTGGTAAACCAGTCGTTGAGATTATACTTCCTTTCTGTTGAACTCCCCCTCCTTGCCACCAGCAATCGTCTTAACTTCTCTGTAGGGCTGACTATAGCAGTTTTACAGCAACATTGGCGAGCTCAAGAGACAACTTATTGGTAGACCCAATTGGGCTTTTTGGTTTGGGATATTGTCCACAATCAAGGAGACAGTAATTAAGAATTTTATTGGAAATCTTCCTCCTCTTCTCCCAAGCATAATTCCAGGCTGTTGGCTAGGAGATAGCTGTGAATTATATTCATTGGGTGGTGGGGGGAACAAATTTTCATTTTTAAAACTGCTTAAACGTTTTTGCTTTGGCAGAGCTGTTTTGGAAAAAGTATCTAATTGCTTATGCTGGTCATTTTATCTCTCCCAAAAGCATTTGGGAAATTATTGCATTAATAACTTTTTCCCCTTGCATGAAATGTTTGCAGGTTTGCTGACAGTTCCTTTCTCACTGTTGTTGTTGTTGTTGTTATCTCTTTGGTTCGTAAGCCCAACATAGGAAGATTAGGTATTCCTCATGGACCTTCAGGGGAGAAGGTGGCAGTCGTAACAGTGGATGATTGCGATACTACAGTCGCTGTTCGTTTCGGAAGTTTTATTGGAAACTACTCGTGTGCTGCTCAGGGAACGCAGACAGGCTCCAAAAAGTAAGACGCTTTAAAAAAATGTTACTGTTCACAAATGATATAAACCACTTATCTTGAAAGACCTTCTCCTTATCTCTTAGGTGTGCTTAAGATGGGTCACTGTCATATGCGAGTGCACTTTCAAATGTGACTGTGTTAAGAAAGAGTTTTTCCTGTTTAGGGAAGCTTTTAATGTTTAATAGGTTATTGTATTTTAGTGTTTTGTTGGAAGCCGCCCAGAGTGGCTGGGGAAACGCAGCCAGATGGGCGGGGTATAAATAATAAACAATAATAAATTATTATTATTATTATTATTATTATTATTATTATTATCATCATTTGTCTTGAACTCACTAGATGATTTCTTCTAAGTAAATTTGAGATTGGAGAGAATAATTATTTTAGATGCAGTCTCTCCTATTGGCTAGACAACTGTTGTTATCATGGTTTATTACATACCTAAAAAGCACTGCAGGGTATAAAATAATAGAATCTAAAAGAAAATACACAGGTGGGGGGACAGAACGTAGCCCTGCAGGTTTACAGTCTAAAATTTCAATCCTTATCATGAGCAGCCTTGCAAGCCAAATTCAATATTGTGTGATTGACAGGTGGGTGGCCCCCGCCCACCACTCAAAAGCCATTGTGGGGGTACCATTTCTGATACCTGATTTCTAAACGTCTTTGGATTTCTGATTTCTTAAGGTCTTTGGATCTAACTGGCCCTTTGCTCCTTGGAGGAGTTCCAAACTTGCCTGAAGATTTTCCTGTGCACAACAGACAGTTTGTTGGATGTATGAGGAACCTCTCCATTGACAGCAAGCCAATTGACATGGCCAGTTTTATAGCCAACAATGGCACTCTTGCAGGTATAAACTCGATATTGCAGGGACGAAAACAGAACAAATGTGGTTTTGTTTCATTGAGAAGTAATATCCCAGTAGGTGGGTGGGTAAGGGAGCATCAAGCAGCTAACCCACCCTCACTGCCCAGCCTTGGCATCAGGCCCCTCCCCTCCCCTATGCGCTGCCCCCTCCCTCTGCTTGCTGGTGAGTACCGGCACTTGTTGGATGATAACTTCTTTCATTCCTGACCATTGACTATGCTGACTGGGACTGACGGGAACTGGAGTCCAACAATGTCTGAAGGGTCACATGTATCCCACTTACCCTGCAGAGTAAGTGACAAGAACTGGATTTCAACGACTTTTGTTGCAATACAGTTTCAGTAATCTGAGAAGGAAGAGTCTGTATCCTGGGTAGACCCCCTGCACTGAAAAGAAGGGGAGGTCATGTCATGCCGCGAATTATTTAATGCACTCGCTGATGGTGATATTGCATCTTTGAGTTCCTTAACTTCCAAGAGTCACAATCCAGACAAACTTTTGGGTGCCCGCAAGGGCTTGTGTGCAAGCTGCGGAGCTTCCAGCGGCAGTTTGCTTTCTGCGCAAATAAACTGCTTTTTAAAAACTCCCCAGAAGTTTCAAAATTGTCCAGCAGTGCTGCAGTTAGAGGTAAGGAAGCTGCACAGTATCTGCATAGCTCATAGCAGCAGCCCCACCCCCTCCCCTGGATTACTGTGTATAGTTGCAGCCATTCAGAAAGCTAACAATGAGATTAATCGTAGCTTGTTATTAGCATGGGGGTCGGTAGAATGCTAAACAAGTGGAGGGCTAAACCGATTCTTTTGGAATGCCAGGCTGTTTAGCTCAGAAGAATTACTGCACCACCAACTGGTGTCAGAATGGAGGCACCTGTGTGAACAAATGGAATACCTACGCCTGTGAGTGTCCCCTGCAGTATGGAGGGAAGAACTGTGAGCAAGGTGAGCAATTCGTCCGTTTTCCCTTTAACATGTAAAACATCCATAATATATGAACAAATATGAATTGCTCCAGGGCAGCTTCTGGGCCCTCAGCCTTGTATTTTGGCCCATTAGGTGCTTTCGTAGAATCATAGCATCCATGACAGGTGGACAGCCAACCTCTGCTTAAAAACCTCCGAGATAGGAGAGTCCACAAATGCATAAAAGAGGGTGGGTAGTGTGTGTGGTTCTGTTATATTGTCCTAGTATAAGCAAATCTGTGTACAACCACACCTTTTTTTCAAACTTAGGAAAAAGGATCTAGAGCTTTGTTGCAATAATCTTTTCTTTTAAAAAAAAGAACATTAAACCACAGGTTTCCTCCTGTAAAACTAATGAACTCAAAAATACATTTTGATGGCGTGTTAATATCTAATCACGATTTGAGTCAGAACCTATTTGATTCATGTTAAGTAGCAGGTTATTAGTCCCCTTTTGCGTTACGTTCCCATAAAATGCACTTGGAGCAGAGACATAGCTCTGTATTCCTGTGTAAACCGACTTTCCTGCCAAAAAAAAAAAAAAATCTCCTTAGAAAAACATTAGATTCATTTTATTGCCGGGAAGCCCCCAGATCAATTACTTATTTCCCGTAACGTATCTGTGGGGAGAAATATGCATAAGGGGAAATAAGTAATGTCAATAAAAGGGAACTCTTAGCAATTTATGACCAAGGTGAAGCAAACATTGGAAGTGTGCGGGGGGACGGACGATGGCTGCTGAATATCAAATACTTTGGAGAACCACGTGTATTTATAAGAGGGCTGTCAAATATATAGGCCCTGGGATGTTCATGACACACCAACCATGTGTTTTAGTCTACCAGGTCTTTTATAAAAAAAACCACACACCTTTTTGAGGCTCACCTGGGGCCATGAAAATGAAGTTTATTAACCATCTGGTAGGCCTTGATACATAAGATGGCATGTCTACTATAGCCTAGAGAGTAGAGCTTGACAGACCCATATTGCTGTTGAAAATCTGAACCATAAAATTCAAGCTGGGTTTAGTTACCTTGTGTTTATAAAGCTGATATTAGAAATGATGCTTTTTTTTTTACACATATAGCTGAGCTCAGCATGCCTGGTATGCAGTGAACGAATCTATTCTGCGACAAGCTTGCTGTAGGGTTTGTTGCTTCAGACTGGCGAAAGCTTTTAAACATTTATGTGGATTTAAGGACAATATACAGATCAGCTGCTCAGAAAGGGTTGCAATCTATATACTGCCATACAAGCGCCTGCTGTATCTGCTCTTTCTTAGTTGATATTGATTTCCACTGGTAGTTGATGCATTGTGTTTCTCCAAACTGAGGGAAGTGTTGGTTATCATGGCACATACATTTAAAGCCCCATGATAGATCACTGGTTTCTTGGAAGCCATAATTCAACATGTGAAGACCATTAGTTCGCCATCTTTAAAGTGTAGACACTGATTCATTGCCAGAGCTGAACCACTTGAGTACTGCAACTTGCCCTTAATTTACTCAACAAAGCCCACTTTGTGTGCTTCCAGGCAAATATCCACTAGCATGTCTATCCACATCCCACTTTCTATGGAAGAGTTGTCCTGAGCACAGTCTCAGCCAGCCACACTTAGGAGTGTCATGCTTTGATTTATGCCAGTGCAACTGAGAATGTCATGAAAAATAATTATGTGGTGGGTGGGTATGTCCCCCACTCCAATTCAAAACTTTCAATGAAAATTCTGCCTTTTGTTTTGTTTTCTTTTTATCCAATGTTGCAGTAATGCCTTTCCCTCAACGCTTCACCGGAGAAAGCATCATCATCTGGAGTGATCTTGATATCACTATTTCTGTGCCATGGTACATTGGTCTCATGTTTAGAACGCGCAAGGTTAATGGCATGTTGATGCAAGCAAATGCAGGGGTCTCGTCCAAGATCAACATTCAGGTAGATTGGTTCAACACAGCACCAAACTTAAATATGTATACTTAGTCATAAAGCACAGTCCAATACATGTTTGCTCAGAAGCAGCTCCAACAGCGTCTAGTGAGGCTTATTCCCTAATATGTTTACTCCAGATGTTTATGTTCATAAGTCTAGAACAAACAGGTAGGAGAAATTAAATGCTACAGCACTGATCAATCCATTTGCCATAAACAGACGTTTCTGATAGAAAATAATAGATTGCATTCAAATGGAAGGCAGACTATTGAAACAAATATTTCTCAATATATATTTAAAAACAAATAATAGGATAGTCTGGAATGCGCAACCTTTGGTTTGCTGCAGACTTTACATCCCAGGTGAACATGCAAACTATGCAGACTGCAGGTATCGTTACTAGTACATGACAAGGGATTGAATTAGAACCCGTTTTTCCAGCAATGAACCGAAGTTAATGTTTTCAACAGATACTGAACAAATATGTGGTATTTGAAGTCTACGATGGACTGAACCAGGTGGCTAGTTTGCGGATGACTCAGTCCCGAATCAGTGATGGCGAGTGGCATCATGTGCTAATAGAACTGAAGAGTGCAAAAGACGGCAAAGACATCAAGTACCTGGCTGTTGTATCCTTGGATTATGGGATGTATCAGGTGAGGTGGCATCAGTAACCTTTCAGCATAAACATGAGACCAGAATGAGCAACTGTTAGTAATACAATATGGCGGCATAACTGTGAACTATACCAAGGCCAAGTTGTTCTACCTTAGGTTCAAGAACCTGTCTTTCCATCATTGCCCCCTTCCTTGCCCCACTTCTCATTCCCCATATCTTTCTCCTCACACCCAACCTCACAAAGCCTATGATAGCAATGTCTCACACCAAATGTAACTCACCTGCAAATAGGACTGCATGAACTGAAAACTGAGATGTTATATGTACAGTCGTACCTTGGATCCCGAACGCCTTGCGAGTCGAACAGTTTGGCTCCCAAATACTGCAAACCCGGAAGTGAGTGTTCCAGTTTGTGAACATTCTTTGGAACCAAACATCCGACGTAGCTTACGCTTCTTCCGATTGGCTGCAGGAGCTTCCTGTAGCCAATTGGAAGCCGCACCTTGCTTTCTGAACGTTTTGGAAGTTGAATGGACTTCCGGAATGGATTCTGTTCGACTTCTGAGGTACCACTGTACCTTTGTTATCCATGAAAATCTTTCAATAAAAATAATTTTCAAAAGAACCCATTTTCCGCCAATCGTGCATGAAGGATAACATGGTCTCTCTAGTTATAATAAGCGAGATTTTGCAACTTTTCCAAAACCCACATATCACACATCGGAGCCCATAAGAAATTTTTAGCGCCAAATGATTTTTATCCCTTCCTGGCTGCAGAACACACACACACACAGAGAGAGAGAGAGAGAGAGAGAAAGACTCTGACTGAACTGGCTGTCCTGTAGTTGAATTGACGGAGAAAAAGGCATTTTACCTCTTGGAAATGCTTCCTTGTTGAAGCAGAACACAAACAGCTTCCATTACCTCTTTAAGTTTATTGTTGATTACGTCCCCTATATCAGTGAAATATTGTAACCGAGAATGTATAAAGAAGTGGCAATCTCCTTTGCTGTGTTCTTCATTTCAGAGCACTGTACAGATTGGAAATCAGCTGCCTGGACTTAAAATGAAAAGCATTATTGTAGGAGGCGTCTCTGGAGATCAAGTCTCTGTTCAGCAAGGCTTCTATGGTTGTCTCCAGGTGAGAGCTGAAATAAGTAACGAGGGGATGTTTACCCATGAGAAGCATTCTCATCTCCTCTGGGAATGGGCCAGTTTGGGGTAGAGGGCAGAAAGGGGTGGTATTCATTTGTTTATCTGCATCTCTTTTAAACACTGATCACTTAGTTGACTTAATTATGAGGACAATGGGCATAAGTCCCATTTAAATTAATGAGACTTTAAGCACATAACTGTGTCCGCAGATCCGTTTGATTTTAATTAAGCATATTGTGTCAGGGTGGCATCCAGTGGTTTGTTGGTTATGATTGCTTTTAACACCAGCTTTTAAGAAGTATGGTTTCCGGTTCATTAGCTCTCCATGACTGATCTGGAATTATTTTTTTTAGGGGGGGAGGCATACTGTTCTGCCGTTTTTAACACTGCATGTTAAAGCTGGGGCACTAGTTGGATGTTACCATTGTTTATGTTCCTTCACTCCTTTTTCAGGGAGTGAGAATGGGGGAAACGTCCACAAATGTAGCGACTTTGAACATGAAGCAGGCAATCAAGATTAATGTCAAGGAAGGCTGTGAAGTGGACAATCCCTGTGATTCTAACCCTTGTCCCCAGCACAGCTATTGTAGCGATGACTGGGACAGCTATTCATGTGTCTGTGATCCAGGTAATAATGGCTTGAAGCACACTATTCATAGTAATGAGAGCCTGGGGGGATTATAGAATTCTGTGGTTATGAAAGTTCTTAAAGAACTTGGCAACAGTTGCAGAAATTCATGCTCATAATCCCATAAAAATCAAGAGTAGCAAGCACCCATCATAGTTGTGGATGGTACCCTGTTGCTCTCCATTATATTCGTGAACTCACTTTGAATGCCTTCTCTTGGAGGAGAATAGCATCCCACCCGAAATGCAAATTCTTCTGCAACGTCATTTTTTAAAAAGCTGCATTTTAAAGGACCTATTAAATGTCCATTTGTTTTAGTTTGCAGAATTTTGAAAGGTTTCTCCTTGCTGCAGAACGGGATTTTCTCGAGAAAAATGAAAGATTGACACGAGCTTGAAAATAATCAGAGAGTTAAATATGTGATGGAAAAGCAAAACAGAATTTGATTTGTTTCAATTGGTTTCAATTTTCAAAATGTTTTAATATCCTCCCTGTCTTTATGCAAGCCAGTTTCTTTCAAAATGGGTTTGACTTTGAAGTTCAAACTACATAACTGAATCTGAGCCAAGGTGTGCTTACTTCAGAAATAAGGCTGCATTCCACACCATTTTTGCACTGGGCTAGGTGGGACATTAGACTAGGCAGATGTGTTCCTCTGCCCTCAACCTGCAGAATGATGTTGAGTTAATGCACGTTTACTTCAGAGGTAAGACTGCAACCTAAACTGTCTTGCACTGGGGTGTGTGTGTGCTGAACTGGGCAAAAGGGTTCCTCTGCCCAACCCTATATTTTTAATTAATGCCTTAAGCAAAAAAAGGGGAAAAAATGTGTGTGTAGGCGGAAATTGCTCCTAAATATGATCCCAACTTTTTAGAAAAGTATAACTTTACTGTGCTGTTAACAGTAATCTCTCTAGACAGTGTATTGCAGGAGGAGATAAATTTCCTGATAACCAAAGAGGTGCTATTAGCGTATAAGAATAAAATAGATTGCTTTCCTGAGATGCACAGGTCATAAATTACAAAGCAGTTGCTATATGTCTATAACCTTGTCTCCTCAGGGTACTTTGGGACAGAATGTGTTGACGTGTGCAGTCTGAACCCATGTGAGCATGTCTCTACCTGTGTCCATAAGCCAAGCTCTTCTCATGGATACACCTGTGAATGTGGGCAAAGCTATTATGGGCAATATTGTGAAAGCAAGTAAGCAAATGACACTGGCCAATTCTTAGCCTTCCTTTCCTACTCCATCCCCCTCCCCCAAATCCCTTGTATTTGTATAAAGAAATGAGGAGGAGCTACCTTATTCAAAACAGAATTTTCCTTTATTCTTTTTATCATGTAGAAAATGTGCAAAAGGTGCATATTTGTAACAAATTCCACATCAAGTGCTATATAACGAGTGCCACCATAATTTTTATTCAATAATAATTTTTTTCACCCACCTTCCCTCCCATTTTCTGTAACTTGACAAACTATGCCTCAATGGTTTCAGAAGAAGAGATCTTTTAGTTTTTTGTAGCTCCAAAGCTGAACATTAAATATATTTTCCACCTTCTTTGTAGAATTGATTTGCCTTGTCCTAGAGGTTGGTGGGGAAATCCCATTTGCGGGCCATGTAACTGTGAGATCAGTAAGGGATTTGATCCTGACTGCAATAAGACTAATGGAATATGTCGGTGTAAGGTAAGCAAAAGATTGCTCACTTCATTGGAACTAACGTTCAAGCTAAAGCGTAACAAATAACTGCAATTCAAAATGAAGCAGTTGTGTTGATGTTATCTATCATTTCTGCAAGCCTTCTATATTGCTTTCCATGAACCTGACTTCAATAGCTACATTTCAAGAAGGAGAAGGAGAAAAACATTTGGCCAACCTGAGAATTGGCCAAATGAACTTGTATAGGGTTATATTTTTGTTTGGGCTGGCTGTGACAAGCTGCAGACACCTACTTTCAGTCGGCAATAAACTGAGCACCTTCTGCACATTATTAATTAAGAGTATGCAGAATCAGCTTCGAAGAATTTCTCCAGTTGGGTCTCTCACAAGCTCTTTTGCATATACATGCATACACATGCTTGAACTAGTCACAACTTCTTGCCACCTGTATATAATTTGTGGAAGTAAAAACATGTAGTTACTTCAGAAATGTTGTTCACTTTGAACACGTTTCTGCCTCCAATACACACATAGAAAGGGAATATTTCATTTAAAAGGAATGAAACATGCAGAGTACTTGATAGCCCTTGTTTTGTTCAAAGCTGTTAAGTAGTCATTCACACTCGAGGGCAAACTGTGGTTCAGAAGTGCATCTCTGTATTTTGAAACCAACCTTCTCAGGTCCAGATTGTTTGGCAAGTTTTCTCCGCTCAACTTTAAGCATCCTTTTACCGAGGATGAATGTTCCTTTACCTGAGATAATCTTTAAATCGCATTGAAGTGTGAATTCTACCCATTGCTCATATCCTTGATTTGCAAGCACCTCTCAAGCCTCTCTCTTTTTCCAGGCAAACCATTACAGACCACAGAGCAGCGACCGCTGTTACCCGTGTGACTGTTTCCCTTCTGGTTCCCACACTCGCACCTGTGACCTAGAAACAGGGCAGTGTCCCTGTAAGCCAGGAGTGATTGGGCGACAGTGCAATCGTTGTGATAATCCCTTTGCTGAAGTTACTGTTCATGGCTGTGAAGGTACCTATACATACTTCAACACCAGACCATTTTAGATTTAATTTTAATCCCGACTCTTAAAATCCCTTTTCATCTTCGCATCTTTTTGTTGTTTTGATTTGTTTCACATGCATTTTCATTCTTGCTATGTTTTCCTCTTATGTAAAGCACCCTATAATTATTTTTTTAATTGAAGGGCAATAGAAAGATTTCTGTAATAAATAAAATAAATTGTTAAACGGAATTTCAGAGAAAAGAGAATCCTGGCAGTGGGCAAATTTAATGTAAACAGAATATTCCAAATACTTGTGACTGCCTTTCCAACGGAGGCTTTTTCTGCAGAACAAATTGCCCGCTGCTTTGTTCAGATCTCCTTCTGCATCTCTTGTAGAAACTTCTTAGATGAGCTTGCTAGTTTAAGCATGTACAAACCTTACAGCATCTTATGAGAAGCTGCTTTATCCTTTGCTTCTACTGAAAGTGACGATTGACATGTTTTATGAATACCCTCTCCTCCTTTCAAAGTCCAGAATAGAACTAAGAATGTCTAAATGTTTGTCCTCAGCAAAGCAGAATCCCTTCTGTTATAACTTAAGTGCTATTATATTATCAGAAAAAGAAAGGTTTTCTTTCCCTTCCACCTTACATAGTGGTTTACAATGGATGCCCCAAAGCATTTGAAGCTGGCATATGGTGGCCACAGACCAAATTTGGGCTGCCTGCTGCAGTGCCCTGTCCCAAGGGATCAACAGGTAAGTACTGCCGCTAACATGTTGAAAGTGTTATCATAGCATCAGGGGGTGGGCGAGTTAGATTCTAAAACTTTGTTGTACACACAGAGAGTAATGTATTATTAGAGCCTGAAGACAAGAAACTGCATAGCATAGACAGAAAGTTTAATCAACATAAAACTATTAAGAATACCTTTTTTTAAAAAAAATAACACAATGGGAGGTAGAACGTTAAAAATCATGAAATGGTTGTAATACGGCAGGCATGTCCAACAGGTAGATCGTGATCCACTGGTAGATCACTGGACGTCTGCAGTAGATCACTGGCAGATCATTGGCTTCCCCCAAAGAAGCTGAACAACTGTGGCTCCCCTAAAAAAAGCTCAACATTTTACCTCCTCCCTGAAAAAGCTCAACAACTTTGACCCGAACCCCAAAAAAGGGGGTAGATCACTGCCAGTTTTTAACTCTGTGAGTAGATTGCAGTCTCTTGGGAGTTGGCCACCCCTGCAATATGGGAAAAGAAAAAACATTTTTACTGAAAATATAGCTGATACATTCTCTTTCATTCTGCAATATCACCACATGTTTTCCATTGTGATGTGTATGTAATTTAAATGGTAAATAATGGACAGACAAACCCCTGGTCACTGATAGAGAATTATGCCTTAGAACACCTGTAATATTTCTAACAGTTCCTGATACCCAAGTTTTTATTCTAGACACAGCAGTCCTAACCCTTGATCTGTGCTGCTGGTAGGAGTTGGATTCAGTGGAAGTGTCGCTCCACCAGGTTCTGTTGGTGGAGTTTCCACCAGCAGAGGCCAGTCCTCTGCTGGATGTTTGGACACAGGGCAGGTCTGACTGTGGATCTGCTAGATCTGCCCCTCTGTGTCCCTGCCCATTCTGCCTTCTAAGTTACAATAAATACTCTTCTTTAAGATAACCCAAAGCGAAACATTTGTAGTTTTCTTATCAATTAAATGTGGCATATGGCCGTCAACCATTGTCTTTGTCACAAACACATTTTCTTTTTAAGGAAATGCTGTTCGTCACTGTAACAGCGAGAAAGGCTGGCTCCCTCCCGAACTTTTCAACTGTACTACCCTTGCCTTTGTGGATCTGAAAATCATGGTAAGTACAGGGTGCTTTGGAAGAACCGAATGTCTGCTGACTTGTGCATTGTGTTGTAGTCATAGTTGCCCTTTAATATCGCTGGAAATCGTTGCCGAGTAACTGCTATGCCCACAGGGTGAGAACTGCACATTCCTACATGGGATTACAGGTGTGTCACAAAGAGAGAGAAAACCCAATTCTTTACCTATGACTGTTACTCGCTTTAGAGTTCTCTGAGCGTTCACGTGTCCTGCCTGCTGCTACTGCTACAGAAACTTTTAGCGCTCTTATTCAAACTGGAACCAAGCAGGAAGTGCCTTTTCTCTGCCACACAGAATATGCTCAGAGCATTAATTATGTAAACCGGGAAGGAACACTAGTATTTCCTCTGATGGAGTTTAAGCTTTTGATTGTTGGGTTGTGTATGTGCAAATTCTGTATCTGAGATTGGGCAGAGGCCACCAAGAGCTGTTTCACACGGTCTTTCAGTGTTTAGGCAGGCAGGACACATAGTGGAACACAGGAATAAGTGTTGGGCTCATAAGTATCCTCTTACATGTATACAGATGTGCACCCACAAACACACACATATACCTGATCACGTGACAGTCCAGGCGTCAGTTTCTCACTGCGCTGCATGTAGATCTACACACTTGGGGAATCAGCATCCCATTAAACCCTTTGACATGGAAGAGAGGTGCAGTTTGCTTGCTAAGTTGGAGCCTTTGTTGTTTTGGGTCTTCAGAATGAAAAGCTTATCCGTAACGAGACCAACATGGATGGCGACAAGTCAGTGCACATAGCCAAAGTGCTCCAGAATGCCACCAACCACACGGGCTCCTTCTATGGGAATGACATTCGGACCGCCTACCAGATGATGCTCAGGGTGCTGCGATATGAAAGCGAGCAGCAGGGGTTTGATCTAGCTGCAACGAGGGATGTGGATTTCAATGAGGTAAGAAATGCTGAACCGATACTGAGAAAACTTGGGCTGCGCCACTTTAGCTCCAGAAATAGCGCAGATGTGTTCCATACCACAGTCCTACCCACGTCCTGCAAGGAAAGATCACAAAGTTGGCTGCGGAAACTGCACAGCATATGGTGATCCTTTAAGTGTTTCTGAAGAGTGAGACTTTGCGAAGGCTTTGAGTAGGATGTACTGGATGCATGCATCGTCTAGTCCCCAAAATAACTGCCTTGCGGAAAAGTCACAGAACAGACAAATCTCTTGTAAATGCATTTCACTTGAAAACAAATGCAGATAGCTATTTCCCTATTTCATAGAGCCTGGGTTTTTATGTTATTTTTCTATTGTTACTTTTATAAATCTTGATCATGTGAAATACTTAAAATAAAACAGCCTCAGTACCCCCCCCCCAAAAAAATCTTTAAGCAAGACTACAGCAGGACGTGTCTGCATTGTTTCATTTGCATGTTTACCTGTAGCAACAATATTAGTCATTTTTGGGGGGACAGGAAGTATTGTTCTTCCATTTTGTGTGCAACATTTCCCCCTTTCTTTCTCCTAGAACATCATAAAAGCAGGTAGTGCTCTACTGGACCCTCGTGCCAAAGAGCACTGGGAACACATCCAGAGGACAGAGGGGGGCGCAGCACACTTGCTGAAACACTACGAGGAATATTTCAGTAACGTAGCCAAGAACATGAAAAAAACCTACATGAAACCTTTCATAACTGTTACCACAAACATGAGTAAGTAGCTGTCGTTCTTGATCAGATATGACTTCCTAGTGCTTCAGGCCTAGGCCTGCCATGTTTATTTGATTCATTGGCTAGATTAATTAATTTTAAAAAGGCTTTGGGTCTGGGGAGGTCAGGAGAAGCCCCAGAACAATGTGAGTGGGAGATTGTTCCGTCAGGCAAACAGAAATGTTTGCGCTGGCAGAGCAATCTCCTTGAAGGCAACACTGTATTGGGAATTTTTTTAATGTCTAATGTCTTCCATTTTTTTATGTGCTGTAAGCCGCCCAGATGGATGGGGTATTATTATTATTATTATTATTATTATTATTATTACTACTACTACTATTACTGAATTCCTCCCATTGAATTCAGTGGGTTACATTCAACTAAGTTCTACTCAGAGTAGAACCAGTGAAATAAATGTATATTAACTAATGGGTTTACTCTGAGTAGGACTAGCATAGAATAAGGCACTGCAGCCTTAGTCATTTATCTTAATGCCAAGGCTTATATTATTAAGATTGTGTGAATGATGTACAATAATAGATCCAGATTTCTTCTCAACATCCATGTAGTTTACAAAGCTAATAAAGCCTCACATTTACTAAAACACCACTGGATGTTTGACTTGTATGTGGCAGAAATATGTATTACGGCAAGCTCTTTTTATCTGTTTAGTTATTGCTGTTGACATCTTTGAAAAGTCTAATTTTACGGGAGCTAAAGTACCACGGTTTGATGCGATTAAAGAAGATTATCCTAGAGATTTGGAATCGTCTGTTTTGTTTCCTGATACTTTGTTCAGAGCTTCCGATAGAAAAGGTAGGATGCTTATTCTACAGGCGTTTGGAAACCTGTAATGTGAATTCTCAGATCAGCTATGAGACAAAGGCAGTTGGATCCAGGTGTTGTTGTTGTTGTTGAATTTGTATACAGCCCTTCATCCATAGGTGACAGTTCACAAGGAAAAAATACAGCCTTTTAAATGTGTCTGTGGGAAGGAGGGGCGTTGTTTTGCTGTTTGGTTTTACTTACTTTTATGTTTTTATCCTGTATTTTACTTTGTGAACTGCCCTGAGATCTTACGATGAAGGGCAGTATATAAATCTAATAAATAAGTAACACAAAAATCAACACACATAATAAAAAACAAGAACAAAACAAAACAAAACAACACCTCACAACAAAAATCCTCCCCAGGGAGAGGCCCAGTGAAGTAAACAGGATTTAAGCTAGCCAACGGATCTACTTCAAACATGACTAGGTCTGGATACAACCCAATATGGGGTTGGAGAATGGGTAATGTTCACTCAACAAACAGAAGAAGCAGTTTCCCCCTGCCTGTCCATTAACTGTCCATTTGTACCAACTCACGCCAGGTTTGGCTCAGCATAAGGCCATTTTCTCGATATGAAAAACTGAAGGGGGGGGGGACTCCAGTCATGTTTTGTTTTTATGTAAATTACAATATTCATAAGGCAAAAATAAATGGGTCCTTTTAAAATCACTTCATATTTAGCAAGCTCAGAATTAGGTCTTTAAAGCATGATAGTAAAATTTGGCATTGGTTTTATCTTCAGCCATTCCTACGATGAAGCCTTCAAACCTTAGATTGCCTCCTAAAATAGAAGATGAGCTTTTGAAGAACAAAAATGTGCTTGCAAAAAGAAAACGTCGGCATCCAGAGGACACTGCGCAGCATGCGGTTGCTATCGTGATTGTATATCGAACCCTGGGGCAGTTTCTGCCTGAGAGCTATGATCCTGACCGAAGGAGCCTGAGGTAAAACTGAGCTTCATTCATTTGCTTTGGGTAGCATTTGTCTATTGTGTTCTGGAATGGGAAGGCCTTGCTACCTGAGAGCAATCATGTGTTGCGATTTTAATACTAGATGTCTTCAAAACTTACAGGTTGTAGCTAACAAAGTTAATTCTCAGAGTAGACCCACTGAAATTAATAGACTCAAGTTATTCCTGACCATTATTTTAGCAGGTTTACTCTGAGTGGGACCAATATTGACCACAATTCTATTCATCTACAAGGCTGCCTCTGTTGTTCTAAATCATAATCTAATTAATCTATGTTAAAAGAGATATCATTTTGGTAAAAAGCTGTTAAATTTCTTAGGGTAAGTTCACACATGCTTGTACATCACCTGATTTCTAATGACTCATTGTCTCGCAGTAGAATATGTGCCCTGACTCCATTTAAAAATATTGTGTTTCAGGTTATGTCAGGTTATTATTCTATCTGCGGTTTCTGATTTATGATGGCTCAGTAACATGCATAAGCTATCACTTGATTCTTGCAGTCATCACATGATAAGCATACATGTGATAAGCATACACAGCAGGTGGCACTGTGGTCTAAAGCACTGAGCCTCTTGGGCTTGCCGATCAGAAGGTCGGCGGTTTGAATCCCCACTATGGGGTGAGCTCCCATTGCTCTGTCCCAGCTCCTGCCAACCTAGCAGTTCAAAAACATGCCAGTGCAAGTAGATAAATAGGTGCCGCTATGGCAGATAGGTAAACAGCGTTTCTGTGCACTCTGGTTTCTGTCACGGTGTCCCGTTGCACCAGAAGTGGTTTAGTCCTGCTGGCCACATGACCTGGAAAGCTGTCTGTGGACAAATGCCAGATCCCTCGGCCTGAAAGTGAGATGAGCGCCACAACCCCATAGTCGCCTTTGACTGGACTTAACCATCCAGTGGTCCTTTACCTTTTACCTTTACACATTTGAACTACCCGTTCAAACTTTTTCCTGACACCACACCCATCTAAATTCAGTGGAAAGCTATCATCTGAAACTGGGCAAAATACTATAGCTTTGTTTTCACATCTGTAATGGTATGTTTTTCCCCTGGTTTTTTTTCTTCCAGATTACCCAATCGGCCCATCATAAACACCCCAATAACCAGTGCAATAATTTACAGAGATGGGGAATCTTTACCAAATCTTCTGGACAGCCCCATTATGATTGATCATGCATTGCTGGAAACAGAGGAGAGAACAAAACCGGTCTGTGTGTTCTGGAACCACTCAACTGCGTATGTTTCACAATCTATTATTTTGGAAAGTTGCTATTGCATGTGGACATGTTAATGTTAATGGGTCTTCTTCATACAGCTAGTCTGAGAAAGAAGTCAGTGACAATCTTGCGTGCTGCCACTTTCTATCAGGAAGGGTAAATCTTAGAGCAGTGTTTAGCCCTGGTGCTGAGTGAGAGAGGGAGAGAGGAGGTTTTTCATGCCCCATTACATTTCTGCTCAAAGTCCAGACAGAGCATTTGGCTAAAATAAAGGCAGGCTGCTTAATAGGAGGAAATGTGTGTGTCGTCTTGTAACAAGTATCATGTGAGTCTAAAGGGAGCACACGAAGAGACAGCGCGCACACTGTCCAAGTGAAGAAGATGCAAGTTGGCCCAAAGGCAGTCCTGCAAGTCTTGATCGTAACTTGCTGTTGCTCTCATTAGTTATCTTCATTGGTTGTAATGAAAAAAATCGAAAATACATGCCTGTGGGCAGAAATGTGGTGGATTCTGTGAGACCTCTGACCTCTCTATATTTCATCTTCCAAACCCATATTACGGGTGGGATTGTAGTTTATTCTAAGGATTTCCTTGCAAGAAAAAAAAAAGGGAGCTTGCATAAAATACCTATGTCTGCGATATATGTTGTGCTCACGCAGCCCAACATAGGGTTGTTCGGCTGGAGCTCCCATGTCAGCAAGGGCCTTCCTACGTGTAATTTTAATTGCATGACTTGTAGCCAAACCAGGGGCTTTAAAAATGTAAGGGGTATGTGTGTGATTTCCATGCTGACCGCAGCTTGCAGGGAACTTCTCTCTCTCTCTCTCTCTCTCTCTCTCTCTCTCTCTCTCTCCAGCCACTGTCCCAATGGAAATCCGCTCCCGGCTTGCAATTTGCAATCCAATTGGTGCCAATGGCAGCTTTTTTCCATTGCTAATTGCAGCTGGAAGACAGGTGAATACCATTGGGATCACAGCTGTGGAGGGAACGGGGCGTGGTCCCGTACTTGCTGTAGTGGTGATGGAAATCATGGGGCTCATACCTAAGACCGTTTTTAAATATCCCTTGATTTGGCTATAAGCCGAGTAATATGTCGTGTGCAGCTAAGGTTTCCTGTCCATATATTTTTACATCTAACTAAGGGGGAGTCATATGTCACCTACATCTTTGCTAACTGTGACAGGATCATAGGAAGCTCCCTTATACTGGGTCCATCAAGGTCCATCAGTATTGTCTCCATGGACTGGTAGCAGCTCTGCAGGGTTTCAGACTGGGGACATTCCCAGTGCTCCTTCCAGATGCCAGAGACGGAACCTGAGCCTTCTGCCTGCAGTGCCAATGCTCTGCAGCTCACATGGGTGTAAATTTTAGACTCCTGGTGGGCAGTTAGTTTTCTTGGAAGCCCACATTGAGTGTGAAGTAAAGGATGGAGAATCAAGGTGCCAACTCACATCTTTCTCGGTTGTGTGCTGGCACGTCTGTTACCAGAAACACAATTCCCATCACAGCCTTCCGGTTCTCCACTTGATGGACAAATTTGGCAGCTAAGCGGCACTCCTTCTGGGGCCAAATTTAGTTTTGATTCCATCAGTTTCTGATCTTGACTTTAGACAGTCTCTTACCAGCCTGGGAACAAGAGCAGCAGCAACTATACATTTGATAAGAGGGCTATTAAGTTCAGTAGGAACTTGATAATTTCAACAGAAGAAATTTGAGCACATGCTTTGCTCTCCAGGTGCAGTCAGTGAGACCTAAAGTGCCCACTTTTTTCTGGATCATGCCCTTTATTCCTGTATGCTAAGATTACAGCTATTACCGCCTCTGCAAAAAAATATGCCATACATCAAAATGGCATATTGAAAGCATGGGAAACGCAGGCTCTTTCACTAGCTATACACTTATGCAATCAATAGAAGAGCATAAAAATATACACATATCAAATAAAGAAAGAGACATATAATAATGAGTTTTACTACAGTGTGTTAACCAAGAGAAGATTCAATACTATTTGAAGATCAAAGAGACAGCTAAGCCTAATAAAGTAGTAAGAATGGGTTACGTAGTTTATTTAGGCTACCTGCATATAATTTGGACATTTGTCATGTTGAGGCAAGGTTTAAAGAAGCAGCAATCTTTCTATTTTAAGCATCTGCTTCTTGTGCTTCCCTAACCGCCCAGAGTGGCAGGGGCAACCCAGTCACATGGGCAAGGTATACATAATAAATCATTATTATTACAGTGGTGCCTCGCAAGACGGAAATAATTCGTTCTGCGAGTCTTTTCGTCTTGCGATGTTTTTCGTCTTGCGAAGCACAGTCCGTCGCAACTGCGCCTCTTCAAGTGGCTTTTTTTAAAAAGCGCAAGACGTTTTCGTCTTGCGAAGCAAGCCCATAGGAAAATTCGTCTAGCGAAGCAACGCAAAACCGAAAAACCCTTTCGTCTAGCGAGTTTTTCGTTTTGCGAGGCATTCGTCTTGCGGGGCACCACTGTATTTCCTCCTCCTGCTGCTGCTGCTACTACTACTACCTGTTTTTGCCTTATGGAGCTATCATGGTAGAACATATGGCTGCCCTTCTTGGGAAGACATGGAGAGCACCAAATTTATGCAGGTTATTCCTGTCTGTATTTCCTCACAAAGTTCTGTGCATGGAAATTGGCAGAACAGATGCATTGCTACTTAATAGTCGGCGAGTGAAGGAGAGACGGCCATTTAAGGAAAATAGCAATTCGTCATTGAAATAGTTTCATCTGCCAGCCAGTCATACAAATGTCATTGGATCTTGGTTTTTTTGCTTCATTTCCCATTGATTAGAATTGGAGAAACCGGGGGCTGGTCCTCAAAGGGATGTGAGCTGTTCTCTAGAAGCCAGAGCCGAATTGTTTGCCAGTGCAACCATATGACCAGTTTTGCTGTCCTAATGGATATTTCAAAACGTGAAGTAAGTGCAGTTTCGTGGGGATTTTTTTGGTTTGTTAAAGTTATGAAATTTAGCAGGTTTGAGTAGACCTCCATCAGTGTTTTGTGTTTATCTTGAAAGGCAAATCACCAGTGTATCAGAACGGCGTGCCTTGACACTAATTCCTGTTACAGTTAGTTTGCTTGTTTTTACTAATTTATTTTGCTTGCTACCATCTTACACTGTAGATTTCTCTGAAACAAGTTACATCACCACCGCATTCCTGTTGAATGTGTTCATCTCCATCACATTCCCTGAAGGCCCATACAAGGCGGCAGGATGGCTAATTATATACAGAACTAGTACCCGGAATTTCCATCCCTTAATATCAGTTTTTTCACCCTTCCAATTTCCAAGTTGCTCTGCAGCTTTAATTCACCCTAAGCTTGAGACGGGAGCTGCTGTGACTCCCATTTTACAGATGGGGAGGCTCCGCAGTAAACCTTCTGGGAGCTGACATTATTCCTTCCTGATACAACCAACTGAACAAAAATGGCCATTGAATAGACAGCCATAAAAACTGGGCAGGAAACCTTGGCTTCCCAAATATAAACAGAGTTGTGCCTGGGCACCATTACCCTGCACTTCAGTCCATGCTTGCCCATTTTAAGTCCTTGGATATCTTGATGGAGGGAAGTCACAGGCCCTGCACCTGGCTCAGTAATCAACTTGTCAGGATTGAGAGTTGCTTCGGAAGTTACCCATATGTTTCCAAATGCAGAGAAGAATGACATTGCCCTGTCACTAACCCGTGATCAAGGAGAAGACAGTAAGCTGCAGGGTGGTGCGGATGTAGGCCATTCCTTACTAAGGATCCCTGGCAATAAGCCCTGCTTATTGCCTTCGTAGCCAAGATGGTTGCTCAGGTCTCTGCAGGCCAGTTTATATACACTCACGTTTATATGCACACACTGCTCTGTAGTTTTCTGTAAGTGACTGTGTCCCCTAGAGCCAATTGTTGGTCGTGTTCTGGCAAGGCAAAATTGTGTTCTTATCTCCAAAACTATGAGGGCTAGAAACATTGAAATAAGGAAGCCTGAAAGTCTCATAATTCAGGCCACAGAGTCTGCACAAAATTCTGATTATAGGCAAGGTTAGCTGTAGCTGAGTGAATCTGCACTGTAACTGTAAATAGTATAGTATTCAGTGCATGGAATTACCCCTGCCTCTTGAAAGATTGTATCTTCATAAAGGCTCACAAAAGGATTACTTGAGTTTACTAATCTAGAGGATGGTCTTTCCTATTGGATATAAAGTTGAACCTCTGTTCTTGAACGTTTCCATTGACTAACGTTTCAGAACCCGAATGCCAAAATCCCGGAAGTAAATGCTTCCGTTTTCGAACATGCCTTGGAAGTCAAACAGCTTCCGCTGCTTGTTTTTCAATTTTCTCAATTGAATTTGCCAACAGCCCTTTGCACCTCGGTTGTTGAACATTTTGGAAGTCAAACTGTCTTCCGGAACGGATTATGTTTGACAACCGAGGTTCCACTGTACTTCAGGAAGCTATAAATTTGGAGGGAAAAAATAGTAAAAACTTGCTTGGTGGTTTGAAACTAATTTAATTGTGGTTTTCTTTTTATTACTAAGAAAAACCATCAAGTGAGTTGAAGGTACCTGACATTTTTTTAAGGCATTTTTATCACTCTTTGGAGTCACTACAGTTCCTGCTTCCTTACACTATGTGATTGGGTGTGTGTGAAATTAACTCAAGTAACATTTTTTCTATATAGCACTTAGAAAGGGCATGTAGCAAAAATGATTCTTCTTAACTCCACAGAACGGCGAGGCACTTCCCCTGAAGATTATCACTTACACAACCGTCTCCATCTCACTGGTAGCTTTGCTGCTCACCTTTGTCCTCCTTGTGCTGATCCGAACCCTGCGCTCCAACCTGCACAGCATCCACAAAAACCTGGTGGCTGCCCTCTTCTTCTCAGAGTTAGTCTTCCTGATAGGAATCAACCAGACAGAAAATCCGGTAAGAGTTAATTTCAATGCCTTTCGCATGCTAGCTTTTAACAGGGCACCAAACGAAACAGAAGCAATGCTTGATGCTGAGGCTGCGCTGGCCCCAACCCACATTCAGTTTAGCACCGTTTGGGACAAGCAGAAGCTTGGCAGATGGTTTGGCTTTAAGCAGGAACCCTACCCTGTTCCTGTGACAAACGTAGGCAGACACAGAACTGCTAACAGATTGTTAAGCGGGCGCAAGACTGCATTGCTCATGGCTCCAGTCCTCTGCACGCTTACTGGGAAGAAAGTCCTGTTCGGTCAAAGCACCTGTTACCAGGCCCAGTGCCAGATTTGATAGGTCTCATCCCCCCCACCCCAAAGGACCCCCAGTAAGTTTACCAGCGGTTTGGGGTGAGCGTTGGCAGGAATAAGCAGCAGGGAGAGGCTGTTATAGCTGCTCCTCTCAGCGCTAGGCCCTTAAAAGGGAGAATAAAGCTTTGTTTGCGCTTTGGGAAGGTAATGGGGCTGGCACTATTTCTTCTTCATCTTTCAGAGTTGAAAGAAGTACCAGGCACAGTGGCTGCCATCTTATTTCCACCTACAGGGGTCAGCAACCTTTTTCAGCTGTGGGCCGGTCCACTGTCCCTCAGACCATGTGGTGGGCCGGACTATATTTTGAAAAAAATAATGAACGAATTCCTATGCCCCACAAATAACCCAGAGATGCATTTTAAATAAAAGGACACATTCTACTCATGTAAAAAACATGCTGATTTCCAGACCGTCCAGAGGCCGCATTTAGAAGGCGATTGGGCCACATCCGGCCCCCGGGCCTTAGGTTGCCTTCCTGACCTAATATCTCTGGTGCCTGGCAGACTGTTGCTCTGAAAGCAGGAGGTCTCAGAGGTTGAAGGCTCTACTACTAATACAGGGAAATTAGTTTGTGCTTAGGATTTCAAGCTTCACCGTAGCTGTAAGTGCTGCATCATCTTTCCTGCAGGTGGTTCTTTAAAAATTATTGTGCCCATCCTTTATTTTCAACAAGCCACTTCGAAAGGCCTATTTGTGTTTTATATACCCGTATTTCTGTTTGATAGAATTTCCAGAAACCAATTTCCTTTATGTTAGCATGAGAACAGCAGTCTTCTGCCCCTCTTTTTCCTCAATTAACAACAATGTACTACTCCCTGTTTCTGTTCCTTAAACCATTTGTTAAGGTATTTTCTTTAGCAAGCTACGTACTGCACAGTAAAGGGCCACTCCTTGAAACTGTAGCAGTGACTGTGTTTCTAGCAACTATTAATCCTTCCTTGTGGAATAAGAATTGTCCAAGGAGTCACACACGGATGAGCATGAAAAGTCAAAGAATGTGGGAGCACACATGAAATGGAATTCCTCGTCATTTGGTTTAGCTTTTATAAGTTTCTGTAAAGCAACAGTAACATGGCAGGGAGAGGTTTCAATCATCCGTGGATGATTGATGGGGGGGGGGGAATGATATATTTTCTTTGTTGCATATCTGAAATAATAGTTTTCATCATGGTGACCTGTACAAAACTAATATTTTTAGAAGCCAACACACACACACACACACACACACACACGTTTAGAGCAGTAAAAACTTTTTTTTTATTTTGTGGGGCATATTTTTAGTTTTGTTTAAAGAACTAGCCAGAGCAACTAAAACCATAGTTCTCAAAGTGTGAGGCAGGTCTGTAGGGCTGCCAGGGGAGGTTCAGTTCCTCACCGACTCCTTTGTGAATGCCTTGATTAGAGGAGGTGGCTCACCCTTCCCCAGTAGTCCAGTGTAAGAGGTGGTGACTGCGTTCAGATGGAATGATAAACTAGGCTTTATTGTTACAGGGATGAACCTAGGTGTCTTGATCTGGTATATTACCACCAACTCCTCCATTATGGCTTAATGGGGGAGATTAGAAGTTTCAGCTTCCTTTTGTTGATTAATCAGCTTTGAGTTACATCCAAACCCTAAACTGTCATTGATCTTAACCAAGGGAGGGGAGCGCGTGTCCCTCCAGTTGTTTCTGGACTACAACTCCTATTACCCCATATCATTGGCTATTCTTTCTGGGGCTGATGGGGAGTTGGAATCTGGAGGCCCACAGGTTCCCCACCTATGTAGTAAACCACCCTTTCGGCTAGCTGCAGTTTGTCCAGGCTTGAACAAAGCACTAAATTGCAATTTCATCTGAATTTGGGGGAACCACTTGAATCATCCGTTCATGTTGAGCTATTTCAATTGCTTTTGTTTGATTTGCCCATTGCAAACAGCTGGAGGTCTGTAAATTTTGATAATAAACCTGATTTACAATGGAGGTTGAATAATTTCGATTGCAACTGTACTTGGCTAGGAGGCTGCATTCATCTTGGCAAGGCAGATGTTGTGCAAGTATTTCTAAAAGAGCACTAGTACATTAGGATAAACTTTCTGTAATTAGGGAAGTTGTGATTGCTAAAGGCTACCTCTAAGTTTAGAGGCTTGTTTACGTCTAACGGAAGTCCATCTCTTGTGCCAGATTATTTTGTGGCTCAACAGAAGCCATTCTAATTTTATAGCCTCTTTCTTTCTCTAGTTTGTGTGCACGGTGATAGCCATTCTTTTGCACTACTTCTACATGAGCACCTTCGCTTGGATGTTCGTCGAACAGCTTCACATCTACCGGATGCTGACGGAAGTGAGAAACATCAACTTTGGACACATGAGATTCTACTACGTCATGGGCTGGGGGATTCCTGCCATTATAACAGGTAAGGAAAATTAGATGATGAAGGAGGAAAAGCTAATATGGTGGGGAGATATCTACACTACAAACTTACAACTGTCTTCTATCAGTATGGCTGTCATGGCATCCTTTCAAAGAGTCATGGGAACCTGGTGACATCGCTGCATGTTCTCTGCTTGATATGCTGACATTTTAAAAGTTTTGCTATTTAGCTCTGGCTTTTGAACTGTTCGGGACGCAGGTGGCGCTGTGGGTTAAACCACAGAGCCTAGGACTTGCCGATCAGAAGGTCGGTGGTTCGAATCCCCGTGACGGGGTGAGCTCCCGTTGCTCGGTCCCTGTTCCTGCCAACCTAGCAGTTCGAAAGCAGGTCAAAGTGCAAGTCGATAAATAGGTACCACTCCGGCGGGAAGGTAAACGGCGTTTCCGTGCGCTGATCTGGTTAGGCCAGAAGCGGCTTAGTCATGCTGGCCACATGACCCGGAAGCTGTACGCCGGCTCCCTCGGCCAATAAAGCGAGATGAGCGCCGCAACCCCAGAGTCGGCCACGACTGGACCTAATGGTCAGGGGTCCCTTTACCTTTACTTTGAACTGTTCAATAATGCCCCATATCTGCAACACTTCCATACGGACTTCCAGTTCCCTGTGGAGAGAAACTGTTTTTAAATCAATGGATATAGGCCCTATAATCGCTCCCCTTTCCTTGTGCTGGGCCTAATTCAAGAAGTAGTTGCATCCTTAGGATTATACTTATCAGTGGTGCCTTTAGATCAGAGGTTTCCAACCTTTTTGAGTCCACATCTCCCTTGACAACTACATTCTTTCTGTGGCACCCCTGTGGGGCTTAGGAGTCCAGTTATGTCGCCCCTTGCCTGCAAAGCTAGCAGCCTCTCACCCTTTTTGGAACACCCTCCCTTGTGGAGTGCTCCTTCAGCCTCCTCTCATTTCCCCTCTTGCAAGTTCTCTGGGCAGCCACTACTGCTGCCTCTGGTCTCTGAGCTACTCCCCCTCCCGTCCCAAAGAGAGGTGCCTCCTCACAGTGCCCCACAGGGGCCTGGGAAGAGGATGCCCCCAGCCTTAGTGGCCCAACAGAGACAGGCCAAAGGTGAACGTGAGGCCAGCACCTTACCTTGGGAGGCCAGCAGCGGGTGCTGCCAGCCCTGCATGGCAAAAAGGCTCCCCTTTGGCGCTGGGCACTCAGCTCCCAGGCAGGCCTTGCACACAGCAAGCACAAGAAAGGCCAGCGCAGTGCCTGCCTGCTTGCCTGCCCAGCCTCCCACTTGTCTGTTCATTCCCAACAGCAAGGACTGACTGGGGTCCCTCTCCTGCTTACTCTGAGGCTGCCATAGCTCTCAGCAACCAGCATCCCCTGGCCAGCCCCAGAGTCACCATTCGCCTGCGGAGCTTGTAGCCAGGGCTGCTGCAACAAACAGCTGTGCAAGCCTTTGGGAGGCAGAGACGCAGGAGGGCATCAGAGGAAGGGAAGGAAGGAAAGAGGGACAGAGGCCAGTCTTGGTTGAAAACCACTGCTTTAGATATTAGAAGCACTTGCAGGCACAAAATGAAGACGATACACATATTTGTACTGGGTGCCTCTTGCCCTACTTAAAGTAACTTCTGTGCAGATAAAGGGACTTAAAACATAGCTGCATTCAAGTTGGAACAAGAATCGCACACATACCTCAGGAATAACTTCATTCACTTTATTATAATTACTTGGTTGCTTGCAGTGTTTTTCATATTCTGAGAAGAGAAAGAGGCGAACATGCTCTAGATTTCACTTGCGCTGGTAGAAATATTCCCTCAGGCGCACAGAAAATGTGACCCTGCAGATGATTATTTATTATTTTGTTTACTATTTAATTACATCTATATTGCCACCCATCAATAAATATTCCCCCGGTGTCTTATAACAAACAACATTAGAGGTGCAATATATAACAATTAAAACCAACAATTCAACAACAAAAGAAGACAGAAGCTTCCGTACAGCAGAGACAGCATAAATCACTTGCAGCCCTTGTTTCAAACACAGTTTGAAAGACTGGATGAATGAAAAGGTCTCTATTTGGTGCCGAAAGGCCACAAATAGAGGAACCAAGCAAGCCTCTCTGCAAGGAAGCTGTTCTCCATAGCTGAGTTTCCACTACACACACACACACACACAAAAAACAGCCCTCTCCTTGGTTGGTACCTACCTCACCATATTTTTAAGTTATGCATATTTTAATTTTCTTTACTTAGAAGATTTCTTTGCTGCATTTTAAGGACCATTACCTTGTAAAGTTGTTGATACTTAATACAATCCATCAAATAAACAATCAGTAAAATGTTGTAAAACAATTAAAATAACTTTCACATTCGACAACAAAAAAGAAAAGAAAAACCAAGTGGACAAATAGCACGATTATTCTAACCCACACCCTGCATGACATTTCTGTGTCCAAACTCCTTTCCCCCTCCCCTTTTTTTTAAATAAAAAAATAAGGTGTCTTTAAAGCTCATTTAAAAGAAAGAAGAGCCAGAGTTTGCCTAACTTCCACTAAAATTATGTTCCGTGGTGAGGAGAGCACTGCAGGAAAAAACCTGTTTCTTGTGCATCTGGTTAGCCACTGTGAGAGCAGGATGCTGGACTATGTGGAACATTGGCTATTTTTACTTTGTTCTGTTCAGCATCCAGGGATTTTCAGTGCTTGGGGCTGAAAGAAAGCTACCTTCTGCCTCTATGCCCCTCTTTAAAAGGTCTCATTAGTGAGTTGTGAGATGTATTCCTTGTAAGGTTTATTTTGGGGGGGGGTGTTGGAGAACAGGGTGTGAAAGACTAAGTATGCAGCGTTTGAAGCCAAAAACAATTTAAATGAAACTTTCTGGGTTTCTACTTGTTCTATATTTTTCTGCTAATGAAATAGCAATCATTAATAAAAAAAATCCTTAGTGGTGCACCACAGGCTCAAATAAATATAGCTGATAGAGCTGTCGTGCAGTGTTTAAAATGGTAGCCAATTAATTGCATGACTTTTAATCAGTTAGTTAAAGCTGCAATCCTATGCACACATATCTGGGAATAAATTCTGTGGAACTCTTCTGAGCATAGGACTGTGCTGTAATGTGAATAAAACCGGAGTAAAACAATCTTTGTTTTTAAGAGTATGCACAGCAAGCGACATTTTATACAAGGCATTTCCTTCTATGCGAGGGAAGCGGAATGCTTTTAAGCTGCTCACTGCCACCTCCGATTTTGTATGTGCTTAGGTTATACTTAAAAAAAACAATTCCTGCCTGATTAATGTGGAATACCCTTTAAAACGGATCAATTTGATCCATTAAACTAAATATGGAGCTGGCAGCCGGGAGTTGCCTCACTCCCATGAAGGGGCTCTTTGTCTGGGGTAAGAAAGGAGCCGCAGGGATTGTCCGATTTGCTCAGCTGTTTGTTGCTCGCCAGCCACTTGGAGCTGATGGCAAGTACTTCCTTCACCCATGGAGGGGCTTTTCTGTATGTACAGGTATGTGGGGTGGGGGGTGTTCATTCAAGGATGCTGGGACAGGTTGTGGAGGGCAGAGAAGGAGGGAGATGCATGTGTGGCCTCTTTCTGTGTGTACGTGCATGTGTGTATGAGAGAGAAGAGGAAGGGAGCCTGTATTTGTGGTCTCTATGCATGTGTGGCCTGTGAAAGAGAGGGAGGGGTGAATTTGGTCAGAGAGGGGTAGAGCTGTATGTGTGGTCTGTGTGTATGGAAGGCCTGTAGAAAAGAGAGGTTGAGGGAGGGGGAAGTATGCATGCCAAAGAGAGGAGAAATCTTTGTGTGGCTGTTCACATGTGGAGTGTCTGTGTGCATGCGGGAAGCAGGTACAGGTGTGTCTGCTCTGTAGAGCCCAATTCAAAGTGCTGGTTTTGACCTATAAAGCCTTAAACAGCTCAGGACTGCAATACCTCAGGGTACCTCTTTCCATATGAACCTATCCATACCCTGAGATCTTCTGAGGCCCTCCTTCATATATCTCCTCCTCGAGAGGTCCAGAGGGTGGCAACACGAGAACAGGCCTTCTCTGTAGTGGCTCCCTGTTTGTGGAATTCTCTCCCCAGAGAAGTTCACCTGACGCCTTCATTTTAGGCACCAGGCAAAAATGTTCGTTTTTAACCAGGCCTTTGGTTGATATGACTGACATCCCTTTTAAAATGTGGACTTTTGGGGGGTGGTTGTTTTTATTTTGCTTATATATCTTGTGATTTTTATGTTGATCTTTTCTGTGAACCACCCTGAGACATCTGGGTATAGGACGGTATATAAGTTCAATAAATAATAGGGCCGGCCCACCCACAGGGCAAGCTGAGGCAGCCACTTGAGCTCCAGTGGGCTCCACGCTCACCCCACTGCCAATGGAGAGGCAGCAGTAGTGGTGGCTTTTGGTGAGATGCTGCAATATCTTGTGTGTGCTGCAAGATCTCGCCAGAACCTGCCACCACTTCGTAGGTGCCACCACACATCCTTGGCGGGGCGGCAGGACGGTACTTTTTCTAGTACCAGGGGACGTCCCCTGTTGTTATTTGACAGCAACAGCAACATGGTTTGGGGGGAAATCATTATCGTGTTATTTCCACAATCAGGACCAACAGGAACTCCTGTATTAAACATGAGGTTGTGCTGCAGGGCAGGAGGAGAAATGACTGTACTCTCTCTCATTTGTTGTCATGCCACACACCAGTGGAGCCATTTGGTGTAATGCTGCACACCCAAAATGGAGCCATTTTGTGACTGGTGCCCAAAACACTTCCTCAAAATTCAAAATGTGTCCGCTGGCCCAAAGCGGTCAGCAGCTTCTGCTTTATAAAATATTAACTTTTCACCTCTGTGTACACACACACACACACACACACACACACACACACACACGTATAGTAATTGTCTGCTTTCCTAATGCAAAACTATAAATTACAGTTTGACCGGTCCCACTCCTTATGTATGTTTGCACAATAATTAATAATGCAAGCCAAACATTTGTTGCAAATGATCAGCGGTAGCAGAACAAAGCAGACGATAAGGTTTGCTGACAGCTTATTGTGAGTCATGCATGGTTTCCCAGGAAGTCAGGACTTGAAAAGTTCAGAAGTAGGCTCCTTAGAAAACAAAGCATTGTTCTCCATTGGTAGCTGACAGACAAGTAAAATTACGATCCTTTGCACATACAAAAACTCATGCAACAGAAAGGGCCTCATAATCTGCAGTCAAATTAAATTATTGACAATTATATAGTTTAATATTTTCTGCCCAAGCTTGAGGTATTCAGTAAAATGGGTACCCTTGGCAAAAACTGAGGCAGTGAAGGGTAAAGGGATTATTTCCACTCACAAATATTCTGAAAATATTGAGCAGTCCTGATAGAGAAAGATAAATGACTGGAGAAAATATCTGAAAGTTTTAACTCTTGCAGCATGACTTCTCTAAACATTTTTCTTGAATATTCTCCAGGATGTGTTTGAAGCTTCCCTTCTGCTTCTAACTGTGGGAATTGCTTGCGTCAATTCGTGATCTAAGCCTATACTGAGTTGTTTTGATGCTGAAAAGCTAATTTTTCCACCAAGCTTGTTTCTCTGCAGATGTATTCCTTGAGAAAAGTAACTAAACTCTAGAAAATGCATGTTATTTGATACTTATCCAGTTGTCTGCATTGTGCCTCATTCTGTAAAATGAATACAGTGGTGGTACCTTGGTTGTCAAACTTAATCCGTTCCGGGAGCCTGTTCGACTTCCGAAACCATTCGAAAACCAAGGCGAGGCTTCCGATTGGCTGCAGGAGCTTCCTGCACTCAATCGGAAGCCGCATTGGATGTTCAGCTTCTGAAAAACGTTTGCAAAACGGAACACTTACTTCTGAATTTGCAGTGTTTGGGAGCTGATTTGTTCAGGAGCCAAGCCGTTCGAGTACCAAGGTACCACCATACTCTATACTAACAGGCCTGGTTGCTGTGTTTTTAGTTGTGTTATTTTTGTATTTATTTGAATCACACAGTTTTTGAGTTCTAAAAATGTAGAAAGGCTCTCTAGCACTTTTCAGACATTACAAAAGTATTTCATCTTCCTGTGGATAAAGCCTATTGGGACGTGTATTTTATTGCATTGCATTGTATATGATTCTGAGCAGCCCTAAAACAAGCCCCAAACGTAAGAGAAATACTATAATTCCTGTTAATTTTCATAGTAGGTGAACTGCACACTTAAGGGCAAGAATTGGGTCTATTTTAATTTCGTAAAATCTTAAGGCAATGTGCAGAAAGTAAAACTGCCAGCAAATATTGGATTCAGATGTTTGGCCACACTTTGGTGCAAATGCCACAAATGAATATTCAGTCTTGAGAAGCAGACTATTTCTGCCTAATTAACTGATGCCAGACATTTCCAGATGGCTAAGTATTTTTGGGTGGTGGCTGCTCTGAGAGGGAAAGACCATACCTCTCTGGCAATGGTTACCCAGAACTCGTGATATGGATGGATTGTGAGTGTGAACTATTTTGACAGACACTCCACATCAGAGATTCCTTCCACTTTTGTCTTGCGATACAGGTCTTGCAGTGGGGCTGGATCCACAGGGCTATGGGAACCCAGATTTCTGCTGGCTCTCCGTTCACGACACCCTGATTTGGAGCTTTGCAGGACCTATTGTGATCGTTGTGGTTGTAAGTATTGCAGGATCTGCCTTCGGCGTGAAATGCGTCCGAGCTGAATTTATTACTGCCAAGCACTTTGACTGTAGAACATTCTTTAAAATCCATCTGTCGTATACATCCCTAAATTCAAATCAAATGTACAAAAGACGTGGGACAGCACAGCTCTGATAACTAATCCTAAAACTATAAAAAAGAGCCTTGCCGTACAAATTTCAACCAAAACTTGGCATCCCTTTCTGCACACTAGGAGACTTGTAACTTATTAAATCAACCTTTTGTTGATTACTAAAAGGCTTGGATATTTTTGTGTGTTTCCTGGCCAGGAATCAAATCTAGAGAACAATTATGCCCGTAAGTATCATGATGTGTATAGCTTGCACCCACTTAGAAGTTGTAATTGGGAATGAACTTGCAAGCAGGATTTGAAATATGAGCAGCAGAAGGAATTGGAGAACACAGTAGTGATGTGATGGTATCAGAGATGGAAGGTATTGCACAGCAGAGGGGGAGAAATTCAGACACCATGGAAAACGGGATGGGAAGTTGGGAAAATATTAAAAAAATTATGTATTTAAGTATATATGTCAACTTTTTGAAAGTGTAATAACATTTATTACCCCAAAAAAAGTTTTAATTGGAAGCAACGGGCCTCTTGGGCCTCCTCACATAGTATTGTGGATATGCATCACTCACCCCTGAATTCTCTTTTCCTTTCTCAGTCTGGAATACTGTAAGCTTGTAAGGTCTCTAACTCCTTTGAAGAACAAAATGTATTTGGGGAAGAGAAATCGTTTCCTCTTATCCTAACAAATCCCCTCTCTAAGGACTCTTTCAACTGCAAAATGGACAAAACATCCAAAGTATTCTGGCCTGGGGAGGATGGAAGTCAAGTTGGGGGGTGCACATCATAATGAGTTGATCTTTCACCCCACCGTCACCGGCATATAGCTTAAAAAAGGCCTGTTGCATAATACTGATCATGTTCAGGGCCAGATGAGCCCCCAAACCTCAGCACTCCTGTGTTATAAAGCAATTGCACTACAGTACTCGACAGTTGAGTTCAGCACTGGCGTGCGGTAACATTATTAACCAAGCCCCAGAGCTCAGCAGTCTCACACTTATTGTGCCCCAAGGGATTTCCTGGTTGTTTGTTCCTCCCACGTACTGCGTGAATCCTTCCTGGCCTCAAGCCTGTCCCATACTTTGACGTAGACTAGTTTATCCGGCATGCTGTTTTTGCAACAGTTACAAGCATTCATGTCCATGATAATGGTATCTGTGCATTTGCAGTAGTATCTACCTTTTGCAAGTACAATTTGTAAGGCCAAAATCTTTCTTGTTCTTACTAAGCTGGCTCCAGAAGCTTTGTTTTACTTCAAACCTTGCAAAGCAGAATCTACAAGACAACTGCACCAAAGTTTCTTGAATTAAGAAAGCAAAGCATAACATGAAGTGAGGGGCTCTTAGCTGGGTAGAAATTTGTGTTTTGGTGAATTCATGGAAGGAAAACACCTGCTCATCACTATTCTGATCCATACTTTCCCCCTCCAGATCAACGTTGTGATCTTCATACTAGCAGTTAAAGCATCATGCAGACGACGGCAGCGTTCACTGGAAAAAACTGGAGTTGTGTAAGTTTGTAACCGTGACCGAAAGAAACTAATCATGAGAAGTGGTAAGACAGAGAGACATGTTGTTCCTGCTCCCAGACTGAAACTGGGACACCTCTTCCTTCAAAACGTTGTTTAGTGCCATTGTTCTTTTTACTATTTGTTGAATCTTTCGTTTCCCTTCTGTCAGCTCTTGCTCAGTCACTCCCTCCCTTGTCCCCTTTCAGTTTTCTCTTGCTTGTGATCCCCATCTTGAGTCACTTTCTCCCATAGTATAATTACAGTGATGTACTCCCTGAAAGCAGCTGCTAAAGGTAAAATAATTGCCTTCAGGCCAGAAGGTGCCTACACCCTGTGACAGCATGCTTCTGCCATGATGTAAGCAAGGAGAATAAAATGTTAATTTTAAAAAATGTTATCTATACCCTGCCAGAATTGACCCATGGAGCTGCTTACAACATACTAAAATTCAACACTTTTGCACAATATATTAAGGAAGCATGGGTACATCTGTGGAATGGGTAGTCAATGTGTTGACCTAATGAGTCTACAACTCATCAGCCCCAGTTAGCATGACCATTGGTCAGGACTTATGGGAGTTGTAGTCCACTAACATCTGGAGGGAACCATCTTGGCTCTTCCCAGCCTGTGGCATTACCGTTAGGCCCCAGGTAACTGATAACCTAATCCAGGTTCCAGGATCTTCCCTTGGCAGGGATGGGGCTAGAACGAACTTCAGGTGGATCAGGTGAATAAAAGATTCCAGTGCACAGAAGCAGCTCTTCTGTTGATCTGCACACAAATCTCCCCCACCCCCCCAAAATGCTTGTCCAGTCCGGAAGTTTGCCTCATTGTCTTCTGAGGAGTCCCACCCTCAAATATGTACAAGTTAGAGGCAAGGCAGTCCATTACCATTTTACTAACGGTGTACATAACAGGCAGGTATTGCCACTGCCCAGTGATGAACAAGGGTAAGTCATATCATCTTGTTTCTGGAGATTGTTGTAGTTTTCTGAATCACTCTGTTGAGGAAGGCACTTCTGGTGTGCTCAGTATAATACTGTGTGTGTGTGTGTGTGTGTGTGTGTGTGTGTGTGTCAGAGAGAGGAGTTGGTGTCAGTGGAAGCATACCACCTGATGAGGAAAACACTTGCTAGCACATGATGCGGATGGTGCTATGGTCTAAACCACTGAGACTCTTGGGCTTGCCAATCAGAAGGTCAGCGGTTTGAATCTCCGCGATGGGGTGAGCTCCCATTGCTGTCCCAGCTTCTGCCAACTGAGCAGTTCAAAAGCACACCAGTGCAAGTAGATAGATACTGCTGCAGCAGGAAGGTAAATGACGTTTCCATGCGCTCTGGCTTCCAGCACGGTGTCCTGTTGCACCAGAAGCAATTTAGTCCTGCTGGCTACATGACCCAGAAAGCTGTCTGTGGACAAATGCCGGATCCTTTGGCCTAAAAGCAAGATGAGCGCCCCAACCTCATAGTCGTCTTTGACTGGACTTAACCGTCCAGGGCTCCTTTACCTTTTTACCTTTACAGAATAAATCCCCTTTACCTATCACCTGCTTTATCAGTGGGTGTTACTTAGGCCATAAGCCAAACCTCTGGGGTCTGGCTACCTAGGAGACAGCAAACTGGAATTCACAGATCAGTAATTAGTATCTCTGCCTAGAGTGTATTTGGTGGATGAGTCACAAAAACTGATTTTTTACAGGGTCACATAGCAAACGAGACAAAACTAGTGTTTGACTTTCCTTGTGTTTCATTCTGAACTTCTGCATTTCAGCCAGAGCTTTGAGAATTTCTCTCTTTCCTGGGGCAGAATTGGGAATAGCAGTGTGTGTGCTTCAGGGACTGCCGTATTTCATGCCTAATACGAATTATTTCGTGGTTTTCATCTAGCTCTGTACTGCGGACTGCTTTCCTACTGCTACTGTTGATCAGCGCTACCTGGTTACTCGGTCTGATGGCGGTGAACAGTGATGTAATGACATTTCACTACCTGTTTGCTATCTTCAGCTGCTTACAGGTGAGTTTGATAAAGTGTCTTTATGGCGTGCCTTCAGATCCATTTCATGCTCCTTGGATTATCACTTCTCTGATTATGCAGTGCCGAGTCAGGGCTTCATAGGTAAAAATGGCAAACTTAGTGAATTCCTCCTCCTTCAGTTATTAAAGGATCCCCTCCCTGGAAATTTTTTTCTATTTTTTAAAACATATTCTTCTTTTGTCCTTTTTTCTCTTCATCCCTCTAAAAAAATCTAGGGCCTGTTCATCTTTTTCTTCCACTGTATATTCAATAAAGAAGTGAGGAAACATTTGAAGAATACTTTCACTGGAAAGAAGCCACTCACCGACGACACCACCACCACCAGAGCTACATTGTTAACCGTAAGGAGCCATTCTGCAAAAAGCATTTCCCAGCACTGACGCATAATAGTTCTGTATCCTGACAAAATTGCTGATGCCAAATTTTGTCTGGATTCCCTGCCATCAGCAATTGGCCTAGAACTCTTTATTTTAGGACATATCCTCTCTTACCAACATAAAACAGAGCTGCATTCAGCTTTGGTTTTCTTAGAATGTAAATGGAAGTATATGCATTGGGATTTATATAATTATGCCATATTCCTATTAAACTATTTAAGTGATTGGAGTTGACTTAAGTCCATTGATTTCGTTGGGTCTCCTCTGAGTAAGACTTAGTTGGATATAACCCTACTGCAACTCACTAGTTTTCTTGTTAGTGTTTAAGCGCAGAAACTCATTTTAAGGAAACATTTAGTGTTATTTCTATCCTGTTTGTGATATTTTTAGATCCCAAATTTACATTTATTATCTGATTTTTATTACTCAAATGAGGGATCATCGGAAACCTTTGGCCACTCAAACGTTGACTTTCAGGAGCAAAGTTTCTCCTGCTAAAAGCTCGCCGTTTCCTAAAAGTCAAATTTTGGATGGCCCAAGAAAAAGATTAGCGAGACCAATTCTTTCTTTGGACAAATAACTTAAAAGTTAAGCTTCCTCCAAACAAAAAATGTAGGGCTCATTTGACTACCAAAGCTCATGATCAGGATAACCACATGATGTGGCTGTTGATTGGGTGTACCACTACAAAAAAGACGTGAGGGTCACCTGTTACCGATTGCTCATCATATTAACCCCCCCCCCAAAAAAACACAGTAAACTAGCATGTCAGGAAGAAAGCTAGCAGGTCTCCATGAGATCCAGTTTTTATGTGTTCAGGGGCATTGGAGTAGTTAAGTATGCAGCCCCCTAATTTCAGTATGAAATTGAACAGCCCAGCAAGAGCTTCACTGCAGATTTGGCCTGTGTGTATAGATCAGCTTTAATAATATTGACCCCTCTCAGTTTGATGGGTGGTTTCAAAAATAAACGTATGTGTTTATTGGTCAACACCTCTTATTTTTCCCCTTCTCCCAGCGGTCTCTGAACTGTAACGACACATATGTAGAAGAGCCAAATATGTATCGCACCACTCTTGGGGAATCCACCGTCTCCTTAGAAAGCACCGTCAGGTCAGCCAAGAGTCACAATAGCTACCTTGCTTATATTCTCAGGTAATCTGGTGGCGGCGCATGGCTTTCAGGCCTCTCCCTTTTCTCTTTGTGTTGCTTTTGCAAAAATGAAATGAAATGCATTGCTGCTTTTGCGCAAGTTGTGCTTCCCTTACGCTTCTGCAGATTCGTTTTTGTGCAATATGCATCTTGCACCTTACCTGTGCACACATTGTTTGCATCATTTGATTTCACCATTTAAATATAGGCTGAATGCCAATTGCAGTGGCTATACTGATGCCATACAGTCCGCCAGGCAAACATTGCATTCGAAGCAGCAAACTAGAATTTCAGATGTCCCTGTGGGTTTGCTTGCTATCATCCCCCTTTTCTTCTTCTTAGAGATGAAGCCGCCCAGAAGCTTAGTGTGTCATCCAGCCAAGCAAGAGCAGGTCATACAGAAGGCGATTCCTCCATCTTCCACAAGAAGCCATCAAAATCCAACGGTAAGAGGTCTTTCTTCTCAGAACCGTATATGACAAACATCTCCTCTAGTCCCCACCAACCAGTACCATGTATTAATACAATCAGTGCTTTTCTCAGTTTCAGTAAACTGTAGGGTGTTTGTCTCATTGTCAGGTGTCATTGATTAGGGCAGGCTTAAGTAGCAGCGCTGTGGGTTAAACCAGAGCCTAGTACTTGCTGATCAGAAGGTCGGCGGTTCGAATCCCCACGACGGGGTGAGCTCCCGTTGCTCAGTTCCTGCTCCTGCCCACCTAGCAGTTCCAAAGCACGTCAAAGTGCAAGTAGATAAATAGGTACCGCTCCGGCGGGAGGGTAAACGGCATTTCTGTGCGCTGCTCTGGTTCTCCAGAAGCAGCTTAGTCATGCTGGCCATATGACTCGGAAGTTGTACGCTGGCTCAAAATGAGGTTCAAAATTTAGGCTCATCTTATACACAGGTAGCTGAGGGGGGATGCGCGAATGTTTTTTTGGCGCGAGCCCAAGATTGTAAGTGGCGATTGGCTGCTTGATTGTTGGAGGGGATGCCGAAAATTGCAGCACACAACCGCTTGCGTCACTTACAATTGCCGCTTACAATCTTGGGCTTGTACTTCATTCTGACGGGTGAGCGATTTTCAGCATTGGCCACTTGATTGTTGTGGCGCTGAGGCAGCCAATAGACAGGGAGCTGATAGGTGATTTCTGTGACGCGAGCGGAAACCACCTATCACTCTCCAATTCCCACCAGCGGCCGCCAATCCCGCTACCGCTTGCTGCGACAAGGGCAGCTGTCTATTGGCTGCCGCAGCGGCAAGCAAGAGGGCCAATAGCAGCAATCAGGCAGCTGCAACGCGAGCGGTTGCGTGCTGTGTTCCAGTGGGTGAGAAATTTTTGGCAATCCCCCCAAATAATCCTCCCCAAAAGCTCATTTCCCCTATTTTCTAAATTTTGAGGCCCCCCAAAAATACGGTAATTTCAATATTGCATCATGACCAAATCAATATTTGTAGTAATAGGAAATGTCAGAAGCCGTAAGTGTACTACTGTGTTGAAAAGGGCAACAAGAGATCCTCCACAATGCATAATATAGCAAGATACAAAGCTGTGTTTGTACAGTTACTTGGGTGTCAGGGCTGGTTCAGCTGCAGGTCAGCACGGAGACACAGAGATGAGCAATAAAATTGATTCTTTATTCAAAGAAACAGAATACAAACTGATAAACCTACAGGCAGGACTGGCCCCGGGGGTCAAGCAGTTGCCAGAACTGTGTCTCCCACTTTCCCCTAAGTCTCCTCCCCATCCAGCTGTTTTCCCAGCCATCTTAAACTCCGTCCGTTTTCTGTGCTCTTTTCTCTGCTCCATGCAAAGCTCTCTATGCCCTTGGAGACAAGGGAGGAGTGGAGCTGAATACAGTGGGACCGGCAGGCTCCTGTTGCAGCCTCAGCCCCCACCTCCCTCTCAGCTGCCTCTCCTTCCTCTCTCACTCAAGCCTGCTGCTTGTTCAGCATCCAGCCATCCTGCCCCCCGCCTCATCGTGTCCTACCACCACTCCCCTGGCTTTTATCCTTCCTCCTCTGAGGCTTCTCTAGGGCACAGAAGCCAACCAGGAAGCAGGACATGAGAGCCACAGGTCTCTTCCCACTTGGGATTCCCAACAACTTGCGTTTAGAGGCATCCAGCAGTGAAGGCAGAGCATAACTGTTGCAGCCAGTAGCCATCAAGAGCCCTATCCTCTGTGACTATGCTGCACAAAGAGGATTGATAGAGCGGACTAGACGAAACACCTGTGACTAAAGAACGCTTGAAGGATGTGATAAGTTAATGAACTTGCTGTTTCTTGCATATAGTAAACCGGATGCCTGCGTTGTTTCAACACTTTCATTTGTTTACTTCTACAGAGAACGATTCTGACTCAGACAGCGAGTTGTCCCTTGACGAACATAGCAGCTCCTATGCCTCCTCACACTCGTCAGATAGTGAGGAAGATGGGGTAGAAGCAGGGAAAAAATGGAACGCAGCCAGCTCAAAAAACAATGACCGGGGTCCACTCCACAGCACCCCCAAAGGTAAGAGAGCAACAGCTAAAAATGTGCTTCCTCCTGTGGGGGCCTTAAAGGTCACTTTGAAATGGCTGGTGTGCTTCAGAGAGTAGCAGGGTCTTGTCCTTGGAAGATGCACCCCAAATCTAGATGGGTTTGGCCTAAGACAGGGCTGGGGGACCCTTCTTGCTGACAGTGGATGGGGAAGCCAGCAGAACCGGAGCCAAAAGTACTACAGTACTTATTCCATCCTGTTTCCCATCCACCATCCCTTCTGTTCACCCGCATGAAATTAGACGGAGAATCTCAGGCCACAGGTTGCCCACCCCTGGAACAACTGACTTGTTATTTCACATTCCCCACCTGATTCATGTGCCGGTCGTAAGGATAGACAAACATCATTTTAAAAGTTAAAAGGGCAGCAGAGATGAGCCATAGTCAAAATGAGCATTTACTGCGCAAGAGGATTCTTAGTCTAGAAAGGTCTTCTGCTGTCGCAGTTCCTTAAGTGAATTGGTTGCGAAGCTGCGGCACCAGTAAATTCAGAGAAAGCCAAAAAATTCCCCTGGCCACACTTGGGTGTTATCCAGAACAAGCGTGGAAGGCCGAGAAAGAAGAAACCTCTCAGCAGGCACAGGAATGCTGCTCCAATCAGCTGACACAATCCAGGCAACAGGTCCATGGCGAGCAAAGGGCAGGGCAGCACGTGAAGCCACCAAGAGAGAAAACAGCTCCTTGTTCTCTTCAGGAATGTGGAGTGTTTTCCCGGCCTTGTGTCTCTTGTGGCATTTCAGCAAGAGCAAGAGTGCAGTGTTTCCTAATGCAGCAGGACTGCCCTGGTTTGCAAACGATCCTCTCCATAACAGGAGAGGCAGTGACAAGCAGACTGAGCAGAGCAGATCCACCCCCCCCCTCAACATCACCTAGTGAGGCTTAATTTCATTTATAAAAATCATTTGCAAAATGTACAAGTCACTTTATTTGGCTGAAAATGGGGGCTTAGAAAGTGGCATACAGTGGTACCTCGGGTTACATATGCTTCAGGCTACAGACGCTTCGGGTTACAGACTCTGCTAACCCAGAAATAGTATCTCGGGTTAAGAACTTTGCTTCAGGATGAGAACAAAAATCATGCTCCGGCGGTGCGGCAGCAGCAGGAGGCCCCATTAGCTAAAGTGGTGCTTCAGGTTAAGAACAGTTTCAGGTTAAGAACGGACCTCCGGAACGAATTAAGTACTTAACCCAAGGTACCACTGTACTTGAAACTCAAGTAATCATCAAACCCTTTATTGTAAAAGGGAATCACTTGGAATCCAGTTACAGTACTTCTTGGTCCCTGGCTGTGATCAAGAATTCCCTATTCCCCCCAACTTAAGTTTCTTGTGCCCTAGTTTTATTTTTAAGCGAGAACATTTTCAGTGCCAATAACCCTGCTGTTTTAGAATAATGAATTTCGGATTGTGTGTGTGAGTGTGGTGGTCCAATAAATGCTCAGTGGTGAGAAAAATATGCTTCCCAACCCCCGATTACATTGCTGAGCTTCCAATTCATTTGTGGAGCGAAGGTTGCCAGCAGGGTGGCTGCAAATAAGGAGAAAAGAAGCAACTACGAACCTAAACCTGAAATTATATGCAAACCAGATTTAAGGACTGCAAAGGAAGCTGCCTCATCCTGAGTCAGATCATTGGTCCATTGGGCTTGGCATTGTTGACACTGATTGGCAGCAACTCTCCAGGTTTCCAGGCAGGAGATACCACAGACTGAAACTAGTTCATTTTGGCAGCTTTGGCCAAAGATGTGTCATTGCTAATGGGCGTATTCTGTGTTGTAATGGGCGTATTCTGTGCTTCCAAGAACAGAGGAAGCTGCTGAGAGAAGCTCTAATGTTGTGTGTTGCTTTTTGTTTTTAATTGGGGTTTTATTTTCCTGTGTCCTGCAGTGGATTCTGTTCCCAATCACGTGAAACCCTACTGGCCTTCTGAGGGTGTAACGGCAAGTGACGGCGAGGAGCCAAGTGCAAAGCAAAAGCTGAAGGTGGAAACCAAGGTGAACGTGGAACTTCACCGGGAAAACCACACCAACCACAGCAGCGAAGCGCCTCAGGATAAAGAGAACGAAGGGCAGCAGAAGGAGAACAAGCCACTTGTGCAGCAGAACCACCAGCAGCCAGAACAGAGGAAAGGTAATGGAGAAAGGTCTCCGTAAATATATCCCCAGAAATAAATGCTCAAGAGACCGTTAGCTCTTCCTGTTTGCATCGTCTCAGCCTCTCCTACGTTGAGCACACCACCTTAAACATACCCACATTTCACTGGATGTCACAACTGGACATCCTCCCATCTGTTCTGAACAAAAGAGAGGTGCAGAGAGCTTTTCTTCAGGCAAGCACGGTGCTTTTCCCCATCAATGGGAAATGATGCCTGCTCCATTTTGTGGTCCTGCCTTTTCCCCTGCCCTTTCAGATGGAGTAGCTGCTTTGTTCTTTGCCATGCCACTATCTCACAATGCCTAATGTGCCCACTGGCCCAAAAAGATTGACAGCCATTGCGTTTAACAATGGGATTTGGTGCCATGAGATGTGGGTGATGACCACCACTTAGACCCCTTTAAAAAGGAATTGGAGTAACACAGAGAGGAGAAATCTCTTGGTTGCTGATAGTCATGCAGGCTGAATAAGACGTGCGGGATCAGAGACAGCCTTAGGAAGTGGGAAAGAACAGTGGGAAAGGGCTGTGTCGTCCAGTCCTACTTGTAGGCTTCTTCTAGGCAGCTGGTTCGTCACTTTGGAAAACAGAACGCTGGACTCAATAGGCCTTTGGTCTGCTCCAACAGGTCTGTTATGTATTTAATACAAAACAATGAAACACAACAGTTCTTCACCCACCTTACAGTTTTGCAGGTGTGCACCTAAGATGCTTTGGTGCAATCCTAAAAATGTAGTTTGAAAGTGGCAGACATACCTTTTGAGGATGCATGCATCCTAAGTGACAGGGAGCCATGACTGACTGTCAAGTGTAAATTAAGTGAGATGCCTAGGCAGGAGAGTACGTAGAATCACCTGCCGGACATGGCTGTGAAATCAATCCCTACAAGCAGTGAAAACTTGCTGGGTTTTCATTTCATGTCTCAATCTGAGCTCTCTTCTATGATGATTTGTACCAAAGGGTAGGTGAAGGGCAGGTTTGGGTACCAGATTGTTCCCGTATAAACAGTTTTTTCCAGATGGACAAAGTCTTGGTAGGCATTGGTGGTTGAGCGTAATGATAGGCCAGACTTACTTATTTCCAATCTAAGAATACATGGAACATTGAGTCTTCCTTAAATACAGGTTTTGAATTTGTCTCCATTTCATTATACTGAATTCCTCCACTCATCACTTCCCGTTTCTTTCCACGGAAGGCATACTGAAGAACAAAGTCACCTACCCACCGCCACTGGTAGACAAGAACATGAAGAACAGATTAAGGGAAAAACTGTCAGATTATAATCAAACCACTATCTCGCCAAGAATGACTTCCATTGGGACTAACAATGGCATCCGCGCCACTTCAGATTCTGGAGTAACAATAAAAACCCCCAGAAGAGATCAGCCTCCAGAACAGATAAACGGTTTGGCCATGAATGTCCATGTGGGAACCGTAACTGCAGAGACTTCTGATTCTGAGTGAGTGTGACTGTTTGTGAATTGCTTCTCTCTGTCGCGTGGTGTTGCCCCTCTTGGGTTTCTGACACCTGCTCCTCTCCATACTTTTTAACACTTCAGTGGCCCATATTGCAGACGTTTGTTCTTATAAAGCCTGGAACAAACGTCAGGACTGTTTGCTCCTCCTTTTCGCCTGCTTTCTCTTGTGCACTAATCCTGCTTTGTTGTAAACCAAAGTTCTCTTCTGAAACGGGGAACTCTGGTTTAATGTTAGTTGAAGCCAGAGTCATATCCTGGAACCTAATTAATCACAATATCCCCTACCACCATACCCAAGTTAACAGAATACTTGCTTTTTACCGATTACCTTGCCCGAAAACATCCTGTCATTAATTTCACCCACTTTTTAACTTTCCTACTGCGTCAGGCTGCTGACGCCTGTCTGTCTCTCTGCATGCTAACATATTAAAATGAGCTCGGTAGTTTCACTTAAAGGTTTTGTCAGCCTGCCTCTGTTTTAACCCCAAGTTGCATGATTGCTTCTCTTCATGAACAGAGGCAGTAATGAAACTTCAATTTGAATCATCAGGAAATGGTGACACCTGCTGCAACTTGCGAGAGACGACTCTGCCGGTGATGCCACGTCCCGGGGACCTTTTGATTCTGCCTTCGCCAAGGGATGTTGCATCTGGGGAAAGTTTCTCACGGCGGCACCCCATGGCCATGCCCCATTTCCCGCAAACTACACAGTAAGGCAGCTTATGGTACCTTCAGGGTCTGCCTGACTGCATCAGTTGTGCCAAAACAAGTGGAGGCTGATGAATGGAAGTCGCTACTGGAGAGCAATGCCTTTTGGGAAAGTGGACAGAGCCATAGCAATGGTGCAAGGATATCCTTGAGGAATAAATGGTCCATAGTACAGTAGACATACTGGCTTAAACCAAGCCCTACCTGCTCTCACTCTCGGCCTACGCTGGGGATCTGGGGATCCAATAGGATCTGTGAACTCAGGAGAAAAACATAACCACACCAAGTGCCCTTTCAATTCCTTTGCCAGCTTCCACGCCAGCTTGTGGTGGACACTTTTGTCTTAAAATACCATCATTTTGATATAAATATATAAAAATATAAATATAAATATATATATATAGCTGTAGATATTTTTTATATATTTTATATGGTGATTCTTTAAAAGTTTCTTTTTGTACATTTCATGTAATATGACGGTTTTCTTAAAAATTTGATAGCAGGAGAGTAATTGTGAAAGAGCTTCGATATTTTTTATATTAAAAAGAATTGCACAAGTGTACTTGAATTTGGCATTTCAGGGTGGGGAAATATAACTAACGTCTGCATCACGCCTAACTGTAATACAGTCTTTTTAAAAAAGGCTGCCACTTATCTCTGGAAACTTAAATTCAGGAACAGAACTTGTCAGAATAATCTGAAAAATTTTAAAGAATTCAGTGTGTATTTTTGTACTCCTCTACACCAGCCAATCATCCAGTAACAACAAAATTTTTGTACTCCTCTATTTGTGGGTGATTTTTAAGGAAGTCTGCCTTTCCCCCCACTATTCTATCTACATGTAGACATTTTCTTTATTTTTCTGCACTACAAAATTTATTCTTGCTTAGGGGGGGAAATGTGAAATTAACTATTTTTGTGTCGCGCAGTTAAGGACTGTAAGCAGACTTGATAACCTGAATGCCCAGAAGTGCCTTTCCAGAAGTAAAGGCCTTTAGTTAATGGGCTGAACGGCATTTCTCCATAATGTGGAAATCCCTTTTAGACTCCCAGGGGTCGGGGAGGGTAGCTGACAACAAATTCACAATTTATAAAAATAATAAACGTGTAACTTGTATTTATGATACTTGGTTTCAGAATGCACAAAGCTGCCACTCGTTTGTTCATTTACCCAAAAAGGGAAACTTTTAAGTCAATCTGCATGATGAAGCCTAGTTAAGCCCCCCAGATTTCAGTGACAGACTTGAGCATTTGCTAAGTTCTTTCTCCCTTTGAAATCAAGTCGCCTTAGAAGTGCTTAACTTTGATAAGGTCAGCGATTCAGTTTTAAGAGATTATGAACGCAGCCCTTTAATATTTAGATTGCATTCAGATATTGCAAAACTACCTTATTTAAGGGATACCTGATAACTGGATTTCAAGAGCAAATCAGAAATTGTTTTGTTCAGTTTTATTTTATTTTTAAACCAACTCCCTTGTCAAGCTCAGAGAACCGGGAAAGAGTATGGCTCTTTAAAAAGTATTGCTTTCATGCTGTATGAAAATCTGATGTAAAAAAAAAGAAAGTTTTAAATGTGAACATATCTGCCTATCATACCTGGGGATGTGCTAAATGATGCTACAGCTGTTTCACATCTATGTGTATATTTTGTCCCAATGAAATGTAGTTAGTTAATTTTTTTTATCAGAACTGTTAAAGTGTGTCAGCTGTGCTAACCCTGGGGGTGGGGGGTGAAATCCTGGGGTGGGGTTTTTTTGGTAGTTTATGGCAGATTAGACACTGGAGGGATTTTTTAAACAAATGTATATTTATTAATGTGCAGAACACTGGAATTGAAGCACAGATGAGAGAACCTAACAATAAATTAAGTTTGTGGATTTGTATTAATGCTTCCAGCCATTTATTATCCATTGGTCTCCTCTTGGTAACCCACGCCAAGAATCTCATTTACCCATAACTGCTGGTCTCCCAAGAGCCTCCAACTCCCAGGGGTATTCCTTCTGTTGCTCACATCCACAGCGTTTGGGTTTCTTTCGAAAAGCCAGAACCAACCACAGTGAAGTGGCATTCTTTTCCTCTTCCACTTCTGTGACTTAAGATCCCTGCTGGATTGGGCAAAAGGCCCACCTAGTCCAGCACGCTGTTCTCACAGTGGCCAAGGAGATGCCCACAGGAAGCAGATCCTCAGCTCTCCTCACCTGCAATTACTTGCAATTAGCATTCACAGGAATACTGTCTCCGATAGTGCAGGCAGAAAGAACAACTGGTCTTACCTGAAGTGTCATTCTGGGAGTGGGGCGCCATATCCAATGGAGTGGGTGTTCACCCTGTCGCGAGACACTAGACAGGAGCAAAGACTTGTGGGAAGTAGGCGGCGCTCCCTCAGTTTTCCGGATTCGCCAAGCCTAAAGTACCTAAAGAGAGAGAAAATACCTGCCGACTTCCCCCTTCCCCGGCTCTGGAAATTTCTGTAATAAAATCTCTAAATTGCTAAATATCTGAAAGGCAAGGAACATGACAAACTAGCACTCAAGATAGGCCATAATCCCCCAAACAGTGTATAGTAGAACTATACAGGAAATACACTCCCAAAACAAAACTTCAGGTAAGACCCCAGGGGTCAGCAAACTTTTTCAGCAGGGGGCCAGTCCACTATCCCTCAGCCCTGGGGGGGGGGGGGGCGGACTATATTTTGAAGGGGAAAAATGAACGAATTCCTATGCCCCACAAATAACCCAGGGATGCATTTTAAATAAAAGGACACATTCTACTCATGTAAAAACACACTGATTCCTGGACTGTCCGCGGGCCGGATGTAGAAGGCGATTGGGCCGGATCCAGCCCCCGGGCCTTAGTTTGCCTACCCCTGGGTAAGACCAATTGTTCTTTTTAGTTTGTGGAGCATTGTATCCATTGGAATGGGACATACCACAGACTTTTCCCAGGCAGGAAGCAAGCTGGAAAGACGACCCCCCACAAGGGACGCAGACTAGTCATTGGGTTCGTTGTTTGGTTTTCTTTGCATTTGAGGAAGCCTGGAACCACTGGAACCCTTGCATCCCTTGAAAACATTGACAAAAGGGCTGGGACTGGAATATAAAGTCCCTTTGCCCATTTTGGGTTCGAAAGGGGCAAAGGGATTGAGACTGAGAAGCGAATGGTGAGAAACGACTGGCTGGTCGCTTGTCATCTCTCTGGGTTAGCAAAATTTTCCTTTTACCCTTGATTCAATAAGGACATCTTTCAATGCCCCTTCTCCAAAAAGGTGACCGCCAGAAAAGGGACTGGTAGAAAAGTTCACCTTAAGACACTGCATCAGCATTTCGGCTCTTTAGCCACAAGGTGCGCCTAGCCATTCTCTGGGATGCCGCTGCTCTTGCTGAAAACTGAATGGAATCCATAGAGGCATCAGCCACAAAAGCCCGAGCCTTCAGCTTAGTCAGAATTTGGTGTTGACGGCCCACATCTTGGGGAGGAGATTGCAATAAGTCCTCAAGCCACACAATGCATGCTTGGGCACATGATGAAGCAACACAGGAAGCTCTTAAGGGCAGCTGCTTCATGAATTTTACATGGAGCAAACTCCAGCCTCCTGTCATGTCACGTTCCGGAGTTGGGCATCTCCCTCCTGGGGGACCAGATGACGAGATGAAAGATTTAACCGAGGGAGTCCAGCCTACTTCCCACAAGTCTTTGCTCCCGTCTAGTGTCAAGCGACAGGGTAAACACCAATTCCATTGGATGCGACGCCCCACGAACTAAAACACAGCCATTGACTTACCAATGCATATTTCAATTACATGCACACAGCTCAAACCTTCCTGCGGAGAGTAGGTTTCAGCTTCTCTGAATAACCAATGAAGAGTTGCTAAGCAGCCAGGGACTTGGCTCTCGCCGCCCTCCTCCTCTGGTGAAAGCTCTCCGATTGTAAGCACATCTGAGACGTTCAGAACCCATCTGTTCAAGTGAAATGGAGCTTTTCAAATCGTTCTGTTCTAATCTCTCTACCCCACTCAGTGAAGTAAGAAAGCCAAAAAGATTGCAGATTGTATTTCTAGCTCAACAAGATATGCAGTAGAAAGTTCCTCCCCTGCCAGCTTTTCAGTTTCCTGAGTGTTCAGTGTTAAGAGCAAGCCCCTACCTTGTATTTGTAAGATGTTTACAGAATGGACACCCTCTCATCCTGGAAGTAAAGTTTAAATGCTTCCAGGGAAGGGAAAGCAAAGAAGGCTAAGCAAAATCTAGACATCTACCTAAGTATTGGCATCAGCCCTAGTAAAATACAGTTCCTGGACAAATAGCCTATTTTAAAAACTTTGAATGAGGCAGACCTTATATTCAGAGTGTGAATATAAATTTCAATGGTCCAGGACAAGAATTTCCTTTGACACTTAGACGTGGTGGATAACTACAAAGGGTTGATATCAACCCTTTTATCAGCCGTGGTTTAAAAATAAAAATTAAGAGCTAAAGCTGTGATCTGACATTAAACACACCTGCTCGTTGGAAGAATATACTGTTGGTAGTATTTATGTGGCCCATTTGGACTATACACAAACCTTCAGTTAGCTGTATTTACTACAGAAATTAAGAATGCCAATCTTAAGAGTCGATATATAGGTGACTCATAGTAGCAACACAGTCCAAAGGTATGAAAATAAATTGGGAATCATAGGGTATGAGCCAATTCACCTGCAAATCTTGTCAAATTACAAGGGTAAGGAACAAGGGCCGCTATTATTTTTCGAAGGACTGTGCATCAATGCTGCTACCTATGCAAAGTACAAGAGGGCAGGATTCTGCCCAATGAAGCTTACTGTCTAAAATTCAACACAGGAGATAATGGGGAGAGAAATGGGGGCAGAGGGAAATGGGAAAAGTTTGTGTTTCTTTCTGGCCACACCTGCCTTATCTTAGATTAGCGGATTACGTGGTTGTACTAAAGGTGTCCAGGAACAGGTAGGTCTTGAGGAGGATCTGAAGGAACTCAGGAAGGTGATGTCACATCGGAGTTCTGGAAGGCAGTGAAAATGGTGAAGGAGCAGGACACCTGCGGATGGAGGCATGTGCTACTGCTTAAAATCAAGTACATATACCAATAATTATGTCACTGTCTTTTCACAGAACTTTTACACCAAGGTATGCTCACCCCCCCCTTCTTGCTTACGAGTCTGGGCTTAAATAACTATTCTAGCACAAACTGGGACTGAAAGGTGACAGCTTCTCACCAAACACCATGTAACATTTGTATTTTGTTAGCATTATATCCAGCCCCTAGCTCATCACTAGCAGAAAACAGCATGGGGAAGTATTTCAAATTCCTTGACATCTTTGGATTTTTCCAGCCCTGACGTCCAGTAGAGGGAACAGATATACATCCACTAACTAAATTATTCTCAAACTGACATGTGCATTAACATGCCAGAATAACTTTTGTTTTAATTGATTAATTAAGGAATCAGCTGAAACGCTAAGCAAAGAATTGGCAAAAGCAATTATTCTTAATGGCCCTTGTGAATTACTCCAGGAACAATCCTAATCCCTTGAAATGAAAAGAATATTTACCACCCAACTTAACTGAGCAAGTACAGTAGTCATTTTCCAGTACAAAAAAAATAACACCTAACAATAACAGACCACATCTCTAAATCAAGACTAAACCAATCCATAATTGTTTAAAGGCTTCCTCCTATTTTGGGAGTATGGCCAATTTTAAGGGTTTTATCCCCAATGGATACAATCTATTCATTTCTTCTATGAAGGTGAAGTGTGTCCACAACAATTTCTATCAGTGCTGACTTAAATTTCATATACATGCTTGTGGAAAAATGAGCTTTTGGAAGATACAATAAGCCACAAGAATTACGCTCTTAAAACACCCCCTAAGGGTATGTTTTATAGAACATAGTATTTTGTTTGTCATCACTCTGAAATTGAATCTGCTGAACAGGATAATAAGGGGATATAATAGGGTTGGGCGACATCTGGTTTTCAACATTGCAATATATCTCCAGCTAAACATCACAATATACCGATATATCACGATGTCTGAAATAAGGATGGAGCTATGTAGAAGCAATGGCTGACTTCAAGGTTTTCCCCACATTGTGATTTTTGCATAGCGCACACACACGTCGTGATTTGCAATATATTTCCAGGTCAAAAATTATTAAACCGATATCATGATATAGACTTCAAACCAGTTTTGGATAATAGAACGATATATCACCCAGTCCTAATAATGACCATTTTCTATTAGAGACTTGTTTATCAACTCTACATTTAACAATTGTTACTATATATATGTATGTACAGTGGTACCTCGGGTTACATACGCTTCAGGTTACATATGCTTCAGGTTACATATGCTTCAGGTTACAGACTCCGCTAACCCAGAAATAGTGCTTCAGGTTAAGAACTTTGCTTCAGGATGAGAACAGAAATCGTGCTCCGGCAGTGCGGCGGCAACAGGAGGCCCCATTAGCTAAAGTGGTGCTTCAGGTTAAGAACAGTTTCAGGTTAAGAACGGACCTCCGGAACAAATTAAGTACTTAACCCGAGGTACCACTATATAGGGAGAATATATCCAGGGGTCAATGGCTGGCTTGTCTGTAATATGCCTGGCTGAAAATTTCCATCCCTACGATGAATCAGAAATGAAGCGTCTTCTTGCACGCATTTTTCAATATCAAGATATGCCAGTATCGTGGCACAGTACTCAAACCTGGCACAAGTAAACACACACGCCCTATTTTAATATTGAAGCCGCATGATGAGCTGAATATGGGGTTTGCACAACAAACCCTATGACCATATATGCAGACAGTGCTTTTCTTCTAGATGCCGGTACGGTGTACCCTAGAGTATCCCCAGAAGAAAAGATCTGTATGCAGGTATGTTAGAGGTGTTTAAGCAGTAGAACCAAACAGGAAGCCATCCCAGGCAGGAAATATAGTTGTTTTCAAAGCACTCAAGCAAATTTCTGTATTCTCACAAGTCTCAAGAACTACATAGCTTTGAAGCCAATACGATCATGGACTCACCAAGTGGTCTTGGCCAAATCACGACCATGCATTTTTCTTATCTTTTCAGGGACACAGGTTTTCAGAATCAATGTTTATAATCACCACCCTTCCCTCCGAAATGTTGTTTGGAGTAAAAGATTTGAGATCAATTTTGGCTACAGATCAGTCCAGAAGACACAACAGGGAACAACGCCAACAACAAAAGACCCACTAAAATCTTTGAAATCTAATTAAGTAGCAAGAGAAGATTCTGAACTGCATTTATAAGAATCTGAGGCACAAGTAGTCTAAATATATAAAAAACTTTTTTTTCTGATAAAATGTGCCTACTGCTTTGAGAATATATAATCTAGAGAACAAATTTCAACAAAAATACAAAATCAAGTGTGAGAATCCAACCAGCTCTCAGGATTTTGGCAACGTTCAATTAGTCCTATTGAACATAAAACAAAACATTTTTCTTCTCTGTTTAGTAAACACACGACAGGGGAAATGTGATTATTTCAGAAAGAGCAGCTTGGACTTTGGTATATTGAAAGGAGTCCAAGCAGGTCATTTCTGAGCAAAACTGAAGCAGCCAAGAGCCTCACTTACTCTCAGCCAGAGTCACATAAAGGCTTAGCAGGAAATAAAAGAAGGCTATGAAAACAGTTGGCAACTCAAGTGGATCCAAGAGGCCCCCATGGCAGATAATGAGCTTCATAGAAGTCCTGTACTCAATGAGAAACCAAAAATCATTAAACCATTGCTGGTGTCACAGCTGCTCCATTCACAAGGAAAACACCATCTTCAGAAGGGAAGCAGCAAAGGACACTGTTGCACTCCGTACGGGGATTAGAGAAAAAGTGAAATATCTTGCATGACCAACACAAGGGCGGTTTTGACACCTGCCGTTTTACTTAATGCAATAAACATTCCCTTTTTGTTAATTCACAAGCCATTTAAAAACAAAACCAAGGTTAACCTTTTCTGCTCCCTTTAAAATGGATGTTGCTGGAAAAAAATTTGATATTGCTGTAAGACGGAACAATCGTCATTTATCGGTGCAACCATAGTAAAGGTAAAGGGTAAAGGGACCCCTGACCAGTAGGTTCAGTCATGGCCAACTCTGGGGTTGCGGCGCTCATCTCGCTTTATTGGCCGAGGGAGCCGGCGTACAGCTTCCAAGTCATGTGGCCAACATGACTAAGCTGCTTCTGGCGAAACCAGAGCAGCACACAGAAACGCTGTTTACCTTCCTACCTATTTATCTACTTGCACTTTTGAGGTGCTTTCAAGCTGCTAGGTTGGCAGGAGCAGGGGCCAAGCCACGGGAGCTCACCCCGTCGTGGGGATTCAAACCGCCATCTTCTGATCAGCAAGTCCTAAGCTCTGTGGTTTAGCCCACAGCGCCTCCCGTGTCCCTGCGGTGCAACCATACAACCAGTTATATATACTCTTTGAATATTTGGTTGCATGAAGAGTTTTTAATTCACATTCTGTAGTTTAAAGCTTTCACTCTCTCTGTTAGGTGGATTTGTAGCTGGTTGACTGACTGAACCCAAAGAGTATGGCTCCTCATCACCGTGGGGGAAAAGTGAAAAGTGAGGTGTCGCAGGGTTCTGTCCTGGGCCCATTGTTGTTTAATGTCTTTATAAATGACTTGGATGAAGGAATTGAGGGGATGCTCATCAAATTTGCAGGTGGCACTAAACTGGGAGGGGTAGCCAATGCTGCGGAAGACAGAATCGAGATTCAAAATGACCTCAACAGATTGAAGAACGGGGCTGAAGCTAACAAAATGATTTTCAATAGGGACAAATGTAAGATTCTGCACTTAGGCAGGAAGAACCCGATGCACAAAGGTTAAGATGTGGAACACCTGGCTTAATATCAGTACATGTGAAAAGGATCTAGGGGTCTTGGTGGACCACAAGCTTAATGTGAGTCAACAGTGATGCAGCGGCAAAAAAAGCTAATGCTATTCTAGGCTGCATCAACGGGAGTATAGTGTCCAGATCAAGGGAAGGTATAGTACCACTCTATTCTGCCTTGGTCAGACCCACCTTGAGTGCTGTGTCCAGTTCTGGGTGCCACAATTTAAGAAGGATGTTGACAAGCTGGAATATGTGCAGCAGAAAACAACCAAGAAGATCCAGGGTCTGGAAACCAAGCCTTATGAAGAATGATTGAGGGAGTTGTTTAGCCTGGATAAATGATAGCAATCTTCAATATCTCAAGGGTTGTCACATGGAAGAGAGAACACGCTTGCTTTCTCCTGCTCTGGAGGGTAGGACTCAAACCAACAGCTTTAACTTCCAAAAATGGAGATCCCAACTAAACATCAGGAAGAACTTTCTGACAGTAAGAGCTGTTTGATAGTGGAATAGTCTCCCTCGGGAAACTGTGGATTCTCCTGCCTTGGAAGTTTTTAAGCAGAAGTTGGATGGCCATCTGTCATGGATGCTTTAGTTGAGATTCCTGCATTGCAGGGGGTTGGTCTAGAATGATCCTTGGCACTCCTACTGGTCTTGACACTCCTACTTTCAGCTAGGGTTACTCATACAGGGTCAAGCAAAATCCCACATGCAAATACAGTGATACCTCGGGATGCGAACAGGATCCGTTCCGGAGCCCCATTCGCATCCTGAACATAACGTAAGACGCGACAGCGCATCTGCGCGGGCTGCATTTCGCCGCTTCCGTGCATGCGTGTGATGTCATTTTGACCGTCTGCGCATGCGCAAGCGGCGAAACCCGGAAGTAACACGCTCCGTTACTTCCGGGTCGCCGCGGAGCACAACCCCAAACACGCTCAACCTGAAGTGTATTTATCCCGAGGTATGACTGTACACCTTCCATTTCAATAGCCCACGCTCCTGAAGAACAAGCTTGCATACCCAAGGCCTATTCCCAACTACACACCAGACACACAAAGTGAGGCTTCATTCATCAATATAGCCACCATTATTGTAAGCTTTCAAACATTTCCTGGGCTAGGGAGAGCAAGGAAAAAAATTAAAGCGTTTGCTGTTAAATCTACAGCTGGCATAACTGTATGCTCGTAGCAGGTGCTTTATAAAGCAAATGTTGACAGAATAACTTTGTTACCTTAGAAACTCGTTGCTATGAGGAAGCAGCTACAAAATCATCTTAGGTGGTCTTTATATTAGGACAGCTTGTTCTAACTCGACACTCCTACATTGCTCACAGCCACCTCTCCCCAAATGTGTATATACCATACATAGAGAAAATGGTTAAAGCATACTGGTTCAGATGTTGTTTTATAAGCCCTAACAAGATCCCCAGCACTTCAGAAAAAGCTGCCCTGAGGTACATGTAAAACTTTAAGGAACACTCTAAAAAAAACCCCACATTTACCTCATAAGGGGTGGGGATTTGTATATGCTCTCGTCATATCAAAACATTTCAAATAACCAGACACACGATTCAATCATTTGTTCATATTCTTAGATTCCTGGATGTATAGTAACTCATAAGCATTTTATTTATAGTTGGCATAGGAACTCGCAAATGAGTTATTTAACAAGTGTGGAAAATGGAAACTGTTCTTCAGTAATACAGAATTTTGAACCTGAAAAGCTAAAGCACCTTTCCTCACAGAGGCACAATTTTGATCCATAGAAGAAACACACTGTTGGAAAAAGCTTAATAAAGTTTACAATCTCAGACTTCGGAGAAAAATCATGGAGAATCTCTCCTGCACAAGCCTCATTAGACGAAAGAGGTGCCATACTAACAGAAGGCTTTTCCCCAGATGTTGCCAGGAGGTTTTGCTCATTGTCTTTTAATTAAGTAATTAATCGGTTCATTTTGTATACCGACGTTCATCTGAGGATCACAGGGCAGTTTACAATATAAATAGAATTATGTTGCTCTTACACAGGGCAATTGGAGAGCCACAGCTAATCACCAGTGCTGTGGCTAGATGGAACAATGATTGGACTCAGTATAAGCGGCTTCCTGTGTTCCAAATTGTCATGTCTACATCAAGCAAAATGTTTAAATGGCTGTATTTCCTTCTATCACAGGGAACGCTACACAAGCTGATAAGGAAAGGCACCTCTTTCAAGGTTAGAGAAATCTAGGAGATTCAGCAAACAGCCAGGACGTTATTCCACAGTTCCTAGTTTTCCAGGTGCTATGGCGTTTTCCCAACAGATGGCTTAGTCATGACCACAGAATGGAAGATGGAAGAAGGATCCCCAAGGACGTGCTCTCTGGGGAGCTGGCTTCAGGCACCAGGCCCATTGGAAAACCAACTCTGGATTACAAAGATGTCTGAAAACGTGACATGAAGGCTGGTAACATCAACCCTGATGTGTGGGAATTCCTTGCAGAGGACCGCAGCAACTTAGGAACAGTAAATCTTCTTCTGTTTCTCACCACCACAGGTCATTCATCATGTCAAAAATATTTCATTTTTAAAAAAAACCTCTAAAGTATTATCATAATTCACCTCATGAAAATATCCCAACAAATACGTCAATGTGTGTATTCATATGTGTTCTTGTAACTGTAAGACCATTTGATCTCTCTCTTTTAATTCAACATCATTAAGTAACAAAGTCTTTGCATGAAAGAAAGCAGTCACGTGGTTGGTTCTACCTTGACCTCAGGCCCATTCTCAGCCGTCTTTTCTCTGTTTCTGCCCTGCTGCAAAGTATACACCGAGGGACCCAGTCTCAAAATCTTTCCACTGCCAAGACATTCATCACCCTTGTAGAAAACAGCAAACTGAAAAGACAAATGGCAACAATGTTTACAGCACACAGAGGGTTATGTGTAACTGCAAGGAATAGATAACTGAACACAGAACCAAAGTCACATGTAAGCTCTCCTGTTCTGAACATGGCAATGTGAAAAAATAGGCAAGGGCATCAAAGTTATTGGTGTGTGTGAAACTCAATATATAAAAAAACTGCACAGATATATAGATATACAATATACAGTTTTAAAGAAGCAATCTTCTAAATAAACAAAAAGGCAAGTGTTGCATTCCATGGCAAGTATGTTAAATGCTTTTCCTTTGATATACCACACAAAAGGTGCCTATAAAAATTCTCTTCACTAGGAGACTAACATCTGAACTTAATCATTACTATCTAGCGCACCCATCAATAGACCACAAGCACACAGCCCATAGCATCAATTAATCTGCACACCAGGACACATACACACATTTTTATGTTGTATTGTAGATCCTTTTTTGTTAAATTTGCAGGATTTGAAAGCCACCCTGCAGTTTGGGAGGCTGGTGACTCAAGACATCGCTAGGTCCAAATAAAACAAACTACTCAGCTGTGTATGAGAATTCAATGGCAAGACTCTTCTGAAAAGTTAAGTGTTCTTAAGTCTCACTATTTTGTGGACACAACCCTGCGCTTGGCTACTCGCATCACTCTCTCAAGATTTCAGTAGGGCTTGCTTGAGTCACCACCTTGATGCGAGGCTGCAGTTTAGAAAGCGCTCTGAGCGTTCTCACACCGGTTGTTGAAGCCATTATGCTGCTTTCCAAAATGCAACCCGTTTCTTCTAGGATAGTGTGAGATGAAAATGGAACAGAAGGAAGTGGGCAACAGCTAGAGTTCTCATTTATTCATCTGTTTTAAAAAAGGTATTGCACCCTCTCAAAGCACTGTGCTACTTTACATTAGACCACTGGCCCATCATGGCCAAGCACTGTCTTTTACAGCTGGCAACTGCTTCCCAGGATCTTAAGCAGAGGTCTTTCCCAGTTTTGCTCTTACAGAAGCCAAGAGTGCAACATGAGACCTTGTCCATACAATGCATGTGCTTTTTCACTGAGCTACAGCTCATCCCTTCTCATCATTTACTTGGAAGTGAGCTTTGCTGAACTCAGTGGGTCCCACTTCCAAACAGACATCCACAGGATCTGGCACTGACTCACGGAAAATGAAAGAAGTAGAGCTTAGTGTTGCCTCTTTCACTATAATTAACAGTCCATTATACACATTCTACAACTTTCTCTAAAAAAAAAAGAAATAGGGACGACTGAATTTATAGTACCCAATAAATGCTAATTAGTAAAATGAAACTGCAAGGGATCAGAAAGTTGTGCAACAAGGAAAGAAAATTCCATTAGAAACAGTATTTCCCTCCAGGCGGGAGATATTCTAATAGGTATACTGAAATACTCACTTAACAAGCCTACAGAGGAGTCTGCACACTAGGATGGAAAAGAAAATGTTTGCCTCCGAGTGAGAGATCCAGACTCACAGCTCAATCCTACTCAGGTTAATGAAAGAATATGTCCCGATATATGCAATGAGGCCTGCTCTCAGGTAACTGAATAAGACTGCTTATATAAGTCATTATGTATCAGAAAAAAATCCAAGGAGACTTATTGTGGAGCACAATTTATGTAAGATCAACTTTAAAAGTTCAAACTGTGATCAATTCAGACCCAAGAAATAAAGAAATTCAAACATATTTTGACAAAGCTTTTTACCTATCCAGGACTCTTGTATTCAAACGGTGAGAAGCTTAAGGCTGTAATCCTAAGCATATTTTCCCCCCACCCAGGAAGGAAGTCCCAGTTCACTGATAGGCTATAAATTTAACACATAGGAAGAAACCAAAAGCATCTTCAGTACCTACCTGGCCTGGGGCAAGAGCCCTGATTGGCTTGACCATTGTCAGCCATACAGTCCCATCCTGATTTAGAGTTAAGGTGCAAGGCTCTAAACACAAAATAAAATAAAATAGATGCTAAAGAACTAGCTTTCGCATTCTCATCAAATTTGAATACTATCTCCTAATCCAAATAAATGTCAATGTGCAGTAATACTGGCTCTTTTCCTAGTACAGTGGTGCCTCAGGTTACATACGCTTCAGGTTATATATGCTTCAGGTTACAGACTCTGCTAACCCAGAAACAGTATCTCGGGTTAAGAACTTTGCTTCAGGATGAGAACAGAAATCATGCTCCGGCGGCGCGGCAGCAGCAGGAGGCCCCATTAGCTAAAGTGGTGCTTCAAGTTAAGAACAGTTTCAGGTTAAGAACGGACCTCCGGAATGAATTAAGTACTTAACCCGAGGTACCACTGTAATAGGGACGTGGCTGGCGCTGTGGGTAAAACCTCAGCGCCTAGGACTTGCCGATCGCATGGTCGGCGGTTCGAATCCCCGCGGCGGGGTGAGCTCCCGTCTTTCGGTCCCAGCTCCTGCCCACCTAGCAGTTCGAAGCACCCCTAAGTGCAAGTAGATAAATAGGTACCGCTTTATAGCGGGAAGGTAAACGGCGTTTCCGTGTGCTGCTCTGGTGCCGGTTCGCTGGAGCAGCTTCGTCACGCTGGCCACGTGACCCGGAAGTGTCTGCGGACAGCGCTGGCTCCCAGCCTCTAGAGTGAGATGAGCGCACAACCCTAGAGTCTGTCAAGACTGGCCCGTACGGGCAGGGGTACCTTTACCTTTACCACTGTAATACCAAACGCCTTCCCCACAGAAGTAAAATGAATGAATGAATGAAGTCTAGTCACCTAGTGCCATCTGGTGTTGGAAGCGGAAATGACACTCCATCATTTTGTCCCGAATCAGCTCTGCGGGAGGTTCCTCTGCGATCCAGTGTACCCGGTTTGTCCGCAAGAGATCTCTGTAAAGTGCAGGGTGGTCTGTAGAGGGTGCCTTGGAAGTGGGTACAACAATTTTAATTTAAAACTAGCTGATCACATGGCTGATCATTATGAATAAAACCAGCATTTGGGTAAGGAAAACAGCTACAAAGCCACTTTTTTATAACGGATTAGTAACTTCACAGCCACATTTGCAATAATGTGGTTTTTGATTACACATTTTACACATCGCTTGGGAAGACAGGTGAACTAATGCCAGTGCACTGGAAGAAGCAAAGATCAATAGTGTCAAAGCAACGATGCTTCAACATCAACTTCATTGGACTGGTCCTGTTGGCCGGATGCCTGATGATCGTCTTCCAAAGCGACTACAGTGGTAGCTCAGGTTACATACGCTTCAGGTTACAGATTCTGCTAACCCAGAAATATTGCTTCAGTTTAAGAACTTTGCTTCAGGATGAAAACAGAAATTGTGCTCCGGTGGCGCAGCAGCAGGAGGCTCCATTAGCTAAAGTGGTGCTTCAGGTTAAGAACAGTTTCAGCTTAAGTACGGACCTCCGGAATGAATTAAGTACTTAACCCGAGGTACTACTGTACTCTGTTCCGAACTTAAAAATGGAAAGTGTAATGCTGGTGGTCAATAAAAGAGGTATAAAGACTGTCTCAAGGCAAATCTAAAAAAAATATATAGTATAAACACTGACAACTGGGAAACACTGCCCTGCGAGCACTCCAGTTGGAGAACAGCCTTTACCAAAGGTGCCATGGGCTTTGAAGACACTCCAACTCAGGACACAAGGGAGAAACGTGCTAAGAGGAAGGCATGCTTGGTAAACCTTCACCATGCTCAACTCCAACCAGGAAACCAAGGTCCTCACTGTGGAAGGACGTGTGGATCCAGAATTGGCCTCCACAGTCACTTACTGACTCACTGTTAAAACTGTGTTCATGGAAGACAATCATACTCGGCTACGAGTGATCGCCAAAGAAGAAGACTGTGTTGGATCCTTGGATCTCAATTTTTTAAAAAGTCTGATGTTTAATGATGGCACTGCTTCAAATATTTCTTTCAGGAAGAGAGAAACTACATCCATGAAATTTTCTGCCATATTCAGGGTTTCCTATAGGACAAGATGACACAGAATATCTTGGGATCACAAGGACAGTGGTTTATCTTGTTTGTAGATTTCCGTACTTTCATTTTCTACAAAAGGGATGGCAACAAACATAAAAACTGGCTTGCTTGCTTTTAAGCATGATTTCTGAATCTCAAGTAGGGATGCCTAGCCTGCAGTCCTCCAGATGTTGCCGGACTACAATTCCCATCACCCCGGACGACTGGTCTTGCTAGCTAGCATTGATGGGAGTTGTAGTCCCAAAACAGCTGGAGACCCAAGTTTGGAAAACTCTGATCTAGAGGGTCACAGGTTAGCAACCTCTTGTCTAAGAATGGCTAAAGAATGGCCAAAAAACAGGGTGTGAAATGATTATTTGAAGTGGGTGGGTGTTATGGGCTCCTATCATAGTGCAACATCTGTCAATAGCAGGTAAAGGTAAAACTAAAGGATCCCTGGACAGTTAAGTCAAGTCCAAGGCGACTATGGGGTGCGGTGTTCATCCCGCTTCAGGGCAAGGGAGGCGGCGTCTGGCCAGCATGACTAAAATAACTAAAACAGTTTTGCAGTTTTCCTCACCTTTCCAGTCCCTCATTTTGCAAAATGACAAGCAGGTTTGCTGGGTGTCTCCTTTTACAGTGGTACCTTGGTTTACGAACTTAACCTGTTCCAGAAGTCCGTTCTTAAACCAAAGTGCTCTTAAACCAAGGTGTGCTTTCCCATAGCAGCAAGGGACTCAATTTACAAATGGAACACACTCAGCAGGAAGCGGAACATGTTCTGCTTCCAAGGCAAAGTTCACAAACCAAAACACCTACTTCTGGGTTTGCAGCATTCTTAATCCAAGTTGTTCATAAACTAAGCTGTTCTTAAACCAAGGTACATGTCTAGGTGTGTGTGTAGGCAAAGCTTAGCTATGCAAACTAAACTATGGTTTTACTATGGAATTTGGGATTTTAAACAGGTTTTAGGCAATATACCATGATAAACACTACCTACACTGCACTGGACAAACATTTATTAATCAAAGAGATAGTAATATATTTGGTAAGACTAATTTATATTAGTTCTAAGGCAAAACTCAACCATTTCTTTCAGTGCATGCCATTAGATTCTTGATGCCAACATCCTTTTCAATCTTTGTTAATCAAAGAATCTTGTTAATCTTGTTAATCAAAAGCCAGTTTGAACAGGATGTAATAAAACTTGACACCAGCTAACTTAACGGCTTTTCTTTTTCTTTTCAATGGAAAAGCCAAGAATCTTAGGCCAATAATAACCACATTCTTTTTGGCAGGAATTACAAACGGTACACAGAATTAGAAAACTTACCACAAAGATATCCCTAGAGGCAATATTTTTATCTACAACAAACCAAGGATCTTTGAGGCCTCCTAGCCTAGCTCTCTGGCCGTATGTATACAAGAAACAACCTAAAAATTAAAAATAAAATATATATTTCACATCGTTAACACTGCTTAAGCCTTTTGTTCCTCCAGAAATCGCAACCTACCATTTCAACAGAGAACAGAATCCTACGGATTAAAAACATAGTTTCTGAATGAGTAACTCATAAAAACTTAGGGGACACTCATCCAACTGTTGCATTTTCATTTTTGTTTTTAAAAATAACCAAAAAAGTAAGCCTGAGTCTATAAAGTCAAAAACCTTTTCTAAAAGTGTGATTCAACAAAGCAGAATATGCTGACAATCATCTGCCACGCCCGCCTCAAATGCCAAAAAATGCTCCATATTTATACACTTCATTAGCTAGGATCAGGCACAAGTTCCTTTCTAGGCTTTTGGAACAGTATTTATCAAGAAAAGTAGCAGATAACAAATTGGCAAATAAGCAGGCATTAGAGGAGTTACGAGCATATTTTGTGAAACATAATTGAGGGTATTGCTCTACTTCACCATGGGAACAAAAAAAAAAGTTCTCAGTTATTAGGAAAGAAAGTTCAACCATCTAAAACTAACAAAGACAAGAATTCTACCAACATTTTGTCTTACAATATAAAATCTTACGGAGTTTGATAATGCCACTAGCCTATAGAGATTACAAATTTAAGCCACCCATTTGTAGATGTATTTACAGCAACGGTTATTTGTACCATTTGCCTTCAAAACTGCACTGAGGGGCTAACTTAAATCATAAGCTAGACAATAGAAAAGGGGTTGCCAACCCTTTTGAACCAATGGGAACATTCAAACTGGGGTTATATAGCATATTTCTACCACTTGAAGCACTATTATTTCAGTAATTCTCACAGTAGCCCTGTAAGATGAGTGAGTGTCTGAAAGTTACAGATTGGAAAGTCAACAATCGTGGCATGAAAAAGGCCACCTAATAAGTGGAAGGTAGAGGTGGGGCTCTGCAAGTGAGAATTATGGCTCATAACTCACATTCATTTCTATTTTATTACACCAGCATTTCTCAGTGAACATATTTTGGATTGCATTCAATCATATAAATAAACTAATAGCCAATAAAAGTCCACATTTACATGTTACATGAACAAATTTGAAATGTGTAATTTTTAGATGGATACCAAAATGAGAATATAAATATGCAATAGTTTTGCCATCGAATGGGTAGGCCTCTTCCTCCTTGCAAATCTTTTGAACCTATATATTCCATCTTGCAAGGTAAATGGCGTTTCCGTGCACTGCTCTGGTTTGCCAGAAGCGGCTTAGTCATGCTGGCCACATGACTCGGAAGCTGTCTGCAGACAAATGTCGGCTCCCTCAGCCAGTAAAGTGAGATGAGCGCCACAACCCCAGAGTCGTTTGCGACTGGACTTAACGGTCAGGGGTTCCTTTACCTTTACCTAACTATGAAGAAGAGAAGCACCGTGAAGAACTGAAACCACCTCTATATCTCTGTATTAAGGGAATGAAGGGTGTACAAGACCCCAGACCAGTCGCCTCCAGAGAAATGAACATTCCAGTCCCACAACCCCATTCCCAAACCTTAGGCTTAACTTTGGGGAATCAAAACCCACAGCTTCCTTTGGATTTAATGAGAAATGCACAGCAAAACTACCCTGTTGAAAAGCCTCCGCAAAGTCTCACGCTGCTGAAGGCCAAGGCCAAATCCCAGCAATTATTACAATTCCTTTCTTTGTGAAAATGATTGTTCTCCCTTTACATGTCTGGTCTAATTTCAAGCATTAACAGATTCCTTCCTTAAGCATGTTTATGTTTATACTGCTTTACCATTTACTTTAAAGAGATTAAAGGATCAAACTTTTGTCAGTCTAAAAAAGGCTCATTTCCCTACAATTTATCAGCTAATAAAACAGAAACAGAACTCAGCAGTAGAATAGCTAACTACCAAATCTGAAGCTTTTACAACCAGATGCTTTTGACACAAATTGCGTTCTACAAGCACCGGAGCTCAACATTTAATCTACTGTTAGCTGGGCCAACTCAGGAAAGACAGGACTCAGAGTCCTTTCTGATGCCTCTGTATCCTTCCTGTTCATGAGATATGGGGTCAGAGAGCCAGAAAACAGAGGTATAAAACTTGCTTTTCATATATAACCGTGCTGCGAAATGCAAACAAATTACAAAAGAGCAGTCCATTTTTTCCATACACAAGGGACATTTAACGTTAACAGAGTAACAAAATATCAACTGACCTTTGTGTGTTCCAATGACCTTGTTGTCTTCAATGGAAACAAAGTTGCCTGGACGGGGCTCCAAATACTGCAAGGAAAACAACTGTGTGTAAAAACCCACTCCCAGGCCACAATCTGAAAATTAAACCAAAGCAAAACAGCAGCATCCTTCATTTTTGATACAAGTTATTTATAAATGTGGTGAATTCGTAATTACTTACCTCCAGAAGGAACTTTTCAAAATTCCTTTCACCGATAAAACAGATTCCCATGCTCTAAAATAAAACAAGTGAACAGAAACTCTGACCATCGTGACCAAACAACAAATAAAAAAGCATGGGTATTTTAAAAGTCTTAACAGCACAGAAGATATAGCTAGAAACATGCAGAGCAAAGAGCAAAATTCAATTTCCATCAAAGACAACATCCTTCCCTGAAGTACATAAATAAAAATCTAGTATTAATTTATTAAAACATTTATAACTGGTCTCTCCTACAAAAGATCTCAGTAACTAACAATTGGTTTAAAAAAGGCAGGAAAGTGAAATTGTCTAGTTCAGATGAAAAAGAGCAGTTAAGCAGAAGTCTCTCCACTATACCTGCTCTGGAAGCTAATTCCTGAACATTATCACCTCATCTGTTAATTACTGCAATTCCCACACACCTCTTTATTGCTAATTATATCCAGAAAACCATCACACAAAACCATGGCAACCCTTACCAGATGAATGGGTTGATCCCCAAACACCTTCCCTACTCCACAAACTAGGGTCTTAATTCACGAGAGGAAAACCACATCCGTCCTGATCAACTCTTCCAGGAAACACATAATCCCAGAAAGAAACACTCTTTGACCACCCTATGGCAAGAATGCTATAATATATTCATGGTCATTTCATGCCTGATTCTACCATGCAACACCTTCTGGTGACATGTCATGCAGATTCAACTTCTACTGGACCAGGAATGTGAAATGTGGTAAAAGCTAAAGCACTCTTTGGCAAACCCTTTCGATTCGTCTTCTTCGGAACTACTGCCACAAATTGGTATATTAAAATGGAGACACAGAACAGTGATCATATCAATGTTTTGGGAGGTTTTTTAAACATTGTACTTCAGTGTGTGGATTACAAGAGTTGTAAATATACACTTCACTAACCACTCATGCTTTAAACACATTACAAAAGCTAGGTTTTTTTCAGTGAGCAATACCAATGGTTCAAACAAAAAACGTCACAAGTTGGGACCATGAAATGTTTTCCAGAAGTAATGAAGAGCCCAATTCAGCTGCACATGGAGAACAGGACTGGTGATCATGCCCGCAATACCATGGCTTGGTATCAGCCCCACTCACATGGCACAGACTTTTCCAACGCACATTTCAGTACCAATGCATGAATGCCCAGGAATAGGGCCATAACACAGAAGGTGGACCCAACAAAGCCAGGCAACTTCCCCCTTCGCCACAAGTGGCTTCTTTGTCCAGGGAACAACCATACTGAACTGTTACAATCATCTCTATTTCAATCATAGTGTGCAAAACAAGCTCTTATCAGGAGAACAATGGGGTGACAAAAACAATTGAGAATGACAGAATTCTACTGCTGCACTCATTTTTTGATGGTGGCACAAGACCCATTCAGTGAGCGTTGCCCCTCTAAGCGCTTTGATGGTAAGACAGTAAGAGTTACCATGCCTCTTTCCTCTGCAGTACATGGTGAAGGTGATGTTCAGCAGCTATCTTCTTTACAAAGTCTTTTGTTAACTCTCCTAGAGGAAAAATGGTTCTCCGCAAGGCTTCTTGTGAGATCTGACTGAGAAAGAATGTCTGATCTTTAAAATGATCAGCTCCCTGAAGAAGTTTTACAGCTGTGAAAAGGGAGGCGAAGGAAAAGATATAAAATAAAATTACATTGACTATACACAGCCCATTTCACTTGCATGTTTCCTTCGCTGTACTTCTGACTATTACTTAAAGAGAATATTATAAAAGATTTCAAGTTTAATAGGAAAACTATCCCAATTTTCTCATTACAAAAAAATGTGATGCATATTTTAAGGAAATGCTAAGAAAACACTCTTTGCACAAAGCAGCAATTGTTTGCAGACAAAATAAGTGCTGATGTACACACTTCATCTGCCAACTATTATGCCCTCCCACTCACTTCAATTGAACGGATACTATATACATGGAGCTCCTCAGTGAGAGCCTATGGAAATATGTGCAGTTTGCTTCATGGTTAATAAAGGAAGCTCCACATGCACAAACTATTCCATAACCAACCAAAGAGAAACTCCAACTAGAGCTGCAATAAACATGTCATTTGATTTTAGCCCAACCCAGCAAGAAGCTATTCCTGTGAATTATTCCAGATGCTATGGAACATAAATTGCAGGTGAACAAATATAGAAAACTTTGCCTCAGAATGCACTGCACATTGTCCTTCAGAATATAATGCTTTCTGTATGTGCTATGCAATCAAGTAAAGTCTGATTCATTTATTTCACCCATGGGCTATTGCAAAGTAGCTGAAACAATAAGGTACATCCGGGCAATCAACAGCCCTAAAATATACACAAGGCAACCCAAAACAGTAAATAACCAAACTTTTGTTCAGGCAATACTCAAAGGCAAGCATCCTGATTATGGGGTCTACAATGAGCAGCACTATACAGTAGCTTTTCCAGAATTTCTTCACCAAATAATGTAACCTTGCATCAATTGTCTGCTCTGCTTTAGCTTCTCCTTCCCTATCCTATCCTAAGAGATCTTCTGCAAACTACATGTTATGGGCAAAAATATGTAGGTTACATATGCCCCACTCATCCCAATTCTCAGCATAATAAATTACCAGTATATTAAATATAAGATCTGGATTTCAGCAGTAGGCCACTTACCATTTCTTACTTCAAATCTATTCCTGAAAAGTCCTTCTGGCCTGCGTATGTATTTTTGCTGAAATACTTCATTGTCTTCCAAAGAAGTTCTTGCATAATGTCCAGTGGCAATTGCATCTGCTCCTGGCACGTTTAAATAATATGTGCACGTTATGGGAGATTCTTCAGAGAGAAGCTTAGAAAATGCTGTTATGTTAACAAAAGATCCAACATATTATACAACAATGCTAGTTTCTATGGTACACCTAAATCCTGAAAAAACAAGAGGCCAGTCTTAAAATCTGTATCACTTTCTCAAGGGCTTGCTCCTGATTTTGGTTGCAGTTTCTTTATTGGCATTTAGGAATGAAACACAAGAAGCTGGCTTATACAGTCAGACCACTGGTATGAATGCTTATGAGGGCACCGCCTAGCTGAAGTTAGACAAGTCACTGCTTGCCTGGATGGGACCTCCTGGGAACGATATTTATGCCACCTCGGGTAGAATGTATATAGGATACAGGATACCAGGAAATAAAAAAGTTAAATATTTTTATGGCTTTCCATGGTTTCAAACGGGGCTTTTTCAGCCCTACCTGAAGATGCCAGGGATGGAACCAGATAACTTCTGCAAGCAAAGGATGTGCTCTACTAAGCTACAGTCATTTGGTTAATACACACCTGCAAGCAACTTACCAAGGTTATTCACAGCATAATCCAGGAAATAATTGAATTTGATGTACTTATTGCATATAATATCAGGATTAGGGGTCCTTCCCAATTCATATTCATTTAAGAGGTAGCTGTAAAGAAAACTAGAATGATTATGAACATTTGGAAACTCAGACCCATGTTTGCCAAGGTTTAACCTAAATCTAACCACATGGGCTTACCAGGAATCTTACACATTTTATGTAAAAACAAGTATCTCATTCGTATTTTCATCCCAGCAAAAGGACTAGAACTGAACAAGCTTTCCTCTGTCTGGATTTCACTGAAGTTGTTTCTTCTTATGCTCAGAAACTCTGAGGTTAACATGGCAGTTCTTGTATTTAGCACTTATTGCGAAGTTCTGCGTTTATTATATTCAATCATGATTAAGAACTACTACTGAGATCAAGATCTTAAAATCTGACTGTACAATTCAAAGATGTTCACATATGCAATATAATTAGCTATGAAGTCTATAGTTATGAATATGCATGTTGATCAGCAGGGATTTATGCACTATTCCATCAAGCAGTGCCATAAGAGGATATTCACTTGCTCTTGCAAAGGTTTCTCTCACTTCTTCTTTGCATTGTAGAACAGGAATCAGCCTCCAAAGGTAATTCTGCTGAACCTGGTTGAACTTTATGGTTTGAAAATGGACATCTTCATCTTGTGTCTTCATGTATTTTGAACATCGGAGTCCTGCTTTTTTAGCTCATGAGGTGCTCAAAGTGCCTTATGAGCTTATCATTGCAAACAACAATAAAATGTTCTGCATGGACTCGACCATTAGCTGTAAATAAATTATGACTACAAACTGAGAGGTTGAACCCTCAGGAGAGGTTGAACCAAGCTCTTTATCTGGAGAAGCATACGGCACTTGCTCAGATTTGGCACGCTCCATTCCTCCCATCAAAAAAAAATGAACCCACAAAATCATAAAACAAATTTCTATAAAAGAAAAATGACCATTTGCAGCACTCTATACTGCCCTACAGCATATATCTCCAGATATATCAAGCAAACAACCTATCAGCTACAAGGAAATGAAACCTTGTTTTACACACACACACACACACACACACACACACCCTTTCTCATCCCAGACACAATGATCCATCAGAGCCTTTAGTACATGAAAAATTGATTCACAGAGTCTCCCCTAAGGAAATTTTACAAGGATGCAAGGCCATGACATCCATCATGCATTCATTCTCTATTCGTTATACCTCCAAGATGCCCTAAAAGAAATGGAAAATACCTCAGGAGCATTTCCAGGAGAAGACAGTCCTATTAGATTAAAATGGGCTATAACAATAAAAATGTCAAAGGTGTAGAAATGCAAAGATTTGGGGGAGATGGGTGGGGGGAGAATGATTTTGCCCCAAGTCAAACATAAAAATTGGAAATTCTGAGGGGAACCACTGTGCCTGGCCCAGCCAGGTGCAAGTGGAGGAGAGGGGCTGCAACGCTACCGCGACACTGCTCCTTCTCTCTGCTCTCCAGGTCATAGATGGGCTGCATGCAGCCCTGTGGAGAAGGGGCCTTTGTGGGGGGACTGGTTGCACCCCATCCCAAAAATGTGCCCCCACTACACCACTGTGCCTGAATATCATACGAGGGCCCTCTTACATGGAAGCTCTTTCCCTGTCTATAGATTTGCAAAGAGTAATTGATGTTTTTAATGATCACTCTGCACATGTATAACGGCATGTTTTCCTAAATAGGCGCTCTACAAGTCCTATTTTGATGAAAACAGCAAGATTAAAGTTGCAACCCCACCAATATCCACTGCAGGTGGAGGAAAATGCAGTCAGTCATTCAGAGTGTGTGCATATGCAGAAAGGTTTGCATTACAGCACAGACCTAAGCTGACTTTGGGGTTACCAGCCTCCCTTACTCCCTTACCTTCGCATAGAGCCATGCGAAGCTTTATCTTGGCAAATCTTTAATGAAAACTCTCTTACCTAAAGACTTCATTCCAATATTCTTTTACATAGAAAACCTGGTGAAATGGAATGTCTAGTATCTGACAAACTCTGTAAGCATCTTCACAGTCTTTGTCAGCAGAACAGATTCCTTGTTCATCCACAATGTCCCAGTTCTTCATAAACACTCCAGTCACCTGGTACCCTAGAGAGGACAAGAAAGAAGAAGAAAATATTTTGCATGAAGAATCACTCAAGACTAACCTTGCAAATTAAGCAAGCTGTCGAAAACAGCTGTGTCTTTCTCAGCAAGCCTTTTTCCTTTTTTTGCGAAGCCTCACGCTGTAACAGAAGACTGCTTCCAAACAAAAAACAAACAAACCAAAGTATGCTCAGATTAGGAATAGATGTTATTTTGGCTTCATAGTAGAGCTTCACAGTTTGGATTTGGACAGTGAAGCATTTCAGAGCTTGGAATTGCTAAGGAAGGTGGAACTGGACGGATGAAGGTCACAGGCAGTTCCCAAGTGTGGTGTAGTGGTTAAGAGCTGTGGACTCGTAATCTAGTGAACTGGGTTCGATTCCCCGCTCCTCCACATGCAGCTGCTGGGTGACTTTGGGCTAGTCACACTTCTCTGAAGTCTCTCAGCCCCACTCACCTCACAGAGTGTTTGTTGTGGGGGAAGAAGGGAAAAGGAGATTGTTAGCCGCTTTGAGACTCCTTAAAGGGTAGTGAAAGGCGGGATATCAAGTCCAAACTCTTCTTCTTCCAAGTTGCTGTGCTCCAGGTATCTTAGACTACAACTCCTACTAACCCTAACCAATAGTTAAGGAAGGTGGGAATTGTAGTCAAAAGGCTTTATTAGCAAGGGGTTTTTCAGCTGGAACTTTTTAGGTGGGCGCCATTGCCATTCTAAGAGAAGAAGGGAGGCGTTCATGGGGAATTCCAGCCCCTCTTTTCCCATAAAAATAGCACTGTGTATTAGTATAATGTCCGTGGAAAGACGAGGGTGACACAAGGCTTTTACAGTAGATACAAGAGCCCCTTTCACGCAAGAAGGAGACATACTACTAACGCATTTATCGATCTTGCACAAAGCCACACAGGCAGACTTGAGAAGGTTTTCTCATTTGTTCTCCCTGGAAGAAACTTTGTGGTGTTATAATTCTAAGGTCTCAAATACAGAATATCCATAAACGCTCACATATCTAAATATATAAACCATGGGTCTGAAATAGTACGGGAGAGCCATTTTGACTCTCCCCATGACCTCAAATATTCCTACAGTAAGGGAAGCAAATGGGGAAAGCCTTCCCATTGTCTAAATCCTCTCTTGACGGCGTATTTGCGTATGAATAGGGCGAACCTGTATAAATAAATAAAACAAGATAAATCCCACCCAGGAAACCGGCTCCCTGAGGAGAATAAAGGAGGGGGGGGAGGGAGAGACTCGCGTGTGTGCTGACCAGACACGTGTGAAGGCTGCGGGAAGAAGGCTTCCCGCCACACTCAAGACACGGGAGTCAACCCTCGGGGCTTACTCGCGAGCAAAACAACTACAAACCCCCCTCCCCGGCTGAGAAGCGGATAGGCGGCGGCGGCGGCCGTGAGGCGGCGTCAGGGGAAGGAGGATGGCTCCGTTCCCGCGGCCCGTGAGGAAAAAAGCGGAGCTCGCGTGAGGGGAAGGCCGAGGCGCTGGGCCGCGTCCGAAACCCGCCGCCCAGGTGGCTGCTGCCTCACCTCTCCGCCGCAGCAGCAGGGCCGCCACGGCGCTGTCCACGCCGCCCGACAAAGCGCAGGCCACATGCCGCCGAGCGGCGCCCAACATCTTTCCCCTCACGGACCCGGCTCGGCTCCCTTCCGCGGGGCGGAGCCCAGCTCGCCGAGGGCGGGGAAGCGGCGCTTTCCGCTAGGCCGCGGCGCGGCGGGGAGGTTGTGTTGTCGGTGTTTTGTTTTTATTTTTCCCCCACCACCAGAGAGGTCTTTCTGACGACGAGTCGCAGAATTGGCCGAGTTGGAAAGAGGCCGCGAGGGTCGGCCTAGCGGCGGGGTTGGGAACCTGTCGCCCAACGCGGGACTCGAACCCGCGACGCCCTGAGAGTCTCATGAGCGCGAGTCAGGCTCACGGAGCCCGGTGGGGGTTGGCGCCTCGGAGCAAGCAAGCGCACGTTGCTCTGTGACGTCATCACGCCGCTTTAAATAGGCTTAGGGTGCCCACCTGTCCTGTATATAATATACAAGGCTGGTCCCTTATTTCGGCTTAAAATGCCACGTCCTGTGTTGATAGTTTGTTCTGTATTTCAGGCAGTGCCGGATTTACGTATAAGCTAAACAAGCTATAGCTTAGGGCCCCACTCTTCCCCCCAAAAATTCACTATTAATATACTTCTTAATTATATTTCAGTTCAACAATTACTTTGATAAAATACATATTTTGCTATGTGCAAATGGCTTTTAGATACCTATTAGGTCCATAAATTACCATATAGCATATATTCAACACAAAAACAGCGACAATTTGTTGTTGACGAAGGACAACTGGACATATAAAGGGCCCCATTACCTTCAGTAGCTGAGGGCCTCGTCAAACTGAAATCTGGCCCTGATTTCAGGTCTTCTCTGTCTCTCTCTTTCTGCCAAGTTAGGAAATCCTCTCCAAATGCATGTGCTTGAAAGGATGTGTATTTAAAGGGTCATGTATAACCCTTTGAATACATGGGTAGGATACCTGAGTTGGTTAGAGCATGAGATGCTTTGGTGTCATGGGTCTGAGTCCCACGTTGACCAGAAACATTCATTCATTATTATGATTTTCAGTTTTATACATACATTGCACACTCGTTTTACCATTTCAAAGCTTGACTTCCTTCTCCCTTTCTGCAGTTCCTTAAATTTATTTTTTTATACTTTCTGCATATTCCAAATTAACTTAATTTGCTCATTTGTTCGTCTACTTTAAATATATACGCTTATAAAACTGCAGGTTATTACAATAATGCTGCCAATGTTATCATCTGTTTACTTGTAAATATGCAATAAACTGTTTCCTTTTTTTTATAAAAAGTTTTGTCGTCTTGATGCCAAAGTGAGTGACTTACAAAGCAGGTCTTGGTAAACAGCCTTTCTCCAATGGGGGGGGGGCGCTAATGGGAACTGGGTCCAACAGCAGTTGCTCCGCTATTAAAGTGAGCAGAGAACCCCCACTTTCTCATCCCAGCAGATGCTTCTTGAGGCAAGTGCTCATTGCACATGCTTGGGCATATTTGCAGGGCTGTTCTGATCTCCAGAACAGATTCCAGGGTTGAACTCTGCCTTTAAGTGAGACAGTTTGCTTTTCTGCTCGCTGCAAACTTTTGAAACGGAAAAGGCCAGGCATCCCGAAACTCAGCCCTCCAGCTTTTTTGGTACCACAACTCCCATCATCCCATCATCAGTCTGAGAGGCCAGTTCTCCCACAAACATTCATTGCTTAACTACGTATCAAGCAATGACGTGTTAAACACTGAGAACTCTAAAAGTTTCATATCTCAAAACACAAGAACATAGCACCTGGACTAAAGTTTCACATAATTCCCTTAAGCATGCACTGCCAATGAGTGAACCTCAATTTCTGACAATAAAGTGCATATATTGAGCAGACTTTCACTGCATTCTGCAGGACTTCCAGCTTATCTTTGTAGCAACTTCTTCCAAATATTGTGTGGAACAATAACATCTGATTTATAATGGCTTAAGCCAGCAAGGGACAATGACTTGACACAGTGAGTTTCAATCCAGTATTTAATTCGGTTCTGCTAGTTAAATTACGTTAATAAATTCACATCTAGTCTAGAATCAGTTATTGATATGAATCTGTCAATAATATATTAAACCTAAACTATGAAACAACCATTGGAAGTAATATAGTAACCTATAGATCTCTGCTGGACCCTGTAACCATATGTTTTGGTTCCTGTTTGCCTAAATAAATTATTACATTTTTTCTTAGTTGGAAAAGAAAATACTAATTGTGTTACACACACACAGTTTCTCCACCTAGATTCTGAAAGATACATATTAGTTTCAGTGTATATGCTACAAGCGTCTTCATCCATTTTTAAGCCACTTGGACTGTAGGGATTAAACAAATAAACCAGAGCTTTGTATTTAACAGCTGTATTTAACAGTCTGTTAGCCAAATGCAGCAAGGAATTCATGTAGGCAAGTGAGAAGGCTTGCAGGAGAGGGAACAGATTTCTCCTTCACAGAGAAGGACTTTCCATAGTGGCAGTAAAGGCACAACCTGGGAGCTTTGTGCTATGGCTGAATTAGAACTATGTATGCTTTAATATGCTTACTGAAGCCAAAGTCTTTTCCATACTTTCCAAGTCACTACCACTTACTTGTTCATTTTGAGCTGCAAGGGAGGACCAGCCTAATACTTGTCCATCGTTGCATCCAGTTAAGACAAACTATCAGTGAGGAATGTCCTGCTTTTCTGTAAAAGGAATCTCCTCCATGATGTAAAAGTCACCCATTCCCCCGCCCCTTTGCTTGAATTGATCTGTTCGGGTAGATTCATTTTCATACAAATGTTTGGAACTGAGATGTCAGAGGCAGATCCATCATTCCCTTTTCTTAATTTGATAGCATGATGCACAGGAACAGCAAGAGATCACTGTGCATAAAAGCTCCTAGCTTGTTCAGATTTCTGATCCAGGAGTAATATGGCTATGATGCAACTAAAATTCACATTATGAAAATTGAACAGTACAAATGCATCCTAATCATAATACAGCAAATCAGTTCTGCTTCAAATACTGTAAATCTCAATAATCACTCACCAAATTATTCACGTTACTGCAGAGTTTCCAATCACAAATTACAGACTAAAATGCCTAAGTGTACAGTGTGCACATTATAAATCCTAGCAGGTGCTTTGAACTGTAAAGTTGAAATGGTGGAAGCATTCAGAAAGGCTTCCACTATATTTTAATGAAAATATACATTTTAGAATGCCTTTGCTTTATTTTAATTCATGACATTTGACAAAGTTGTGCAAAACAAACTAGATATTTTAACACACAAGGCATCTGCGATCAGTTCCTGAAAGTACTGAGTAATCAATATTTAAGCCATCTTTATTATTATCCCTTAACAACACATCAACAACACATTTGTCAAGTGCTCAGTTTAAAAACTTCATTTCTATTTTACTAGTCTGTTACCCACTCACCCCCTGCTTAGTGAAACATCAGTTTTTGCACTCAAACTCTTCCAAGTTAAGAAATTTGCTCAAGAAATCAAAACTTCAGAAGAGGAGAATCCAGGTTCTCTTTATTTCCTTCCGGTGTAAAACTGATGAGAGGAGAGCTCAGATCTATTGGCTAGAAGGAGGGAAGGGGAGGAGAGAGAGATAAAGACAGTAAAGACATTAACTAAAACAATATTTGAACCATTACAACAGCAGACTTCTCCTTTGCTAACAAGTCTTATAATGGCATTCTTTGACACCACTACACAGCCATAAATTCGATTACCGTATTTTTCGCACCATAGGACGCACTTTTTCCCTCCTAAAAAGCAAGGGAAAATGTCTGTGCATCCTATGGAGCGAATGCAGGGGGGAGGCAGGCGGGAAAAGCCCCCAAGAGCCGCACACAAGCTCTGTGCGCTCTTGCGGGCTTTTCCACAGGAGGGAGAAGGGACTGACTGGCCGCATCAGTCCCTTCTCCCACCTCCCAGGAAAGCCAGGAGAAGCCGTGATCTCTTTAAAGGGGTTGCGCGGCTTCTGCGGGCTTTTGGGAGAGGTGAGGGAATCCCCCCCACCTCCCAGGAAAGCCAGGAGAAGCCGTGCAGCCCTTTTAAAGTGTGTGCGGCTTCTGCCGGTTTTGCGGGAGGTGGGGGAATCCCCGCCACCTCCCAGGAAAGCCAGGAGAAGCCGTGATCTCTTTAAAGGGGTTGTGCGGCTTCTGCGGGCTTTTGGGAGAGGTGAGAGAATCCCCCCCACCTCCCAGGAAAGCCAGGAGAAGCCGTGATCTCTTTAAAGGGGTTGCGCAGCTTCTGCGGGCTTTTGGGAGAGGTGAGGGAATCCCCCCACCTCCCAGGAAAGCCAGGAGAAGCCCTGCGCAGCGTCTCCCGGCAAGGAGAGGCTGCATGGGGCTAAAGGGGAAGCCAAAACAGCGAGCGGGATCCACCCCGCTCGCTGCCTTGGCTTGCTCCATAGCTGCGCGCAACCCCTCCGGCAGGGAGAGGCTGCACGGGGCTATGGCTTCTTTAGCCCTGCGCAGCATCTCCCGGCAGGGAGAGGTTGTGCGCAGCCTGTACGCTGCTCTTTGGGGCTGGGGGGGAAAAAGATTTTTCTTGATTTCCCCCCCTAAAAACTGGGTGCGCCCTATGGTCCGGTGCGCCCTATGGTACGAAAAATACGGTATTTATATTGCAACAGCCAGTCAATACAAGGTCAGAATCCCCTTGCAAAGTTGTTCCTGAATGTCACATATATCTGTGTGGATGCAATATGCTGTGAATGGCAGTCTGTCCTTTGTACATTTTTCCAGCTTATGTCGCATGAGAAGTCATACTGCTGCACTGACATTTATATTGAAACAATATCCTTGCATGCTAGCAGTATTAAAAAGGGAAATATAAAACGGGTATCTTACCTGTCCTACAGGCTTCAACAGAGGAACTGGAATTATTTCAGGAGTATTAAAAAGATCAATAAGGGGTTTATTTTCACATTCCTGGGTGGCAAGTGGTGTTTTATCTATTCCAATGTCTATCAGTAAAGTCTAGGGAAAAAATAGTAATTTGTAAGTTGTTGACTGCCTATTGTGCTTCCTGAAATAAAGTTAATTACAAAAGAATGCCCATGAGAACAAAACTGTTTAATAAACCTGTTTGCTACCCTAAAAATCCACGGTACTTAATACGTTCTTTATCCAATAACTGGTTTGGGTTAGCCTCCTATTGATGCGGGTGGCGCTATGGGTTAAATCACAGAGCCTAGGACTCGGCGATCAGAAGGTCGGCGGTTCGAACCCGCGCGACAGGGTGAGCTCCCGTTACTCGGTCCCAGCTCCTGCCAATCTAACAGTTCAAAAGCACGTCAAAGTACAAGTAGATAAATAGGTACCGCTCTGGCGGGAAGGTAAACGGCATTTCCGTGCGCTGCTCTGGTTCGCCAGAAGTGGCTTAGTCATGCTGGCCACAGGACCCGGAAGCTGTACGCTGGCTCCCTCGGCCAATAAAGCGAGATGAGCGCCGCAACCCCAGAGTCGGCCACAACTGGACCTAATGGTCAGGGGTCCCTTTACCTATTGACTCAGGAGTCTCCATATATCTGTAATTACCCATGATATTATTTGGAAGCAGTCATTAACAATTGGCATGTGGATAAATTTACTTTATGTTGTTTCAGCAGACAATCTTCTGCAAAGCAAAAAACTTAAAAGAAGACCAGAGAAATCCTGCTTTACACAAACTTCACAACAAGCAGTGGCTCATTGGGAAAGTGACCAAGAAAATTAAGGACGCTAGATATAACTAAACACCTTTCAGCTCCTTTTCAACATAGACACTGTCTGCAGCAGTGGTAATTTCTGAAAGAGATGCTTCACATTTTAAAGCTGCCTGGGACAGCTGTTCTATATACACAAAAAAGGAGACAAGGCAGGAGCCTACCTCCACAGTGGGTGTTCTTTCTGCTGGTTTCTCCTGCTCAGAAAGGTCCTGTTCTGTTTCTTCAGAAGACTTCTCTGTTGAAAAATCCAGTGCAATAGGTGCAACTGGTGGGGGAGATCCTTCTGTTGAAGATGAGCTATAGGCCCCACGGGTCTTGCGCTCTCTGGCCCATTTGAAACTGGAAAGGAAGAGACACAAAGAATTTCATCTAAGAACCCGTCTTGAAAATGGTGTAAGATGGTCAGTTTTGGTTATGTCTAGATTTACCTAGCTTCTAGAGTCTTTTTGGATGACACACTCGAGACTTGCCGAAGAGACACGAGATCGGGAGAAGACCTTGCTTTGGGCACAGTTCTGGGGGTTAGTGATGGAATTCCCGACGTACGCCGACCAACGGGAGTAGGTAATGCAGAATGCCTTCTGTTGGATGGAGTCCATAAGGCAGACTTGGCAGCAGAACAGGTATTTAATACTAATCCGTCTTCTGATAGTTTGCGAGGTGGGGTAACGGCAACATTGCTAGAAGGATACACGAAGTGTTAGAAGCCGATAATGCATCACAACTGAAGCATTCCTCTTAGTTTAAGTGCACACTCAAAAATGTAGGGTATCCCAAATACTTTTCAGTAATGCAGTCAAGAGCAACCAGCAACCCAATTTAAGAACTGCAACAGGATACATTTTAAACCAATTCAGCTTTTTTATTAAGCTGTTTGCAGGCCATTGAAATATTTGATTTTATCCCAAACTGAGGCTTTTTCTAAAACGCAAGTCAGTGTTCGGAATAGCAGACTGTGGTTTTTTCATACCAAGAGGCATGATATAGCAGCAGATAAAACATCTTCTGGGAGATTATAGAAGTGCTTAGGTACCACACGTAATCCAAGCTGAAATTCTCATCAGTCCATTTCAGAGATTGTGGCAAACAATAGTTAATTAAACTTAACTACAGCTTGTTGTGATGTCTGATTTGACAAATTTATTAGTAGCTGCTCTACCTCCAGATGCCCCAGTACCTCAAGACTGGACTGCTGAGCAAAAAGAAAACAAATGAAAGCAAGAAATTGCAAGCTATAGTTTGCATGTATGTTTGAAGTCTAAACCATGTTTTGCCTTGCTATGAGATAACAGGGTAAAACTTTGCCTTTGGCAACATTAAATTCCCAATCTCATGTTCACTGCTGATACGCAAATCAGAACCCAAATAGGTAGTTTCACAGACACTGTTGAAGCACAAGACTTCAGTATTGCCAAGCAAAAATTTGAATCAGCAACGTAACCCAGCCCTCTCCTGCCTGCAACAGCAAGGGGTGGGACAAAGAATTCATCTAAGACTTCGAATATCAAGGACTGCCAATCCCACTGGACAGCCTTTTTTGCTTTACATGCTACTGTTTAAAGTAGTATGAAGCATCTTCAGGTCTCTCCACAAGTAATTTCACACACCCCATATACACAAAGTTCTCACACACCACATACACAAAAACCCAGTTCTAAACCACCTTGATAAGCCTGTCAGCACCTGCAAGGCAGTTCAAGATGACAGAAGCTTAGAGGAAAACAAGTATGAATTAAAATATAGAATATTACCTTTCAACATTACCACAAGACAGTGATGCAATTGGTTGTAACACTTTGGCAACAAAATTCTCAGATACACCTAGGGAGAAAACAATTACAGGACTTAATCAACTTACTGATCCTCAGTTCAGTTCTTCCTCCCCATCCAATGCAATATTTAGAACAGAAATAAGGGCAGGCACACTAGAAGTTAGATAAACTATAAAAATTTATCACATAGGTAAGACCAGTGTTCTTACCTTCCTTTGAGACTGCAGGTACTACTTTGGGCTTGGGACTTGAAGTTGCTGTTCTGTTTCCCAATATGCTTTTCTGCAATGGTTTCTGAAAACTAGGATCTGAGTCCTCTTTCAAAATCCCACCGGCCATCTCAGACATATCAGTAACTCTGTATTTGGGTGCATTCACTGGAAGATTTGTTTTTGAAGCACTTGTGGACCCATGTTCCTTTCCAGATACATCAGAATGGGAAGCCTGCACAGACAACCCCTTCATAGGTTTAACAATAGCAATCTTGCTTGCAGTAGAGGACAGCCGGGAGCCACGTGCAGAAACTTTAGAAGCAACACCTATTTTACCTGGGAGAGAAAAAAAGAAATTTTATATCTATTGTTTATATATGTATGCACCACTATCAATGCACCCAATGCTTTAGTGTCGGGAAAGCAAAGGCAACAAACTTGAGCAAGCAATTCCCAGTGTTGGAAGAGAGGGGAAGAGAATGAGAGAAGAGACACCCAGCATGGATGTGGAGATGCATTACACACATTTGAATTAACTGATAAGGACAAAGAGACATGGATTTTGAAAAGTGCAGGTGCTTGGGACAAGTATGAAGCACAGGAGCCAATAAGGGAGAAGAGATTGAACTATTTAAAGGGTGCTGTTACAGCCATCGCATAATGCAATTATTCAATTTGGTCTATGGTGACCACATTCATAAGTGTGTGATTAACTGCAAGAGGGTGCAATGTCTCAGAATAATTGTCTTTGCAAAGGTTAATATGGAAATTGTATAATTACTAGACTTACTATTTACGTTAGTGAGCACCAATTTTATTAAATCAGTTTCTCACTTGTGCTTCAAAAGAGCTCAGCAGTTATGCATTTTGGCCACTGTTGCTATCACTTAATATTTGGGGCTTGGATTCTGTATTCCTAGGAGCAAAATGTATGTGTGTGTTGTCCCCACTATGGAAGAATGATCTATGGAAGATCCAGAATTGGCCTCCACAGTCACTTACGGACTCACTGTTAAGACAGTGTTCATGGAAGACAATCTTACTCAGCTATGCGTGATCACCAAAGAAGAAGAAAGAAGCATGTGTGTGTGTGTAGAACCTAGGTTTCCCCGCAACTCAGCAGGCCATTTAGACAAGTGGCCACCATTTTGGGCAACTGTTGTTTATTCCAATTCTGGTTAATTAGAGCCAAACAGGATCAAACCACATTGGATTTGTTACCTTTCCCTATCTTAGGAGAGATGGACAGACTTGAATTCAGGCTTATGCTGGAAAAAGAGGATGAAGAAGAAGACGTTGAAGTGTTCCTTCGCATACGGATATTACTAGGACGTTTCAGCTGTGTTGCCTTGATCCCCAACTGTAAAGACAGTAGTGGAGGTCATTTAGGTATCCCTAATAACTTCTAACAGACTTTATCCTACCGAAATACCGATATTCCTTATGTTCACATCTGTGTGGCTACAAGAAAGCATATCCAGCCCTAATGCTCCTGCAATAAGGGTTTGAACATTTTTTCCCTTCAAATTAAGATACTACAACTTTGCAGATCAGTGATTTCAAACCCTTAAGTTTTCCTGGGAAATTATTTCCATTATGTGTGCTCATGAAGAGCTTTATACCTTCCTCATCCACTACAATCCACAACAGCATATAGAACCCTCCCCGTTCAATTTGGCAGCAAGGGTCAAGTCGATTCAGACCATGAGTTTGTTACTTCAATAAATCACTCATATGCATCACTGGATTCTTTGCTAAGCCTATTTCCTCATACAGTGGTACCTTGGGTTGAGTACTTAATTCGTTCTGGAGGTCCATACTTAACCTGAAACTGTTCTTAACCTGAAGCACCACTTTAGCTAATGGGGCCTCCTGCTGCTGCTGCGCCGCCAGAGCACGATTTCTGTTCTCATCCTGAAGCAAAGTTCTTAACCTGAAGCACTATTTCTGGGTTAGCGGAGTCTGTAACCTGAAGCGTATGTAACCTGAAGCGTATGTAACCCGAGGTACCACTGTATACCACAGAGTACACTGGTCCAAGGATCGCTAATCCAGTATCACAAATCTAGAACATCTGGTTTCAGATGTCACCAAGAATTACAAAGGCAGGAGTTATTCATTAAGAGCATTTACCTTGCTGGAATTTGAAAGAGTTCTCTTGTCTTTCCCCGTTGAACTGTTCGAGAAGGATGCATCTACCGCATCGGAAGCAAAACTTGATTTGTCAGAGAGTAAATCTTCCGATGACTCCATACTGCTCAAATTATTCCAGCTGGAAATACTGGGCAGCTTCCCTTGTTTTGGCTGCAAGGTTCAGATTTCAAGCATTTGTAAACCAAAGGATGTCAACAGTAATGTTATTGTAGTGTTTGCCCATTAAACTAAAATATCCTTTCAATAAACAAGTTCTAACCAACACTTTAATTTCCCACAGGCCCAGCACGGGTCCCCAATAAAGCCTGCGAGGCCATTTCCACTAAAGCACACCCAACTGCCCCGAAACTGACATACTCGACATCAAGTAAGGGGTCCGCAAACATGTAGTTAGGATTGGCTGCCTCATCAGGGACTCCCTGGTGCAGCCAATGAGGTTTTCCCTCAAGAGCAATCAGCTGATGGGTCCTGAGAGCACCCACCTTTGAAGTCCATTTACAGGTGTGACATGGATTCAAACTACACTTGCAAATGGATATTTTTCCTCGGAGGGAGAAGCGTTTCCTTCTGCAGCGGTGGTTTGATTCCATGCCTGCAAGTGGATTTCAAAGAGCCTTTAAGCAAATGGAATGCTCTCCCCAGAGATGTTTGCCTGGTGTCTCCATTATATATTTTTAGGCACCAGGCAAAAACGTTCCTCTTCAACCAGGCCTTTGGCTAATTAATATTCTACAGCCATTTAAATGCATTTGTGGGAAGGCGGAGTTATCGTTATGTTGCTTGGGGTTTAATTATTTACTGTCTTTTATATATTTTAGTCTGTGAACCGTCCTGAGATCTTCTGATGAAGGGCAGTATATAAATTTAATAATAGTAATAATAGTTCAATTTAGAAGAACCATCTGCTGGAAGTCAAGACGACAAACAAAGCAGCATTCTAATATTAATAGAGTCACACCTCACAACAATTTGTATGTCACATTAAATCAGTTAAAAACAAGCTATGGTTCAACCTGGATGTGCATAGCATTCTCTTCTCCCTCCTCCTAGGAAATTAAGCCATGGTCTGGCTTGTGGTGAAATCTAAAACCAGCCTCAGGGTTTGCACCCCTGAACAATTAGCCAAGAATAAACCATGGCTATTGTTGGCAACTCAATATGACACGCAAACGAGGCAAGAGACACACAGCACCTGGTTAGACGTTTCTAGCTGACTACACTCCAGCAGCAGCAGCACTGATAAGCATTGAGGTGACCACCAATTTCACATTAGTCTCAAGTCATATTTAGCAACCAACACCACTAGTTTTATTGTAAGGCGTATGAAATGAGTTCGCCAGCTATAAGTCAGAAATGTCAAGGTCACCGGCATTATGCACTGAGGCCAACAAATTTAAGTAAGATCACAACCATGCAGCTATTTGTCCTCTATGTAAGAAACTCCACAAACAAGGGAAATAATTGGGAACTAGCAGGGAGTTACCATTCTTATTTTTTAGGCACCAGGCAAAAACGTTCCTGTTTTGTGGAAAGATGACTGCCCTTTATGCTTTAATCTATCCAGAAGGGAAAAAAACTTTACCTGTCCCGCTGCCAAGAGACTATTTCCAAATGCAGATGCATTTTTTACAGTCTGAACTGTGTTCGGTTTGTTATTTGTCTTGTCACTCTTCCCTTGCGCTAAAGATGCAAGCGGTGTGGGGGGCAATTTGCTCATTCTGGCAGGACTAGAAGTATTTAGAGGAATTTGTGGAGAACGAGAGCTGTCCATCCCCGCGATCAGTTGCCTTGAGTGTTTCTGAAAGGAAGGTGGCCGTGGGGAGACTGGACTTTCATACACACAATAAGTCTCTCTCCTAACTTCCTTTGGGGTTTTATCCATCACTATTCCTTTCTCAAGGAGTTTCAGTTTTGATTTAGATTCTTGCACAAATTTTTCTACAGCCTCCGTCTTTCGTTCTTCCAGCTGGCGACCGTTGTTCCTTTTTGCTTTGGTTCCACTTTGTATCTGGAGTGCTATCTGGTGAGCTTCCTTAAAAATCTCCATAAATTTCTCCTCAGAAACGGGGCTCCATGCTAGTTTATCCACAAGTGGTGATGGGGGAATTGTGTTTTTCCTTGCTTCAAGGGCTTCAAGAGTCGTCGCAATGCATTTTTCTTTATGGCCCATGGGCCCGACAAAAACTTCATCCTCGTTTTCACTAGAATACAGACAAATTAGTCAGACACCTCCAAATCGCTTGCTCTTTTAAAAATATGGTTTGCTTTAGATACTTTGTTTACCTTATAGGAGACAGCGAAAAGTCAAAGTCAAATTTTTCATCAGACAGGTGGCGAAAATCTGGAATCATAACAGAGCATCAGTTGTTATTAAGCTAATCATGGCTGACCTTTTTATAGTGGATATATTACCGTATTCCCCTTTGCCTTGCTGAAATTTCAGCTTTTGCTACTACTTTTGGTTTCAAATTATTCTAGTCTACACAAAACAGAACAGAGAATTAATTTCTAATACAGCGTGGAACACATGCCCCAATCCAGAAAGGATGGTCTGTGCGCAAAGGTTTCTATGTACAGATATCCTTCTGAATCATGTATTCATACAAATATTGGATCCCATAACCAGCACTAAGGGTAGGGTACTGATGGACGGAACCCACATTTCCCTTCTTTCCCCCACAAAACTGGCACCTTAAAAGCCGACAGCAATGATCATATTCATGGAGAGTTTTCTTTGGGGCAGACCCTGCTCATATGTAGCCCACTGTTATCTGAAGGTTTTTAGATCAGGGCTAGAGCCCAGCCAGCATTAAACTGTACTTAAGCTGAGTCAAGCCAATGCATTACCGAACTGGTCACAAGGGACAGTTCAATGCAAGCTCTTCATATCACCTTTGATAGTGAGCGCAGAGTTAAACACTATAGCAGTTATTTCTAGCATTATTCCTGGTAAACAGTTGCAACTAATCCAGAATGAAGACGTTTATAATATAAACTTAAATCAGAGCCTATTTGTTACGCAGATTGTTATGAGATTCTTGCAGTGTGTTTTTATCTTTGGATACAATTTAACAATATGATCAGTATTTCTGATAAGAAATTTCAGCCATCCATTTCAAAACAGAATAGCTCAGAAGTCATTAGAATCATTTGATCAAGTATTATTCCAAAAACTACATTTCCCTTATGACAAGTAAGACTCATCATTAAAGCAACCTATAGTTATCCTTTTTTGTAACTTTATTCTACAGCAAATTGTGTGTGCATGTGTCAAAGGGCAGAATATTCAGCAGTATTAAAAGGCATCAGGAAGAATGAAGGGGGGGGAGGGTTAATATTCTTGCTAATTAACTGAATTGGCTGCAGTACATTATCTCACTGATTGCTACAAGCTTGAACACCTTGCAGGTTTTTTTGCCTGCAGATTAGATAGTGTAGGCTAGGGGCAGCCAACTGGTGCTGTTCAGTTGTTTTGGGCTACAACACCCGTCATCACCCTCAGCCAACATGGCCAATAGTCATGGAACTGTAGTCCAGAAAACCTGGAGGGCACCATGTTGGCTATCGTGGGTGTAGGCCATAGGTAGAGGGTGGCCTTACAAGCCCTGGGCATAGCACTGTGCTGCCTGACTTTTTTATCCCAATAGGAATACCACCAGTCTCTCGAATTACTCCTCCCATTCAAGAGCACTCGATTTTAGAGGTGTCTCATGACAAACAAGACAGTAATTTACAAATGTGCTTTATATCTTACAGCAATGTTGTTTTTATCACCTACCATTATTCACACACTCATTGGGTTTGGCTTCCGTCATTTTACATTCTGAATGCAAGGTTGTTTTCCCTTCGTCATCCATGATACAACTGCAAAAGACATTAGGTAAACCAGCTCAATATTATATTTTTAAAAATCCAGCACCAGTTATATTTATTTCCATTTCAAAGAGCTGCTTCACTACAATCACCACCCCTGCACACCCATACGTATCTATACCAGAATCTTTTCTATACTAACGAAACAGTGGTAAAAAGTTGGCCAGTACTCAGCGTCAGATACACATGGACCAGACTACAGCATCATTCCTCATATCCACTTATGGCAAACAATCCGGATTCGACAGGTTAATTTACAGAGAAGTACACTGCCTTTTGGTAGAGAGGCAAATCCCATGAGCAATATTTGCTGCTTGTTGCAGGAGGGTTTTACCACTTCAGCTGTACATAAACCAGCTATTACACACAGTAAAAAGGGGATGGGGGGGAGCCTAATGGCTGAATGTAGCCCCACCAGCCAGATTTCATGCAGGGAGGGGGAAATAGTGGCTGCTGTGCAAAGTTTGCAGTTGCGGTTCTTTACTCAACAAGATACAGAGGGGGAAATTGCAGGAGACTTGTGTTCCTTGCAAATGTATCTAAAAATGCATTTTGCAAGCATTCAGTTTTAAGGATATAATAGCATTATGAAGCTCAAGGCTTTGAACAGTAGAAAGGCAAAGTTCGCAAGTCAGCTGTGCATTGACCTTAGTTGCAAGTAAGGTCAACTTACTTACAAGTCAGCTGTGCATTGACCTTCTTGTGAGGATTATTCAGTTATTTTGCCTTTTGGAGTCAGGTAAGATGATGATGATGATGGTTATTATTATTTTATTATTTATACCCCGCCCCCATTTGGCTGGGTTTCCCCAGCCACCCAACAGAACACAAAAAATGGAATAAAACTTCAAACATTAAAAACTTCCCTAAACAGGGCTGCCTTCAGATGTCTTCTAAAAGTTGGGTAGTTGTTTATTTCCTTGACATCTGATGGGAGGGCGTTCCACAGGGCGGGCGCCACTACCGAGAAGGCCCTCTGCCTGGTTCCCTGTAACCTCACTTCTCGCAGTGAGGGAACCACCAGAAGGCCCTTGGAGCTGGACTTCAGTGTCCGGGCCAAACAATGGGGGTGGAGACGCTCCTTCAGGTATACAGGGACAAGACCATTTAGGGCTTTAGAGGTCAGCACCAACACTTTGAATTGTGCTCGGAAACGTACTGGGAGCCAACGTAGGTCTTTCAGGACGGGTATTTTTTATTTTATTTTCAAAAAAAATTATTGGTTTTCACAAAATTATAAACAAACACATAAAACAAACATAAATCATAACCTTATTAAAAATTACACTTATTAACATTGTTAAGTGACTTCCTCGCTTCCCCTTGGTTGAATTTCATTGCATGTCCTTTTAACGGTTTTCCAAATCACAGTTCTTATAAAGTTTAACTTGAACATTAACATCCTTAGAGTTTTTCATTTTGAAATTAAACATATTAATTCATCACTTAACTTAAATAAAATCCTAAGCCAATTAAGTATCTGCAAGCTGTTTCCAGTTAATTTAACTTAACATTTAACTAAATAATCATTAAATTTAATCCAATCTTCCTGATACTCCTCCTCCTTCCGGTTGCAGACTCTTCCGGTTAGGTCGGCTAGCTCCGAAAAATCCATCATCTTCATCTGCCATTCTTCCACCATTGGTAATTCTAGCGTTTTCCACTTTTTGGCTAGTAAAATTCGAGCAGCAGTTGTAGCATACAAAAATAATTTAACATCTTGGAATAACAGGCTTGGAATTGCCCAAGAAAGATGTTAAATTATTTTTGTATGCTACAACTGCTGCTTGAATTTTCCAGGACAGGTATTATGTGGTTTCGGTGGCCACTCCCTGTCACCAGTCTGGCTGCTGCATGACCCAGAATGCGGTCTGTGGACAAACGCTGGCCCCCTCGGCCTCAAAGCGAAATGTGCACCAAAACCCCATAGTTGCCTTCGACTGGACTTAACCATCCAGGGGTCCTTTACCTTTACCCTTACCTGCTTTGAAGTCACTTTAGCACCTAGTGCACACGACCACAGTGTGACCCTATAACCCTTGACAGCTCCACCCTTGTCTTTTTAATTATCCCAGTGATCTGAAACATTTTATGATGTGATGGCAATAAAGGTAAAGGTAAAGGGACCCGTGACCATTAGGTCCAGTCATGACTGACTTTGGGGTTGCGGTGCTCATCTCGCTTTATTGGCCAAGTAAGCCGGCATACAGCTTCCAGGTCATGTGACCAGCATGACTAAGCCACTTCTGGCGAACCAGAGCAGCACATGGAAATGCCGTTTACCTTCCTGCTGGAACGGTACCTATTTATCTACTTACCTATTTATCTACTTGCACTTTGACAGGCTTTCGAACTGCTAGGTTGGCAGGAGCAGGGACCGAGCAACGGGAGCTCACCCCGTCGCGGGGATTCGAACCGCCGACCTTCTGATCGGCAAGTCCTAAGCTCTGTGGTTTAACCCATGGCGCCACCCAGTTATTGAATCAAAAATGGGATACCACCAGGGCATGGGGGGGACTGAAGGGTGAGGGTGCAGAGCCAAATAGCTCCCAGCCATAGGCTCTGTCCCAAGTCATAGGCTCTGTGGTTTAACCCACAGCGCCACCTGCGTCCCAGTTTGAAATTGATTTCCCAATTTAAATTTGATTTGAAATTTAAAAAGGAAAATCACCGCCCACCCCCATGACAAAGGGGGCAACTCTACTTCCAGGCCATCCCTTTTGCAAAAACAACAAACCCCATTAAGCTTCCCTCTTCATTAAACTGTAGCAGGCCTGCCCTCCCACAGGCCTGAGTCTGCGCCACCCCGAATCTCACCGCCGGGCGGGACCTCCTTATGGACTAGCCGCATGAGCGGCAAAACTCCACACGCACAAACACCCACGAGAATGCGCTTCGGCCGCTTCTCCCCTCCCAAGCGCCGGCGACGCCGAGCTACTCCCACCCCCGGGGCCTAGGCCCGTCCCTGAAGCGCCGCCTCACCTCACCTGGCCGAAGGGACAGATGAGGGGGATGAGTCCGCTCGGCGCAGCTTCTCGCGGCTGCATTTGAAACGGCAGCCCCGCCCCGCCCGGCTCCTGATTGGCGGATTTAAGCGACGCTCACCACCCGCAGCCAATTGCAGAGAAGGCAAGTCGCGGACTCCGCCCCGCAATCAACTCTCATCTGAGGCGTACATGGAAGTTGTAGTTCACGTCCTTCCCCCGTTAAGGGACGTCGTCAGCGTGGAAACGGCCGCTCTAGGAAAACGACTTTATTTTTTTTTCTCCCCGTCGCCCGACGTTCCGTGGAGAACTGGAGATTTGAATTCCCAGAGAGGCGTTGTCTTGGTGCTTAGTCCCAGCAAAGACCGCTCGCAGCGCCCCCTGCCGGCTTTCGCCCAGCTGCAAGTCGACGCGTGTTCTGTGACCCGATTGCTTGTGAAAGGCCAACAGGATACGAACAGCGTTGGGTTCAAATGATTCAGTGGGGCTCACTATTTGGGGTCGATAGATATGTGAAAAACTGAACTCGGTTTGCACACTTTTGCCAGGAAACGAGTGAAATAAATCCAGGGGAGAGATACGTGTTACTCTCTGTCGTGAGAAATAAAGGTTCTTATGCATAAGTGTGCAAAGTAACAATCTTTTAAATTCAGGAAATAAATACGTGTTCCTCTCTGCTGTCAGCAAGATAAGTGCTAATGCATGATTTAATAATTGTGCATGTTAGCAATCTCCTAAATCCATGCTGTTTTCTGTTTTTGCCTAGATTCGTGTTTTGTAAAGGACCCTTTAAAAATAACTCCGATTGGGTTAGCAGAGGAGGCGATAGCATCACAGCCCAGATTGCCTGTGAATGACACTGTCAATCTATGTTAGCTATCTCAGGGGAAAGTCCCATGGTGTTCAATGGGCTTTTTTCTTAGTAAGCTTGCTTTGGTTTGCCGCTTTGCAACTCAATCCGATGTGCATTTACTCTGAAGTCTGTCCCATTGAATTTCATGAGGGTTTCTTCCTAGCAAGGGTGTATATAGGGCTGCAGCCTAAGGCTGCAAACATGTATGGGGCTGCAAGTGTGTGTGGATTAGGGCAGGGCAGACCCAATGCATTTTGGCACCTGAGGTGAACCATAAAATGGGCTCCCTTTCCCTGCCATGGGAAGAAGAAGAAGAGTGAAGATCGACATCAGGAATAAAGGGGAATAAAGATCTATCTTCTTCTTTGACGATCACTCGTAGCCGAGTATGATTGTCTTCCATGAACACAGTCTTAATAGTGAGTCAGTAAGTGACCATGGAGGCCAATTCTGGACCCACACATCCTTCCACAGTGGGGACATAGGTTTCCGGGCAGGAGTTGGTCAAGGTGTGGATTTGCCAAGCGTGCCTTCCTCTTAGCACGTTTCTCCCTTGTGTCCTGTGTTAGAACGTCTTCAAAGCCCATGACACCTTTGGAAAAGGCTGTTCTCCAATTGGAGCGCTTGCAGGCAAGTGTTTCCCAATTGTTGGTGTTTATACTACATTTTTAAGATTTGCCTTGAGACAGTCTTTAAACCTCTTTTGTTGACCACCAGCATTACGCTTTCCATTTTAAAGTTCAGGCTTTGTTGTTTTTCATTTGGTTAATAGCAGTACACAACTCTCCCAGATTTGGAGATACTGCAAGCTCATCTCTAACTTGTTTTTGCGAAATTTGTGAGAGGACCTCAGCAGCTACGGGGAAGTTGTGGTTAAAGAGATGTTGGTAATGTTCTTTCCAGCGCAGTGCAATAGCTTATTTATCTTTTAGAAGTGTGGTACCGTCTGCTGAGCGTAGGGGGCATATGATTTATTGGCCCATATGCACACATACACACAAATGCGCACTCAGATTGTTGTAAGCAAATAATGCCTTATCTCCTGCGTTATGCCAGTAAAGAAAACTCAGGAGACTGCAGGGTAGAAATCCAATGTTGTTTATTGCAAAGCAATAGGTTACAATGGGATAGCTTTGCAAAAGTTGCAACCCCGCCCAGTGGACTGGGCAGTGGTATTTATAAAGTTTCAAACAAAGCATTTCAATTTCCACCAATCGTACTTCATTACCTCATTTAAGTTGATAGATCAATCATATGCATAAGCATTGGCTGTTTCTGCTGACTAAGCTCGGATTCCCACCGTGTTCTGCGATGACCTTGCAGGAATACATTGTGTTAGTGTGCATGTTGGGAACCTGTGTCACGTGTAGCCATTTGCATCATGGAGCAACTTATGTTCTAGCTTTGTGCTGTATCTTTGTGATTTACCGTACATATTAGCTGTATTTCTGCCCCCAACGAGAGTGGCACATGTTGAAAAATCATCAGTTTCATAAAGTAACAGGCTACCATAATTTCTCTATTAGAAGCACACTCAAGGATTTACAGGGGAACACATTATCACATTTATTGTGGCCCTTTGGGCCACTCCCACAAGATCACCCCACACTGGTTACACCTAGGGAACACATTGGGGGGAAATAAACAGGGTTTTTTTAAACTGAGGAACGGAATTCCAATCAATAAGATTTATAGGGCAGGGCTAACATCTAACGAAAGAATGGCAACTTCAACAGATGGAATATGCACAGTTTGCAGACCTAACATATAGAATAAAAGAACAAGAAGAACATATGTTTAAAGAAGATTGGACAATGTTTATTGAATATATGGGGGGAAATTGTGTATACTTGAAAACGTTGGCAGCTTTAAGATAAATTCAACAATGTAAATAAGTTTTGATGGATGTAATACAGTAATGGAATACTGAATAGTTTAGTTTATGTAAAAGATGCAGGAATTTATGCTATACAAAATGAAGCAAGGAAAGCGAAGAAGGGAAGTTACTGATATTTTAAGATTGTTTAAATGAATATTCAAAATTGCAAAACAGAAATTTTAATGAAAATTTTATATATTATATATATGTTCAATGCAGAATTGGTGGTTTGCTGTTTGTTTCTGTTTTTTGCAGTACAAATGTGTTTGTGGTGTGCACAGGGTAGATAAATGCCAGGAATGAGGTGTGCACCTTCAACAAGGTACCACATTAAAGACATGCTTTTGAAGGGATAATGAACTAGGTCTCCAAGGACTGAAGCAGGCATATAGAAAAGTGATGGTGCCTAAATATAACAGGACCCAGTACAGAGTACAAACCTAGAATTACAGACTCGTGGAACTGGGGGCCACACCAAAGGCCATCTAGCCCAACCCCCTGCAATGCAGGAATCACAGCTGAAGAGTCCCTGACAGATGCCCCCCCCAACTTGCTCTGCTTCACGACCCTTTGCCTATTGCTTCATTACAGAGTCCAGAATTTTGCTTCCTCTCATATTCAAGATTTTTGTACTTGCATTGTTGTATATAAAACTGGGACTTTTCCATATTGCCTTCTAAATGGAGAAATTGATTGTTGGTCTTGTGGAGAAGTTAGCTTGCTTGTCTTCAGGGTAAATGACTTAAGAGGAATATTCATAGGAAACTGCCTTGGACGGAGTCAGACATTGACCCATCCACCTCAGCGTCGTCTACACTGACCGGCAGCAGCTCTCCCGGGTTTCAGACAGGGAACATTCTCTGCCCCACCTGGAGATGTCATCCAGGATCATCTATGAGGATGGTGATAATGCAAAGCGGATTGTCTAATCCTGTGCTATGGACACCCCTAGACTTGGGAGTCTTCTACTGCATTTCAAGGGATGTTGTGATTGTCTCTTTGGAAATGGGGCTGAATGAAGAATGATCCGATATAAAAACATGAACTCCAAAAGAGAAGATTCACCTGCAGACGGAACAGCAGGTGCTTCAAAGTTCTGAAGAAACATCAGGAGGGGTAAGTTTGGCCCAGGGTCAAGGTGGGTGGGTTGCCACGGTAACAATGACTTGCTCTCCTTTGTGAAATCTCCTGCTTCTCCCTTAAAACACACCAAATACAGGTGTCCATTGTGGGTTAGTGAGGAGAGACAGAGAGAGAGTTGTTGGTGCTCTTGTGGTAAGCAGTGCATTTGGATTTGGATTTGGACACCATGTTCAGAGCGTAAGCAGTATTTCTTCCCCTTCTCTATGCCTCCTGGGGTGGGATCCTGGAATCCCCTGCACAGCCTCAGCCCCCTGAAATTGTCTTGACCAGTCACTCCCCTCCCGAAGAGCTCAGCTCCTCCACACTCTTTCCCTGCCTTCCTATTTCCTCTCCTCTCCCATCTCATCAATTACATTCATTGTTTACATTCATAGGCCAGCCATCCTCCCAGGAGCTCAAGATGGCATACATGGTTCTCCCCGCCACCAGTTTTTACCCTCTCATCAACCCTGCAAAGTAAGCTAGGCTGAGGGGAAAAAGACTGGCTGAAGGTCAGTCAGTGAGCTTCATGAAGATTTGAACCCTGGTCTTCCAGGTCCCCCTAGTCCAGCACTCTAACTACTACATGTCTCCCCGCCTCCATCTTCCATCTCTCCGTCAAGCCCTTTCTGTGGGTCTCTGTCTGTAAGCAAGACTCCACCACCTTCCTCTCTCGGCCGCCCAGTGTTGTTCTGCTCGTCTTCTTGGACCCCTTGATGCTTGGAGGACCCACCTAGCAGTCTCCTCCCTCTCTGGGCAGGGCTGTCCTTCAAAGACTAGGCAGAGGCACCCTTTAAATGCTGGCAATACTTCTCTTTCCTTTGGGGTGGAGTGTTGCAATCCCTCATGGGATATAGCATAGCAGGAAAAGGAGAGCAAAGGCCTGTTTGATCCAGTGGCCAACCAGATGTCTCCAGGAAGCCCACAAGGAATAGCCCAATCCTGTTGATTGTCCTCTAACAGGTGGCTTCAGTGGTAGACTGCCTCTAAACCTGGAAGTTCTACATACTGCAGCTATTTCAGATCCTAATCGCAAATACTCTCCTCCTCTTCCTCAATGAATAGGTGTGACCCCCCCCCCTTTCCAACCTTGCAAGGCAGTCGTCCTTTGCACATCTTTTGGCTGCCAATTTCACAAACCAATTAAGTGTTATGTGAAGAAGTGCCCATTGATGTTAATGAATGACCCAAAGCTCTGCTATTCGATGGGGCAAAAATCTCTCCCATGTTTGTTTCATAAAATCTATATACCACTTCATTGTGTATATATACATCTCACACCTCGAAGCGGTTTACAAGAAGGTAAAACAATGTTGACAAGGCCTCGTTCCTGTCAGCAATCATGCTGCAGAATCCTGCACTAACTGCAGCTTCCAGGTCAAACACAAGGGAAGCCCGGCGTATAGTGCATGGCATCTAGTCTTGAAGCAATCAGGGCATGAACTAGGGTAGCCAGGTTCTCTTGGTCCTGGAATGGCAGGAGCTGGTACCTCATTTCTCTCCAAGCCCTGAATGCTCTTGGCTGCCTCTCTGAAGCTGTCATGAAGTCCTACAGTTCATTCAACTGCAGAAGGAGGGAAGGAATTGGGAGGGATGTGCTGGGAATTCTCTATTAGGCTAAATGTATTTCTGTTCTGCATCATCTCTTCTAGGTTCAAGCGACTGAGAAGCTTCATGCAGCCAGAAAGGAGCAATGAAGTGGCCCCGCTCCAGCACAAGGAACAGCCTGTGGCCAGTGGCGGAGGAAGCCAGAACATCAAAGAAGACGGGCACCCAGAGGAGGGGCGATCTGCCCACCGTGATGGGGGGATTCGCCCTTCTAGGGGTGCCATCGGGGGTGCCCAATGCTCTAGGAGGTGCCATCGCCTCAGAAAGAACAGAAAAGTGGCCCCACTGCAGCGCGAGAAGAAGCTTATGCCTCCAGGTGAGGAAGTTCCCCCCGTGCCATTTTTGGAAGGGCAGGAATAGGCTAGGGTGGCAGCTCAGGGTATAGGATTTGTGGGGGAGGGGAAGCTAGTAAGAAAAAGCCAAAAGAGCCAGACTGTTGGATCCGACCCAAGGTTCATCTGGTCCAGCATCTGGAAACCCACCCCAGTGGCCAGCCACTTTTGTGGGGTTGATGAAGATGCTATTGACAGAGAGAGGAGAGGAAGCATTTCTAGTGGAAGCTGGAGGCAGAGGCAGCTGGTAGGACAGGGCAGGGGGACAGTGGTCAGCTAGAGGGCCACATTCTCTTGTGAGCCTCATTCGGGGGGCTGCAGGCCAAGACTGGCCCCCAAGGCCTGGGGTTTGCCACCCCTGTAGTAGGAGTGTAGAAGCAGATGAACCAAGCAGAAGATTATTAGAATAATCTTTGAAGCTGCAAAGGGACGAACTAACCTGTCCCCATGTCCTTCTCTTGTTGCAGTTGTGCTGAAGCTCTTCGAGACTCTTCCGAAGCCTGAGGTTAGTACTGGGGGGAACAAGAGGAGGGACTGGATCCCCCAGACCCTCTGCCCGCTGACTGTGGTCTTTGTTCCCAGTTCTGCAGTCTCTGAATACTTCCACCCCCACCCTCCAAAAGGCTTCCAAAGCAAATAATGCAACGAATGTGGCATGGGTTCTTGGGGTGTCAGGATGATGCCAGAGGCATGTCCTGCCCTCTTCCCTGGTGCTGCCCTTCCACCTCTGCCCAGGAGGCTGCAGGGCCCATGGAGGTCCTCTGGGGCAAGGGATTGGGCCCAAGCCTGAGGGAGGCCAGTCTTTCCTGGTTTGGGCCTGCTTGTGGGCTTCCTTGCACCCATCAATGGTGGGTTTTGTAGTGTCACAAAATGCATGTGATCCAGCTTTCTCTTTCCTCTGCAGAAGGCAATGGCCCAACGACACCAGTCCCGTATTCAGCCAGCACCTGAAGAAGGTAAACGAATCTCCACACCTTGGGGACTTTTCACTTAGTAGCCTTATGGTTCGTGCCCGAGAAAGACCTCCCAGGCCTTCTTGCTGTGCTTTGCAGGCCTTTTTCACTCCCCCTTCAGAAGGCAGGGCCCTGACTGACTCCAGCTACAAAAGCTGAGGTGGCTGAACCCTTGGGTTTGGGTATAGTTTGGCAGGCGTTGTTGAGAGAGGCTGTTAATTCAGTCTCTCTTTTTCATTCTCTTCCAGAGGACATCACTGTAGAAGATATAGAATGACTTTGATTTGGAGAACTGTTATACCTTTCTTGGATACAGAAAGTCCCTCTTTTTCATTCTCTTCCAGAAGACCTCCTTACTGAAGACCTAGAATGAGCTTCTGGTGTGCTGCGCTCAGAGACGGGTCGAGGGAAGGTGCTCTGCTATGGTGGAGCATACCCTATCGCGGAAAAAGGGAGTTAGGGGAGAACGAGAGCAACGAGATTGAGATTGAGAAGAGCCAGGAGAGGGAGAGGCAAGACGACGCGAGATTACCTTGAGAGTTGGGAGGAGAGAAACGCAGGAAGGCGATTGAAGATGGGGAAGGAGGGAGAAAGGATTGAAGAGAGGTGAAAATGGCGGGGACAAATGCTGACTGCTGACTCACCCTTACCGTGTCAGGAAGAAACCGGAAACAACGATAAAAATTAACCCTTTTGGGGATGAAGTCTATTTAGAACTCTAAACCTCAGAATGTATCATAAGTTGGTATCATAGTGGCTTTATGATGTGGAGGGTCTTAGTATTTCATTGCCAAATTTCATCCACCATATAAACAAGCAGGGAAGGAATCTGCAGTCCAGGGATAGCACGACACCTCCTCTTCTTTGGCGATCCTTTGTAGCCGAGTAAGATTGTCTTCCATAAAGACGGTTTTAACAATGAATCCGTAAGTGACTGTGGAGACCAATTCTGGATCCACATGTCCTTCCACAGTGGGGACATTGGTTCCCTTGCATCCTGAGTTCAAGTGCCTTCAAAGCCCATGACACGTTTGGTAAAGGCTGTTCTCCAATTGGAGCGCTTGCAGGCAAGTGTTTCCCAATTGTTGGTATTTATACTACATTTTTTTAGATTTGCCTTGAGAGAGTCTTTAAACCTCTTTTGTTGACCACCAGCATTACACTTTCCACTTTTAAGTTCGGAATAGAGTGGTTGCTTCGGAAGACAATAATCAGGCATACGAACAACACGGCCAGTCCAACAAATCTGATGTTGAAGCATCATTGCTTTGACACTGGTGATTGTTGCGTCTTCCAGTACACTGGTATTAGTTCGCCTGTCTTCCCAAGTGATATGTAAAAATTTTCAGAGACACCATTAATGGAATCTTTCGAGCAGTTGGAGATGGTGTTTATAAGTGGTTCATGTTTCACAAGCATACAGTAAGGTTGGTAGTACAATAGCTTTGTAAACAAGCATTTGGGTTTCCCTGCAAATGTCCCAGTCTTCAAACACTCCACACTTCACTCGAGAGAAAGCTGCACTCGCAGAACTAATGCTGGATTTCGGCATCAATGTCAGCCCTTATGGAAAGATAACTCCCCAGGGTCTACATTGGTATCTGTTGCCCCTGTAGATCATGCCTCCTGAGGCCTCACCTTGCCTCTTGGGAGGGCCGGCCCTGGATCAGGGCCCTGCTCTGCTGCCTTCTGTGATGCCAGTGTTGTGCTCCACTGTTCCACTTGCTGAATGTGTGGGAACAGGGTCCCTGGTGGCAGCCACCAACAGCATTCCCCAAAACAGGGATTTCTGTGGGTGAGAAGGAGCTAAGCTAGCCTGTGGCACCTTGGATCCTAAACTGGGGCAAATCATGTTCTCTAAATGCAGATTTGACTGTTATTCCAGCATTGCACATTGAGCAGGGGGCGCAAGGCCGAGGTAAAGGCTCTCATAAGGCCATCTAGCAAATTTGGGGCTGGACCGAGCTTTCAACTATGAGCTTTCAGCCCATAAATTTAGTCACGAAACTTATTCTGGCTCTCAGACCGGAACGATGAAGCATGTTTAGTGCGTCACTGAAGCCATAGCACAATTTGTCCTGTTTCATACATTGCAATTAGGAATAATATGACTGGAGATGATATCATAAATATCTTATCAGTTTCATCTTGGGACCTCGGTTCCATTTCTGCAACCTTCTCCGGATTTTTACTGTTGGTTTTTACGATTCCTTTTCCACTTACGAGCGCTAGAAAAGAAGAACAGATGATAGATTGCTTTCATGAAAGTTTTCCAGGCAAGTCTCACTTTGAGTTTAAATGCACAGTGCTTTTTATAGGTTGTGTGAATCATTTTAAAGTTTCTCCATAAATTTCAAGCCGTAAAGACCCTTCACACCAGTTTTTGTTTGTTTGTTTGTTTGTTTACTTTTTTAAAAAAAAATCTCTTGATGGCTGCTCCTATTCACATTATTAGCTGTGGGTGAAGTATAATTTGTTTTGGCTCAGAAAATGTATGCTACAGAAATGTCAGGGCTTTTCAAAATGTGTCAGAGCTGCTGGCTCACATTTGCACAAGCCAAGAAAAACTATGACAAAGAGCATAACAATGGCTTTTGAACTTCTGTTGGAGAGGAAGAAAATCCATCTTTCTATTTTTGCTTTTGGCAGCGGAGCGGCAAACTTGACATACGTTCCCCACCCCTCAAAAAAAGATTTGAGTGAAAGCGCTGTCTCTGATGTTGCTCTCCCTCCTCTGTTCTATCTGTGGCCAGCCAGAATAGCTGGATTTTCACACTGAAAATTTAGAAAGTACAGGATGAAGGAACCAGGAAGGTGGCTCTCCATGTGTTCCTGTTTTCCAGGAACAGTCCCAGATTTACAGAAGCTGTCCTGGTTTCTGATTTGATCCTGGGATGTCCTGCTTTTCCTTAGGACGTCCCTATTTTCATCAGAGAAATGTTGGAGGGTATGAAGTTCTGCAACTTCTGAGCCAAGGAGATACAACCTTTGGAAGACATCTGAAGGCAGCCCTGTAGAGGGAAGTTTTTTTGATGTTTAATGTTTTATTATGTTTTTATATCTGTTGGAAGCTGCCCAGAATGACTGAAGCAACCCAGTGGGGTATAAATAAATTATTATTATTATTATTATTATTATTATTATTATTGAATTGGATGTCCCTATTTTCATCGGAGAAACATTGGCGGGTATCAGCTTGGTAGGTCGCAAGTTGTATACCCCTGATTTAAATAAATAAGCCTTACTGTACTAAAGATCTGAGCAGGTAATGTAGGAAATCGTACTCCTTTTATTCCAAACCTGCTGGTATAAAGATGTACGTGTCCGTTGGGCAGCGTACTGTGTGAGGACTGGGGAGGGACTGCTGAAGTTTGTTTATTTAGGGCAGGGGTCAGCAACCTTTTTCAGCCATGGGCCGGTCCACCGTCCCTCAGACCATGTGGTAGGCCGGACTATATTTTGGAGGGGGGGGAAATGAACAAATTCCTATGCCCCACAAATAACCCAGAGATGCATTTTAAATAAAAGGACACATTCTACTCATGTAAAAACACGCTGATTCCCGGACTGTCCGCGGGCCGGATTGAGAAGGCGATTGGGCCGCGTTCGGCCCAAGGGCCTTAGGTTGCCTACCCTGATTTAGGGGCACACACCTGTCATTCAAAGTGGTGCAATGCCAGTAGAAACGTGCCATTGTGTAGAATCCGAAGTTAACTTCTGAGACGTGACTTTCAATAAGCCTCCCGCTCAGACTGGCTATTTCGAGCCCTTGGGGTACCCATGAGATCTCAGTTTGAGAAATTCCCGTGCTCGTATCGCAAGAGAAGAATCGTGGAAAGATGTCTGTGTCCTGCATAAGGGGCGGCTTGAAAACAGAGCGGTCTATTTTGTCAGCCAAGTGTCTCCCCCACTTCTCGCACACCTCCCTTTTGCACGCGCGCATGCTACAAACAGGGAGGGCTTCTTTCATTGCTCCACATTTGGCAGAGACTTAGCTGCTTCTGTTTATAAAGGCCCAAGCAGTCAGCGAGGGGAGAGAACGTGCTATTGGTTTAGTTAGTTCATGACTTGCAGCAACAGCAGCAGCTCCAAAGTTGTATCCCGGAGGATCTCAATTCTCCGCTCCTCTTTCAGCTGTGCAAAGTCAGCATCACTGCTACCGACTGAGGGCTTTCAGGTCACTGATTGACGGTATCTCCGCTGGTTTCTCGCTTTCAGGGAAGAGTTGCAAGAGCAATCCACCAAGGAAAAAGAATGCATGCCTCTAGAAGGTAGGTGAAACACGTTGGTAAAAGGGAAAGCAGAAGGAGAGCATGTCATGCAGAGCTTTCCATCATGACAGGGAAATGTTACGGATGCTGGTGCTATATTCAGACTAAAACTTTATTGCGGTCCAAAGACCCACCAAACAATTTCAAAACTAGATACGGTTAAAACGACCAGACAGACAGATGGAAGAAACAAAGGCAGTCATTTTGTTTTATCTAGGGCATAATGATCTTTGTTTCTTATAACCTCCGAAATAAACTTTGCCACGGTCAGTGTACTATCATTTGACCTGTCTTCCAAAAGATATTTAATATGGGAGGCTTTGGATTTTCCCGGCAAATTAGCTAGTGAGGGTTTGATCAGTTGATCCCTTGCTTGCTCATATTGCCCACAATACAGAAGAATCAGCTTCATGCAATCAACGTCCTGGGAACATAAACAAAGCCTATTCTGATAGGGGATGCCTCTCAGTCTGCAATTTAGAACTTCCGAGGGAAATACGTTTAGTCTGGCTTTGGTAAATAAACGCCGAGAAGTAGGTACAGACAAATTCCTAAGGTATGAGGATATCTGAAAGTCATACCCATACTGGATTCCAGCTGCGACCGGGCTACAAATTACATAAGATCGGGATGGTGCTATATTTTATATGCAGCTTCAGACTACTGTGCTGAAAGACTTACTAGGGGATAAATAATGAGGCTGCTGACACGGTGGGGTTTGGGTTTTTGTGGGGGGGGGGGGGAACAATGCAATGGAAGGAACTAAGGGTTTCTTCATACAACATTGTTAAGACACAAGTAGCACAGTTAGGACACTTCCTGGGGGAAGGAAGGGCCATAGCTTTGTAAGAGAGCATCTACTTTGCATGCGGAAGCTTAGGCTTAGGCTTTAATCTTTAGCATCTTTAGGTAGGGCTAGGAGAGACTCTCTGTAAAGTAACACCTTAAACGTCAGTAGTGGCAACAGGCTAAATCTATTGTTTCTTTTTTTCTTTCGGCAGAATACACTGCCTTCGCGCTCACAGGCCCAAACCTGCTGCTACCACCGGAGAGGCAGTGCAGAATTCTTGTGGGTGCAAACAGCGGTGTCGAAATGAGCAAACTGCCGTCGGTACACTCTACACACTCATTGTCATGGTTATCCTAATTGCAATTTGGGGAGTCTGGGCCAGGAAAGATTTCTGAGCATGCTGAAGGAAGACGTTCGATATCAAAAGCTCAGAGAGACCCTCTTAGGGACAGGAAGGGCAAAATGCTCGACTTATACACACTGGAACTGTTATCGAAGGACAATTGCTGATGGATGCAAAGTCTCTCTCTGCCCCTCTTTCTGGCAACGCTCAAAATTCAAGAGAGAAAAGAATGCAAAGTGATGATTCTTTCGAGACTGCTTTGTATAATGATGATCATAAAATGATGCAGCTTTTGTAAATCCTGTAAATGTAAAGTATGTAAAATATAAATATAAAATATACCTATTTTAAGAAGGCTGGGTCAGTGTTTTCGCTTGGTGTATTTTCTTCTTTGATTTAACAGGCTCCCAGTTTCGTAGCACAGAACTTGGGCAGGGTCATCCAGAAAGAGTGGAAACGGTGTGGTTAATCATATCATTGGATCTCAGTAGATCTGGTTCATTATCTAATAACCCACGTCAACATTCGGTCAATCCCTAAAATAGGACAATGGCAACAAGGATGTGACTGCTCTTCCTGCTGCACAATGGTAATAAGAGAACTAGACTTGATGTTGTTGTAATTTAATTCATTGTGTGATGCTTTGGCTGCAAGTTGCGGGTGCAAATAAGGCTCTCTCTGGGCACAGCACATAGACCATGTGAATCTCTGCCTTAGTGGAACACACCCACCCCACCTCACACCACAGAAATTAGACAGTCTTCTTCCTCATACCCAAGCAATTTGCTGAACAAACCACACATGCATTGAGCCATAGGAAAGAACATTTCATTAGGTATCTATAGGGCAGCTAAGTTGTTCAGGCGACCCCTGGGCATGTTGGAAGTGTGTGCGCATAATGCACAGCGTCTTCCAGTTAGAACTGTTCCATCTCTTGTGGGGTGTGCATGCAGTGTGGAACAGAACAGATCACCCATCAGGCCCAAACATCATGAACAAATTCCAGTGATGCTATTGAACAAGGGTAACCATCATAAAACTCTTCGATTGTTGTGGACTACAACTCCCATCATCCCTGAGTACTTGTTGGCAATGCTGACTAGGCCTGCTGGGAGCTGTAGTCCAACACATCTGGAGGGAACCGGGTTGGTTACACCTGCTACTGAGTACCACTGATATTATTATCTGATCCTCTTGCATGATGCGGGAGAGCAGGAGCACAAATGAAGAGGAGAATCATGCAAGGAGAGCTCAAGTCCATATATTTGAAGTTCCTCACCCAGATGTAGATGAGATCCAGACCTGCTTAGTTTCCACAAGGTTGCTGCATTTAGACTATGCACTCATTTCTGTAGTGGAAGACTTTGGTGCTGTGGGAAAGGCAAAGTTGCATCTACATATCAGTTATGCTGCTGACTCAGTAGCTGGCATTTAGAAAGCCCTTAACCTCTCTATTTTATCTGTAACGTGAATGTGTAATACTTGCTCGTCTTGATGGGTTTTTGGAGAGGTGAATTAATTAACATTACCAAAGCACCGAGCTTCTGTGATAAAGGTTATGTTTAAATATGCTATGACTGTAATGTTGCTTCTTTCCTAGAAGGTCAACACTTCGTTTATTGCCTCTCATTTTAATTTGTGGGGGCTGGCTGCACCGTATAGACTTATGTCCATAACGATAGGGGATATAAACCTGAAGATCTGCGTGAGACCTGAAACAAAATATTGCAGTGGATCACAAACCCCCAAGAGGACAGCTCCTGTTTATAGCTCCAGCCCCCCTGGGAGAAGAGCCCTGTAGCCCTGCACAAACCTCCAGGGGTGGGGTAGAGGGGGTCAGTTGTGAGGAAGGAGAAAACAACATTTCTCCTCACTCTCCATAGGCCTTCCCCAGGTGTACTGAAATGATCAGTTGCTAAACAACTTTAAAGTTATCCCCTGCACTATTAGCATGGGATAATGCGTCCCCTCCAGCAAGTTTCCACAACCTGTTGCCCATTCAAGATGTTGGGGGCTGCCACTCCCACCATCGCTGACCATTTGGCATGCTGGCTGAGGTAGTTGGTAGCTGTAACCCAAAACATCTGGAAGACCCCAGGTTGCATGCGTCAGGATTTTCTGCCAAAATATAGGCATTCATCAGCAGCTAAGGCAATGTGAAAAGCATTCATTACAGGTGGACAGTTTGGTACTGCTGCCTCAGATACCATCAGCTCAGCTTTAAAGCAATAAAAGTTATTTTCCCTTTAGAAGGATAAAATGATCCACACAGCTCTCTTGACAGCATCCTTCTAACAAAGGAGACATGAGCAAAGCATAGCTGGTATATTACTTAAAGGGCAGCAAAAGCATTCATGCAAACCCTAAGGTACTGTTGGTGTGTTTCAACTCTAGGGGCACAAGCGGTGAAAAGGAACGGTTTTACGATCCCTTCTGTTTATGTTAACTGGGCTGGAGTGATTTTTCACACATGTTCAAAAAAGGATATGACTTAAAACGTACCTGCTTGCCGTTAGTTCAAACTACCAAAAATAGTGTCTGCTCTCCAGCCAACAAGTTGGATGATATATTCCATGTGCCATTTGCTTTGTCAGGCAATGAAAACAAGCCTTTAATTTTCCATGATAATACTGCTGAAGTGTTGTTTCAGAAGCTTCAGATCCTTCCCTCTTCCAGCTCTAGATATTATCCTACAGATCCCACACCCCCACACCGCTCCAGCTTTTGAAAAGACAGATTATCCTGAAAACCTGTGAAAACAACGAAATTGTTGGCACTACCATTTCTTCCAATCCCTTTCAAAGGAAAATATTGCAGCTAGCATAATCTTTAGCATGGGGTCCCAATTTGCAAGAATTCTCTTCTAGCGTTAATGTATTGTTTCTTTTAAGTTTTGCAAACACAGGAGCTTAGGGGAAGGCTGCTAGGCTTGCCAAATAATTAAGTGACTTTTATTTTAAGAACCGATCACTACACGATTCCTAATTAGGGAAACGGCCTTGGCCCAGTATACCTGAAGGAGTGTCTCCACCCCCATTGTTCTGCCTGGACGCTGAGGTCCAGCTCCGAGGGCCTTCTGGCAGTTCCTTCATTGCGAGAAGCAAAGCTACAGGGAACCAGGCAGAGGGCCTTCTCGGTAGTGGCACCCGCCCTGTGGAACGCCCTCCCATCAGATGTCAAAGAGATAAACAACTACCTGACATTCAGAAGACATCTTAAGGCAGCCCTGTTCAGGGAAATTTTTAATGTATGACATATTAGTGTATTTTTGGTCTTTGTGGAAGCCGCCCAGAGTGGCTGGGGAAACCCAGCCAGATGGGCGGGGTACAAATAATAAATTATTATTATTATTATTATTAGGAACACTTATAAATGAACATCTTTCCTAGATCAGCTCTCCATTTAAATACCAAGTTACTCTTCTCATAAGTCAAATTTAGGGCTTCTGCTCTTCAAAGTTATTGTTATTAGTATTATTAGATTTTTATCACACCCTCCTGCCTGAAGGAGCCTAAAGTGGCAAAGTTGTGGTATTTATGGGACAGCCTCTCCTGGTATGCCCCACAGAGGACCTTAAGGTCCATGAATAACCATAGTTTAGAGGTCCCGGGCCCTAAGGAAGTCAGACTATCCTCCACCAGGGCCAGGGCCTTTTCAGTGATGGCTCTGACCTGGTGGAATGCTCTGTCCCATGAGACTAGGGCCCTGCAGGATTTAACCTCCTTCCGCAGGGCCTGTAAGACCGAGCTATTCTGCCTGGATTTCAATTTGAATTTAGCCTGATATTTTATTCCCCTCTTTATGAAGATTACCTGCTCCGTGACCTCACATCTAATTCTCCCCTGGCCTCCTCGCTGGCCCAAATAGGACTAATTTAACCAGCTAGCCCTGGTGACCATCTAATGTTTACTGGATGGATTTCCCCCCAAATTGATTTTTGAACTTTGAATTTATTGTTATTCACGCTTTTATGTTGTATTTTATGCTGTTTTTTGTTGTATCACAATTAAGTGTTTTAAATTTGTTGTTAGCCGCCCTGAGCCCGGTTTTCTGAACTGGGAAGGGCGGGTATAAATAAATTATTATTATTATCATTATTAAATTTGGAGTAAGTGTGATCTCAGCACCAAACCCTCACAAAACATCACCCCTAAGTAGTAAATGATGGTTTGTATTTGCCTTGGAAACCACATTTAAACCCAAGTCTGCAATTATGGTTCATGGTCCATGTTAGTTTGGACGTAACTGCAAACTACTGTATAGTGTGCTGCAATCCAGGAAAAACAGGAGCCATTAGTTCCTGGTCTAGCATTGCATGTACCCAATGTAATATGTTTATTGTATTAAGGTTAAACCAGCAATCTTTAACAAATAAAGAAGAGGGTATGATATCTTACAGGACAGAGATGGGGAGCATATGGCTTTCTAGGTATTGTTCAACGCCATCTCCCACCAGTATTTCCAATGGTTAGGGGGTAAGGGAAGCTTATAATAGGGCCAGAGTTTTATCTGCTTGACAAAATATCTTGACACCTTAATATTAGGACAGATTCTAAGTTTCTCAATCCCTTTTGCCAAATTCATTCAAGTGATGACTTCTACCATCTCTGCAACATGTCAGTTAATCTTCCTTCTGCTTACTCCTCCATCAAATACAGGGTTTTGCAAACTTGGGTCTCCAGCTGATTTTTGACTACAACTCCCCATCATCCCTTGCCAGCAGGACCAGGGACCAGGGATGATGGGAATTGTAGTCCAAAAACAGCTGGAGACCCAAGTTTGGGAAACCCTGATCTAATACTATGACTGGCTTGTGGCTGGCTTCACATTCCTCATGACCTCAAAGCTGAGAGAATGCCAAACCAGAGGCCAGCAAGCCCTAACCTCTCCCTGATCAGTGCCATGCAAGCGTCCCTGACTGGAACAGATGAACTGCGGTAGGATCAAGGGGCATGCACAAACTGAATAGCGCTCACAGCTGCTGCGCTCATATGGAGGCTGGAGCCAGGCCTATTTCAGGGCTTATATGCAAATAAACACATAACGCTGCTGTATAATAACTACAGGTGACTCTCGTCTTATGCTGGGATTACGTTCCGGGGATATCGCATAATGCCCAAATGGTGTATAGTAGAAAATCATTGGGTTCTATATATATCTATATTGAAATATATATATTTGCCAAGTGCATAAAGCTGAATGTGCCCAAGTTAAATGTGTGCAAGCTGCCAGTTACTTACACCGCTAAAAGAGCTAACATGTGCTCCCTTCCATTTTTCCTGGGACACCAGAAACAGTAATAATCAGGGGCAAGGGGGCATTTAATAACCAGGTGAATTTACCTTGAGACCATTGGTGGAAGGTGTTTGCTTGCATTCAAGATCCAATATTCCCTTTCAGGCAAACAAAGATGGCAGTTTTCATTGGGCCAGACTGGCAAGTGTCCTCGTGGATTTTTTTCTCTTTTCCTGTGGTGTGTTAAGCACAGCCCATTGCAAAAGTTGTTGGGAGCAATTATTGTACAATGTGCATCTTTGCTGTGTGGCCAGACTTGGACAGGCTTGATTTTTGCAGGGTGGGGGATTAATGGAAGGTAGGGTACTAAATGGTAGCCCAAAATTTTGGTACTTTCCAGCTTTCTAATACCCTCTGAGAAGAAGCATCTGCAGATCATCATCTTGTTATGATTTGTACAAGCACGTGGGTTTTGTTGCATATACAGCTGCCTTTCTGATTTCAAAACAACCTAACTTCCTAGGAATATACGAAAGATGTCTAACTTTCCCTTGTTAATCAAAATACAAGCACTGTATACATTATAAAGTGTTGGATCCAAAGCTTAAATGATCTCTGGGCCATTTTGCTGATGTCATTGTAAAAAAACCTGTGCATCAGATCTATCCAGTTAAAATACTATCACGTTCCAGGAGCAAACTTGGTATTAAGGCCAAGTATGAGAGGACATTCTCTATCAAAATACTACAGCATATGCAAATCTGTTTACCCTTAGCTTCTTGTACAACTATGGGAGAAAAATGAAGACTCAGCACACTGTCCAAGTTGCACAGACTGACATTCTCAGAATCTATAAGCTACAAAATATATGAATTATACAGTCGTACCTTGGTTTTTGGATGCGGGTGGCGCTGTGGGTTAAACCACAGAGCCTAGGACTTGCTAATCAGAAGGTCGGCAGTTCGAATCCCCGTGGCGGGGTGAGCTCCCGTTGCTCGGTCCCTGCTCCTGCCAACCTAGCAGTTCAAAAGCACGTCAAAGTGCAAGTAGATAAATAGGTACCGCTCCAGCAGGAAGGTAAATGGCGTTTCCATGTGCTGCTCTGGTTCGCCAGAAGCGGCTTAGTCATTCTGGCCACATGACCCGGAAGCTGTACGCCAGGTCCCTCGGCCAATAAAGCGAGATAAGTGCCGCAACCCTGAGTCGGTCACGACTGGAACTAATGGTCAGGGGTCCCTTTACCTTTACCTTGGCTTTCAAACAGAATGTGTTCCAGAAGGCCGCCCGACTTCCAAAATGTTTGGAAACCAAGGCACAGTTTCTGATTGCGCAGGCGCGCCGGAAACAATAGAGGAAGCTGCATCAGATGTTGGGCTTCCAAAAAAACCCTTCGAAATCTGGAAGACCCACTTCCGGGGTTTCGATCATTCGGGATCCGAAACGTACGAGTACCAAGGCGTTCAACAACCAAGATACAACTGTATATCCTAAACTCCTCTTAATGCTCCTTCCTTGTAACATTCAAATGATTTTTTGTAATATCCATCTATACAGCAGCAAAGGAAGTTAAAATCCTCCATCTTAATTCTGAGTATTGGTTTAAGGCACTAAATGCTTTTGGTTTCAGCCTTGGGAAAAATACCTTAAAACAGGAACGGGGAACTTGTAACCTTGCACTACAGCTTCCACAAGCCCCAACCACATGGCCAATGATCAGGGATGATAGAAGTTGTAATCCTGGATGGTGACATGGGTTTATTCTAATGAAGAGAATATTGCAGATAGGGAAATGTTTTAAGGAAGCAGCATGAATACTGAGGATCGTAAGCGAGGAGTGCGCTGTTGTCTTAAGTCCTGCTTGTGGACTTCCTGTGATTGGCCAATGGTTGGCCACTGTGAGAAAAGGATGATGTTCCAGATGAGCTTTTGGCCCCAATCTAGCTGCTCTTCTTAAGCTCTTAATACTTAAGAGGAACAGCACCAGATGGACCACACTTAAGCCAAGACTGCCTGTATGGATCACCCCACAGATATTCAAATCCCTACAAAGTTAGTTCCAAGTTCTGTACTGATAAATGCTACAGATTCAGGAACTGCTTTAAGAAAGAGTACAGCAGCATCAGCCTCTCTGCTCAGTGGCACAACTTGGCAATTTTAGACTATGGCTTCAACAGTCCTATTGTGGGCGAATTTTTTTGATGGCAGTGTGTTTTCTTCTTTGGTGATCACTCGTAGCTGAGTAAGATTGCCTTCCATGAACACGGTTTTAACAGTGAGTCCGTAAGTGACTGTGGAGGCCAATCCTGGATCCACACGTCCTTCCACAGTAGTGACATAGGTTTCTGGATGGGAGTTGATCACGGTGAGGATTTGCTTGCGGTATCTCCAAATTTGGGAGAGATGTGTACAGCTATTAACCAAATGAAAAACAACAAAGCCAGTGGACCCGATGGGATACTTGCCGAAGTCTTTGAAGTGGATAGAACTGAACTGACATAACAACTTCACAAGCTCATCTGGTAATGCGTATCACTTGATTCAAAGTGTGGTAAGCCAGCCATGGTTCATTTGGAGGCCCCTGTCCTTGTTTTGCTGAGGGCGGCCTCCACTTCTGCCCAAAGTCCTTATCTGACAGCGCTACTAGCTCTACCACACCCCCAAGGGTTACTTCAAAGAACTGTGTTAACTAAGGGGGAAGGAGAAGGCGAATGAATGAAAGATAAGATATTGAAATTGGATTGTGTTGTGTTTTAAATGGTTTTTGTTTTGTTTTGTTAGTTGCTGGTGTTAGTGTTTTGTAGTGTTTTTAGTATTGTATTGTATTGTTGTATTTTTTTGTTTTTTTGTTTTCTGCAGTGTTGTGTTTAAACTGTTGAAAAATTAATAAATATTATTTTAAAAAAAAAGGAGAAGGCCAAGCCACAATGCCGACACCATTCGCACCTAGCAAGACCAATAACCCAAGAAAATGCTGTCATTTTATTGTTTTGCTTTTTGTATCTTTTACTCCCTCTCTCTTTTAGTCATTTAAATTGTGCACCGCCTGGCGTACATTGCCAGAAGGGCAGTATGCAAAAATACAGTGAACAATAAACTTTTACTTCTTGATTATAAAATAATCAAAATACCCAAACATTCTTCCATGTTTGTAATAAAATTGTGACAGCTTCCGTTTTCAAACAAAATAAGAGTTAGACTTCAGGGCATTTTAACACTGGTTCGACCAAACAGAAAAACTGAAATAAACATTTGTTTCAGGCTAAAACTGTTTCAATGTCCTAACTTTTTTTTTCATGAAACATCTTTAGTTGCCATTCTACAAATGATGCCATCCAGCAGCGTGCCTATTTTTTCTTCCTGTGGGGTTAGCTTGTACAACTGCAAAGAAAATGGAATAGTCACTTTCCGGAGGAGCAAAAGGTTGTCCAGCTTTATAGGTCAAGTTGAAAAAATGGGCACAGCAATCCTATGGCAGGCAGAAGGGAGAATCCAAAGCATAGCTGCTATAACTTCCAATGCCCTGCTAGAGCAAATAATAAAATCTTAAGAGTTGTAGAGTTGGAAGGGACCATGAGGGTCATCTAGTCCGATCCCCTGCAATGCAGGAATCAAAGCTGGGGAGGAGACAGCTAGAACGGAAATACCGTATTTTTCGCCCTATAGGACACACTTTTTCCCCTCCAAAAACGAAGGGGAAATCTGTGTGCGTCCTATGGGGCGAATGCAGGCTTTCGCTGAAGCTTGGAGAGCGAGAGGGGTCGGTGCACACTGACCCCTCTTGCTCTCCAGGCTTCAGGAAGCTATCAGCAAGCCTGGGAAGCCTAGGCTGCGGATAGCAGCCTGCTGCCCGGAGCGCGGGGCGGGCTGATGCCGCAGCTGGGGGGGGGGGAATAATTTTTTTCCCTTTGTCCCCCCCCCAAAAAAAACTAGGTGCGTCCTATGGGCCAGTGCGTCCTATAGGGCGAAAAATACGGTAAGTATGGCAGCTCCAAGGCTGTCATATTTTTTCACACCCTTCTTAGGGGAATGGGGTGACTTTGATTCTATGAATCAAAAATCTCCCTTGGTTCAGCCCCAACTTGCTCCTTCTCTCTCTCTCTGTCCCCCCAGCACCAACAGGGGAGGAGGGATGGCTTCAGAGGTCTCCATGGCTGAATTGAGAAGATCTCCAGGGGTCTCCAGGGGTGGACCTACTTTTCTACTTCTGGACCTCTCTGTACACCCACAAAAAATGGCAACATCAATGGCTGCTGGGATGACCTCTCCAGGGACCATGGGACTGCACCCTAATGTACTTTGTAGTCAAAACTCTCAATACAGAGTGGGGAAAATGTAAGACACAAAAGAAGATTAAGAAAATGTAGGGGTATGCTTGCATTGCTAAGGATGCCTAAAGGTAAAGGTAAAGGACCCCTGACAGTTAAGTTCAGTTGCAGACGACTCTGGGGTTGCGGTGCTCATCTCACTTTACAGGCCGAGGGAGCCGGCGTTTGTCCGCTTCCGCAGACAGTTTTTCCGGGTCATGTGGCCAGCATGACTAAGCCGCTTCTGGCACAACGGAACACCGAAACCAGAGAAGTGCACAGAAATGCCATTACCTATTTATCTACTTGCACTTTTTCAGCGTGCTTTTGAACTGCTAGCTTGGTGGGAGCTGGGACCTAGCAACGGGAGCTCACCCTGTCGCGGGGATTCAAACCGCCGACCTTCTGATCAGCAAGCCCAAGAGGCTCAGTGGTTTAGATCAGTGGTTAGATCCCCCCATGCTTAGCTGTGTGGAAATCCCACTGAATTTAGTGAGCTAAATAAATGTGCTTAAGACTGCACTATATGTCCATCTATCTCAGAAATTAACACATTGTGGCCCACCACAAACTGAATTTCAACTCCCAATTGCCACACTCCTTTTAGTTGGGGCTGTGGGAATCTGGAGAGTCACAGGTCCCCCCCCACCACTCTGTACTAAAAGTAATTGCAAAATTACAATTACAAACTGTCATTACAAACCAAAGAAAATGCTGTATTTTGTCTTATCTCAACCCTTAACCCGGGACAAACTTGTACAAACCTTTTTAACTTTCTGTAGGTCTGTTATTTTGGGGAGGTCTGCTAAGGGGACTTGCTGGCCTTCCACTTGACGTATTACATCATCCAGATTCACGGTTTTCTCTTGGTCTTCAACCAGAACAACGAGTACGGCAGTGTCACTGTCGGAAATGCCAAACTTTCTGAAGGCATCTGAAATCTAAAACACAGAATTGTGTGTTCTTATGTACGTCAATCACATCCTAGCAATCCAAAGCATCTCACAAAACATATTTTCCCATTTATTTGGTTCCAAAGCTCTGAAAAGATTAAATTAGTTGTTAAGTGAAATGTTAACTATCTCACAAGATAAATACTTACAACAAATGTGGGCATATTTTATCATAGGCAGTTTAATATTCATTCATGTGTTTTCAAGTCACTATATGAGGGACATGCAGAGGATTTTAATGTCAGATTTAAAGAATGATAAGCTGTGTCAAAGCAAGGGATGGGCAAGAGTGGTATAAACTTCCTGTATGGTTATGGGACTTCTAAGACTCTTAGTTGACACATTCTACATGTATGTTGAGATCCTGGTGGTGTAAATACTGTACATGATAACCTCTGGTTGGTTTTTGTTCTAATATTACTGCAGGAAGAGTCTGGAGGAAGCCCAGGACACATTGCATGTGTGGGCTGTAGAGCAGACCTGCACAACTTGTAAGCAATCAAACAAAATACTATCAACCAGAAACTCAATTCTCCAGTGTTTTTGCTACCCACCCAGGTCTGCAAGAACAAGAAAGGGAGCCAACAAGGCAAAATACATGGCTGGGTTATTTTTTCCTGGGTTGATGGGGCTGTCACATAGTGTCCAGGCCTGTACAGGAAAGCCTGCCTTCTTATAGGTCAGACCTCTGTGAGGATTCCCAAGCCAAAAGAAGAGCCAGAGAACCAAGAACACGGTTTCCCACAGTGCTTGTTTACTGGGGTAGGGGCAGATTATAGTAGACAATCAGAGGCAGTTCCTGAATGGGAACGAAAAAAATTAGTATCCATAAAATTAGTATTCAGATTACATATTTTATGAACTCAGTATAAGGGCAGCAGTTGTGAAGCCTAAGACTGAATGCTTTGTTAAGACCTTGTTTCAGTCTTGCAGAGACGAGGGTGGCTTAATAAGAGGGTATGTGTGCAGGCAAACTGATGGTCAGGAAATATTTTGTGTGGTGAATAATACACATAACACCTTTCAATTAGCAGCCTTCTTCGGGGACAAGCAAATCTTATTTCACTGTTAGGAGTCAGGAGGTCCTGCTCAAATTCATTTGAGTCAGGAGGTCCTGCTCAAATTCTTCCCGTAGGCACCTGTTTGGCCACTATGAGGCCAGAATACTGGACTAGATGGGCCTTTTGGCTTGATCTGGCAGGGCTCTTATTGCAAAAAAAGAAAAAAAAATCAGAGCATGCTGTAGGACGCCATCTTACATTGTTGTTCGGGGAAAGGTTGAATATTATTTCAGCGTTAAGAGTTCTTGTCTTCATTTTATCGATCTTGTGGAGATGTACAGCTTTATTCGTTGCCACGAGTAACTGAAATGGATCAACAATCTGCCAAAAAATACAGAATAAAGTTTGGTTTCCAGGGATAGGCCTCAAAATAGACCCACTGCTTTCCTTAGCTCAACAAGGAAAAATATACTTTAGAAATGGCAAAGAGCCTGTTATGCCATCAATTAAATGTTGAAACAAGGAGAAGGAGGGGGGGCAATTCCACACATTGTAAATAACTTTGGTCTATCACTAAAACCATGTCTGAGGTCTAAACATACAGTAGTAACAGTATGTTGTAAATAAAAATATGCCCTTTTCCCTTATTGGGTATCCAAGAGCCCATATAGAGTCCTTACATAGGTTCCCATATATCTAAAACCATAAAATTCCTATCACAAGTACAAGTAGATATTTAAATGAAAATTAAATTCACACATCACATTTCTACCAGGGGAAACTGGAATCCTATTAATACAGCTCTCACTATCTTGTAAAGAATCAGAAAAAAGCCTTTTGCAGAGAGTATAGCAGTATAACGAGAAGAAACAAAGAAGAAAAAATCGTGAGAAAATGTGGATAAACATTTTGAAAACCTGAGGAAAGTGAAAACTTTTCTAAAGCTCTTCTCTCACCCAGATGTGAAATTTCTATTTTGCAGTTTTTTTAAAAAATGAGAAACTGATCTAGCATATTCAAAATGGTTTAATATGAGGACAAATAAACCAAAGTCCAAATAAGAAGCAAAAATACAGCCAGTAGGGCAGTGCTTCTCAAACAGTGGTTTTGGGCCACTTTCAAGCAGCCATCAGCATCAAAGCATATCCAGTATTTCCTCATTTGTCTGCTCTACTCACTAGCCATGCCAGCACAGCAGTTCCCTGCAAAGACATCTGGGAGACAGAGGGAGCCATAGAGATCAAACACGGTTGGCTTGAACCAAGGATGGGTAGAGAACGAACACACCCATTAAAGTCCCCTTTCATTTTACTTTGTGTTCTGCAAAGCACGATGTTTCTTGGACTCAGGAAAGTTGCTACAGAAAGGGCAGAGCGCCCCGGTAAATGTTCCATCCCTTCTCTCATACAACCTTTCACAAGTTTCCTGAAAAATCTGTACCTTTGTCCAACTGGGCACAGTTAACATTCTCGCTGACCTGCTCCTACCTGAATAGCAATCTATTGCCTTCTCCTTCAAATCTAATACAGCTCCTGAAACTCAGAATTTCACACAGGCAGGATTGCAATAGCTCTGTGAGATTTGCAAACCTTACGGTACCAAAGTAATGAATACACAAAAAAATTATTTGCTCACCATTGCAGGATTAATTAATGCTCCATCAATAGCTCCTTCCATTGCTTTTTTTCTTAGCGTGGCAGCATTTTTCACATCATTAAACAGGATAAGAGTAACAAGGCAGTCAGGAAACAGTTCCAGACGATGTGTTAAACACTGCATCTTGCAACACAGCAGTATGCTGCTTCTGAATCAGTCAGCTCTGGAACATTTATAAAAAGTGACCAATGGGTATTGTTGATACTTTTGTGTTTGCTCTTTGCCTAGTAGTTTTACTTAATTAAGCTTAAGGCTACATTCCAGAGACGTTTCAAAAGTTGTCAAGTCTGCACAAGATTAGTATGAACTTGGCCTAGTGACCGTGTTCCATGTCAGCAGCTGGAAAAACCGAACTACTTTGAAAAGTTTATGCTCTAAATTTATTCTGATTTAAGCAGTCTGATCTTGTAAGTATAAAGGGTTTATGTGGCCTGTCATTCTTCGACAAAGACACAGTGCAAAAATGCAAGACGTGCATCAGCTTTGGGAATATCGCTCATACTAATTTTTATAGTTATATTGAGCTTTTCTGCTTTAAACAACAATGTAAGACTCGTACCCTCTCATTGTGCAGAAGTACAATACATACATGACTTTCACGGCCAAACCAGCATTTAAAAACACGTTGCATTTCAGTGTTTATACATTTTGGCTCAGCCAGTCATTATCTGGAGTTGTCGTTGACCCATTCTCTGGAAAACCCTACAGAAGCTGGATTCCAACAGCCATACTGTGTTTTTGCAAAAGGCAGCCTAAGTTGTTATCACTGCTTTTTTTCTTTTCCAAACCATACACAAAGTGACAGCAGATCCACCCCACCCCCCCGAGTTCTCTGCAATGTGCAGGGACTTTTGTGCTGGACAGCGTCTGTTCACAGAGTGAACTGGTGCATAGTGTTTCTTTTTTAAAAAATCTACAAAATTCCGTAGAAATGTTATTGCTTAGAATAAGAGACACGCATTATGGAAAGAGCGTTCAGGAGTGATGGGTCAAATGAAATATGCTCCTCCCGCCCTCTCTCTCTCTCTCACCCACCCCCATCAGTAAGCTTAAAAAATGTTTCCAAATGTGTTTTTGAACTTTTCACTTGACAAAGGGATGATTCTGATGCAATCTTTGCTATTAATGGGCAATCTTTGCTGTCAATGGGGTCACTTTTTAAATAAATTCCATAAATGAATACCTTTAGCACTAGTGATCCAATTAATTTTTCCGAGATGATCCTGTGCGTAGGATCAGTGAGTCACCGTTGGTCCTGTGCAGAAGCAGATAAGCAAAAACAACAAAATAAGATCTTAATAGACAATTATATTTCTACTACATATGTGTGCACAGCCAAGGGGTGGGACAGAAGGGTCTTTTGGGCTGTGGCCTCACAGGGGGCCTCAAATTTAGACCCTTGTTAATATTCTGGCATTTAACAATTTCTGCAACTCCCCCCGCCCCCGCACATCAGATCAAAATGCATAGAACCTCAATATTCAGGGACAGTCTACCTCTGATTAAAGTCACTGGCTGGCTGACGACAGGAAAAGGATGTTCGCTCTCAAACCTCCTTAGGGATGTCGTAAGGAAAAGTGGGGCATTCAAAGTTCAAATTGAAAAGTGTGATGGCTTCTGTAAATCCCTTGAAAACAGGAACCTTTGGGAGTGCTATAGGAATGCTAAGATCTCAAATATAGAATAAATGTTGATGAATGCACAAGGTAAACACACATACATAAGTATACGAACCATGTGTCTAAAATAGTACAGGAGGGCAATCCAAAAGCCATCTTGGCTCTCCTAAAGACTGCAAATATTTCCTCTGCCTCTTTAATCCCCCTTAACTGAGAACAGGTAAGCAGATAGCCATCAGGGGAAGTTCCTGAAGGGATTCATCTCCTATATCTATGAACCTCCTTTGTAGTAATTGTCATTGTTTGCCCAGATTGAGGGATGCCTGACAGGCCTCCTGATGGTTTTATCAAATGCTAATGTTTTTGTGTAAACTGGAACTATGTAAAACTTGCCAAATCCTGAGGATTTGCCACAGTAACCCCACCTTGGGTGGGATGTAATTTCTGACTGTTTGTAGAGGGGATGTCCTTCTTCTCCAGCCAAAATGCAAACCCTGAAAAGAAACGTTCTGGGTCTCTTTCGCCTCCTTGCTACATCCGCCTTGGTTTCCACTGGATCCTGCCTCCATCCATTCATCTCTGACCGATCCTGGACTTAGGGGTCCCTGGGGAGTTGGGGAGCAAAAGCCAACCACCCCTATTTTTGCCTATATCAGGAGGGTCTGCAATCTGCACACAGGGAGCTCACATGTGACAAGTCCCAGCAAAGGAAAAATGGATACAAAAACTTATGGAATATGCAGAAATGGGGTAAAACTTACCGGAAGAATAAGAAATCGAGATAACATTTTTTTAAAAAAATAAAAGAATGGAAATGCTTTACTGAATATTTACAGACTAATAATAATAATTTTTATTATTTATACCCCATCCATCTGACTGGGTAACAGATAAAAACATTTGGCAGGATTACTGTAACAACCTGCTGTTTCATAAGGGTATATATTTAAAGAAGATGAATAAATGAGCACATTGAGTTAATTTGCAATACACGGAAGATATTAAAAATAAAGTTATGGAGCCGCAGAAAGAGGGGGAAAGAAGTCCAAGTTTTGAAATGTCAAAAGGACTGTAAAATGAGTGAAATGTATAAAGCTGGTGAAATGTATAACCTTGAAAGTATAAATAATTTTTTAAAAAGAAAGGATTGTAAAATGAGTGAAAGGTATAAAAATGGGTGAAATGCGTAAACTTGAAAAGTATTTTTTAAAAATATTATTTTTCAAAGCTCACACGCGACACGGAAGCCGTTGCACAAAGTGTGGCAATAACACACACACACACACACACACACACAGCCTTTCAAGGCGAGCTTAGAAAAAAAGGGAGATATTCGCCAAGCGCCCGGCCTGGCTCTCGGAGGAGGGGCGGAGAGGGTCCCCGGCAGCCCCTTCCCCGCAAGGCTCGGCTTGAAGCAGCGGCTTCCCCCGCCTGAGAGGACAACGCCGAGCCGGGGGTTGGGCGGCCGCGCGAGGCAGCAGCGCCTCAGGCTTACCGGGCTCGCCTTCTCCTGAGGCGGGCTTCGCGTTTCTTGCCCGGTTCCCCTCCCGACCCCCGGCGCCAGCAATGGAGCGCTCCGAGGCCTACTACTTCTCGGCGGCGCTCAGCTGCGCCTTCCTCGCCTCGTGCCTGCTCTTCTCGGCGCTCAACCGACAGCAACGCTCGCCCTACATGGACGAGGCCTTCCACGTCCCTCAGGCGCACGCCTACTGCGAGGGGCGCTTCCAGCAGGTAGGTAGGCCGCGCGAGCCGCGGGGATAACCGAACCGCCTCTCTTTGCCACGGCCGCCTTCCTCGCCCTCTTTTATCCCCGGCGACTAAAAGGGTTTGTTCAGGGGTGGCTAGGTCCAGGGGGGGCGCGCCGGGCCGCAGCTGGACTACAACTCCCATCATCCCTCTGCGTGGCTCTTGATGGCGGGGGTTGATGGGAGATGGAGTCCGACGAGCCCCCCCCCTACTTTCACCTGCTCTTAAGACGCCCGCCTTGAGTCAAAGCAGAGGGGTAGTTTGTCGGATCTTGTAGGTTTTAAACCTCACGCACGTACCTTTCCATTTATGATTTGCAGGGCATCTGTCAAGGGGTGCAGGGAAGCCTATGCTTAATAATAATAATAATAATTTCATTATGTATACCCCGCCCATCTGGCTAGGTTTCCTCAGCCACTCTGGGCTGCTTACAGCACATTAAAAAATTGTCAAGTATTGGATATTAAAAATTTCCCGATACAGGGTTGCTTTTAATGTTTAATAGACTATTGTATTTTTGTGTTTTGTTGGAAGCCGCCCAGAGTGGCTGGGGAAACTCAGCCAGATGGGCAGGGTATAAATAAATTATTATTATTATTATTATTACTACTACTACTACTACTCAAGCCCTGCAAATCCGAATTTGGCCATCAGGGTTTAGAACTAGGGTTGCCACTTTTGTTCTGGCAAAATACAGGGCGGGGCGGGGTGGGGCAGTTGGGTGATTATCAGTGCTTTTTTCCCTTAAAAAATGTTTAGGGATACTCTCATTTTCATACTGATATTGAAATATTGTCCCTCAATGAGGCCAAACTTAGATTCACAAAATGTTTAAGGGTATGCATCCCCCCAGAAAAAAGCACTGGTGATGATGATGATGGTGATTTTCCTCCCCTAAGTGACTTCAAAGCAATCCATTGCCATCTATTGCAGCCTTTTAGGGTGGCCCGTCTGGAATTTGTCGCATGCACACACATACACATGAATTTGTAGATCTGTCCGTGCTTAAATGCACAGCTTTTCAAACATGTGCCTTGGGAGAGGATCTCTAACTTGGCAAAGAGAGGGGAAGACCTGAAATGCAGGACAAAACTGTTACTGATACAGGACGTAGAATTTTACATTGAAATATGGGGCAATCCTGTACTATACAAGACAGGTGGCGAAGGACAACTTCTGTTATACAGCGATAAGATCTAAATCATGTGTGTAAATGGGCTGCTTTCAGTCTGCGAAGCTCTTCATGTGTTTCACTTTCCCAACGGCACCGCAAGGTCTTGATGGTGCCCAGTTGTCCTCCCAGAATTCTGATTTTTAAGATAAGCGCTGGGGCTCAAAGTGCCCCCAAACTGTACCCTTTGATAGTCCACCCCCAATTCCAACCCTAATTAGTGAGGAATTGTACAATGCAATCTGCTCACATTCAGAGACTCCTCCCTTTATAAAAATCAATTTACATGTTTCCCGTCTGAGCCCTGGCATGGGAAACAGATTCTGGAGCTGCATCGGTGCTGCAATTGCAGTTCCTCAGACGCTCCATTTCCCCCCTTTATTTGTGCAGCCCAAGGGATTACAGTCCTAATCTTTCTAAATCCTTCCCTGTCCACTTTACTCTCCCCCTCAACTATCCCCAGTAAGTCTGCAGCAGCAATCTGTGCGCATCATACATGAACATCGAAGCAGAGCGCATTAACAACACAATTCTATACATGGGTACTTAGAAGTAAATCCCATTGAGTTCAATTGGGCTTACTCCAAAGTAAGTGATACAGGATTGTTGTATGAGGCAAAATTCCTGCCTACAGTTATTTCTAAGACGCAGTTAATTTATACATAGGGTCCACTTACAAGCCTTCCTTCAGAAATAATAGCATAATTTCAGTGGCAGCTTACTTATAAAAAGGTATATGCGCTTAAAAATGGTATATACTTTCATTAAATGGAATATGAAACATCACTCAGATCTTGCTTCACATCCAGTGACTATTCCCACGCAAGTTGCCATTTTCCTAATCTAAGTAGCAATGGGTAATAAATAGAATAATCGTTAGACTGCACAAGTTCTTCTCACCAAAACAGAATGTCTAGTTGCCATATGGGGGCAAGACAGCTCTAAAGTCATATTTTTCAAAAAAGATTGGCTGACTGCGATTGATTATCCGTTAAGCATCTGGCTAGTTCTGATGAAACCTTGAGCTAGGTTAAGAACTTTGGGAACTTAAAGAAGAAAATTCACGTTATCCAGGGACAGTCCACATATATATTGGCCCATTCCTACCTGTTATGATCAATTGTGATCAGTTGATCAGCGCTGAGAGGGAACCCTGCTTGCAAAGGAACAATGAGGACCTCACCTTATGCAGCCAGTTGCTAGCTGCACCCATACCTGCATCACACGTGACATCATATATATGATGCCGGCTGTGGGGCAGAGTGGCAGCTTGTGGGAACTGGCCTCAAGTGTCAAATTCGGACCTGTGCCAGCCTAGTTAGGCCAGCTGGCTGGCAGTTCCCCATTGCTGCCCAAATAGCTTTTATGCAGGGATTAGCACATATAACTTTTCTAGCCTGTTGCGACTGTTTGGCAGTAAGCATGCAGTGGTGCAGAGATCGGCTTTACATGGACTTAGCGGTTGGGATAGTCAGAAAGGGACAAATTTTTATGTCAGGAAAAAACACACTAGATTCTTGGCTAGCGGTTCAGAATGAGCTATCAGAGACGTTTCAGAAATGAAACCCAGTTGCCTATATGAGACAGCTAAGAGGATGCAAGGGCCAGTTCACCCATAACACTAGATCATGATTTGGAAACAAGGCTTAATTTGTAATTTCCCAGTTTGTACCCAGCACTGTTTGGCATTAAGGGTTAGCCAACTCATATAGTTGAATATTGACATATCAAATTGTATAGCATACAGTGGTACCTTGGGTTACATATTCTTCAGGTTACATACGCTTCAGGTTACAGACTCCGCTAACCCAGAAATAGTAGAAGAAGAAGAAGAGTTTGGATTTGATATCCCGCCTTTCACTCCCTTTAAGGAGTCTCAAAGCGGCTAACATTCTCCTTTCCCTTCCTCCCCCACAACAAACACTCTGTGAGGTGAGTGGGGCTGAGAGACTTCAAAGAAGTGTGACTGGCCCAAGGTCACCCAGCAGCTGCAGGTGGAGGAGCGGAGACGCGAACCCGGTTCCCCAGATTACGAGACTACCACTCTTAACCACTACACCACACTGGCTACCTCAGATTAAGAACTTTGCTTCAGGATGAGAACAGAAATCGTGCTCTGGTGGCGTGGCGGCAGCGGGAGGCCCATTAGCTAAAGTGGTGCTTCAGGTTAAGAACAGTTTCAGGTTAAGAACGGACCTCCGGAACGAATTAAGTACTTAACCTGAGGTACCACTGTATAAGAATCAGCTAAATGGAATTCAGTTAAGAAGGAACTTCGTCTTCTGTTTAAACAAAAATTCTAAAACATGACTTCGGCAGACTGCGTCCTTAGCAAAAAAAAAGTGACACATATGACGTGCATTTCATTTTCGAAACTGCCAATGTAATGTGAATCAGGGATTTTCATCTCTCTCCCAAGATGATTAAATTTCCCATATACCTGGAACACTAATTTCTGCACAGGGAGATGTACAAATCTCTGTTTCTCAAAATAATAATAATAATAATAATAATAATAATAATAATATACATGGGAATAACAGAAAGAGGAAGCAGGAGTTTAATTGAATTCATTAATTTTGCATTCTGTTTTTCTAATTATAAAAACACATTTCTGAGCTGTTTAATTTTATTGTCTTTCTGTTCTCTCTTTTTGCAGTGGGACCCCATGATTACTACACTTCCTGGTTTATATTTGGTGTCAGTTGGAATTGTGAAACCTGCAGCGTGGCTCTTTGGGTGGTCTGGAAGCATAGTCTGCTCTACAGGAATGCTCAGATTCATCAATCTTCTGTTCAGCATTGGGAACTTCTATTTACTATATTTGCTTTTTTGCAGGATGCACCATAAAAAGGTACAGTGCAAATGTATCACACTTAAAAGAGTGTCATTCCTATACACAGTAGCACCATTAATGTGTCAGAGGCTTGGCAAAACTCTGAACTCTTCCATTATGATGTAGCTGCATTTTATTCTGTTTCTGCAATAACATTTGGATCTTCCCAGCATCTTAGATTATGTTGCCTTCCTGTTTTTCTAAAAGCAAGTACTTTTAGAAGCTTTTTGCGCACGTGGCAAGCAAAGACTTATGCATGTGCTTAATATTACACCTGTGACTACAAGTCACATTGGTCTTTCATAGGCTTGTAATGCAGTCATAAGGACTTTTTAAGGATTTTTGGAGGGTTTACACTATGTTATGTTCAGGATCTTAGCAATATCCATTTTGGGTGCAATCCTATACAAGTCTACTCAGAAGTAAGAGCCATGTAGTCCCAGGTAAGTGTTTATGGGAATCCAGTCTTACTCTTGATGGGTCATTTGGTCAGAAATGTGGTTTTACTAGGGTTGCAGCGCTTGGTAGATTAATTGGTTAGGATTAACCAGTTAAAAAATAATAGTAAGCGAAAAAGTTATCCCCTTCCATTAATCAGGCAACGTATTTTTTAAAAGAAAAAATATGGTTCTAAATTTTAACCTCATTGAAGTCAGTGGGATTAATTAATTTTATAATGAATGATTTTAGAGTGTTGTTTGTGCTGTACTTTTGTACTGTTTTATTGTTGTTAGCCGCCCTGAGCCCGGCTTCGGCTGGGGAGGGTGGGATATAAATAAAATTTATTATTATTATTATTACTATTATTATTAAGCACACCCAATTCTCTGTTAGATTTAGGCCATTATTTTTAAAATACAAATGCTTATATAAACTGCAAATTACAAACACCCTCTTAGAACAGGGATTCTTTGTGCCTGTGAGAGAAAAGGAAATCCTTTTTTTTTTTAAGAGAATGCCTAATGTTACATATGTGAGACCTCCAGGTATAGGACAGTATATAAATTCAAAGGAGGAGGAGGAGGAGTGGTGCATCACTTAAAAACAAAAAAGCATGCTTCTTGCTTCAGAAGTATTGTTTTTATCAATGCATGATTTTAATCAGAACATTAATCAAGTGACATGCACTTGATTAAAGATGATTTAACTTATTTAATCAGTTGGCAGTTCTGTTTTTAGCAGTTGAAATCCTGGAAGTTACCTTAAAACAAAATGGTTTGCGACAAATGATTTGAGATGCCTGTCCAATTCGGTGGTGTTTGCGCAAACGAAGTTTCCAGTGGTTGTCCATTTTGTTATTAATTCATAACGGAAGCAACAGTCCTAATTATTATTTTTCTTCGCCCTTTCTAGGCTGCCTCTGGATTCCAGAGAATTCTGTCAACCTTGACGCTCGCAGCATTTCCAACTCTTTATTTTTTTACGTTCCTTTATTATACCGACACAGGCTCAACCTTTTTCACTCTCTTTGCTTATTTAATGTGCCTTTACGGCAATCATAAAACGTCGGCCCTGCTTGGGTTCTGCGGCTTCATGTTTCGTCAGACCAACATTGTATGGACTGTGTTCTGCGGAGGAAGTGTCGTTGCACAAAAACTAAGCGAGGCCTGGAAGGCAGAGCTGTCGAAAAGCAAAGAGCAGAAGAACTCGCCTGCGAAGGGATCCTTTTCAGAACTCATCAAACTCTTCAGGTTTCTCCAGGCCTACCTCATGTCACTTAAAAACCTAACCACTCTCTTTCTCTTGACATGGCCGTACATCATGATGGCGCTGGTTTTCTTCACTTTTGTGGTCCTCAATGGCGGCATTGTCGTTGGCGACAGGAGCAGCCATGAAGCCTGTCTGCATTTCCCCCAGCTTTTCTACTTCCTTTCTTTTACTCTTGTTTTTTCCTTTCCTCACCTAGTAACCCCAGGCAAAATGGTCAGTTTTCTCCGTTCCGTCCAGAAGCATTTTTTGCGATACAGCATCCTCACCACCGTCTCTCTATTCCTCGTCTGGAAGTTTACGTTTGCTCACAAATACTTGCTTGCAGACAACAGGCATTACACATTTTACATATGGAGAAAGATCTTCCAAAGACACGAACTGGTGAAGTACATATTAGTTCCAGTCTATATATTTGCTGGCTGGAGTTTTACGGATGCACTGAAATCAAAATCTGTTTTCTGGAATTTGGTATATTTTTTATGTTTGTTTGTTGTCACAGTTCCCCAGAAGCTGTTAGAGTTCCGTTACTTCATTTTGCCATATATCATATACAGGCTGAATATTCCTGTGCCATCGCTTTCTAAACTTTTCCTGGAATTGGCTTTTTATATTTTGGTGAACGTGGTGACTTTCCATATCTTTTTGAACAAACCTTTTCAGTGGCCGAACAGCGAGGAAATCCAAAGGTTTATGTGGTAATTTTGGACGTATGGGATGACTCAATTCTAGGACTTTTCCTGCAGCAAATAAGGGTCTGCAGGCTTTGAAACTCTACCAAGGAAAAAAGAAACATTCTGGATGTCTGTAACTGGCAGTGAATGTGAAATCTGATGCACTGTTTTTGCAGATATTGAAAAGCCATTTTTATACAGTTAAAATCCTGGGAATTAATAAATATAAGATCAGGGAAATTAAACCACAAAAAACTAATGTGAATAAATTTGTTTACATCATGCTTGCTATGTTGCAGGGGCTATAAATCTGGGATGCTTTCAGTAGATCTATGTGTGTTCCTAGCTGTATGCAATGAAAAAATGGAAAACAGTGGCATAGCTTAAGTCCAATAGGCTAATTTTCGATATGGTTCGTTTACTGCAATGCGGCTCCTAAACATAGTTTTTCTTGGTGAGGATGCCTTGTTCCTGCGCTTGTGCTAACAAGAATTCAGATTTTACTACTTGGACAGCATGTCTTCTCCAAAATGGGTTGAGTCTCACATATCAATACGTTGAAGCTCATTTGCAGGAACTGTTCACCATGGAGAAATTTACGCGTGAAAGTTAGTGGATGACGATGACCTTTACTGCAACCCAAATGAACCTGGAAATGGGGTTTCAGGAATAAAATGGCAAGAATAAAGAACACTGAAATCTACTGTGGGCTCAAGGACCACAGTTGATTTACACATCATGCAATTAACCTAATCTGCATGTCACTTAACATGCCGGATGCCAGACTGAAGTTCTGATGAAAGCAATGAAGTTTAAAGTATAGCTGAGTATTTTAAGGTTGCGTTCCTATGCACACTTTCCTAAGTAAGCCCCACTGAACACAGTGGGTCTTCCTTCTGAGCATGCATAGGGTTATGCTACAAGGTTTTAAGTCTAATAACTTATCAGAAAGTTCCATTGAACCCAGTAGAGTTGTGTGTTTTTTTTAGCATAAACACCCTTAAGACTTGAGTGGTTCAACCTTCCTTGTCTCAATGCCTTGCCCAACTTTTGCGCCCACTGCATTGATTCTGCAATGTTTTGAGAATTTTGTATCCATTGAGGATGAACAGGCAAGAATTTCCAAGGGCTGCCTCCATTTGTTCGCTTTCAGTGTATGCCAGTACCCTAAACGTTGTAGAATTATCTTCCTTATTGTTTCTATGCTTGCTTTTGTTACTTTCTGCTATTTCGTAATTATGGCAGCTGGAAATTTATAGTTTCTTTTTAAAATAAAATCACGGGTTCCCCATCTCTCTCCTAAGATAGAGCAGGGTATATACATTTGCCAATCCATTCCGATAACCTTGGGCCTCCAGCTGTTTTTGGACTACAACTCCCATAATCCTCAGCTAGCAAGACCAGTGGTCAGGGATGATGGTAATTGTAGTTCGAAAACAGCTGGAGGCCCAAGGTTGGGAAACACTAGAAATGGGCTCCAAGCAGTTCTAATGTGAAATAACAGGATGAAATTTAGCAATGAAAGATTTTGAACTTTAAACCATTTCCAAGCAAATGCCATTAAATATCTACATGATAAATAATACTAAAAATATTTCAAAAAATCTGATTAACTTTAGTGGCTGATGTCCAGAGTACAGGGCTTCAGAATACAACATGAATTTTCCTTATTGGTTTAACAGGAACATCTTATGCCATGCAGGATGTGAACATTTTAAATTGAAACACAGGCCAAAAAGAATAAATTACTTAGCTTACTGGTTTAATAAAAATAAGATGCAGCTGAAGTTTCCTAATCAAGGTTCTTGGAGGAATAAACAAAGCAATAATGAGCTGTTTGTTATTGCTTTCAGCAATAACACTAATCTGCTTTTTGAGATGAGTCTTGTGGGTTTGATTGGAGTCTTTTGGAAACGCAGTTCAGAAACTCAAAAGGCAATAGTACAAAGATAACTGGCATTGTTCATTGCTTCTATTAATTGTAAATGAAATCCGCAGGGCTTCTGAAATGATGCGCACAACTTACAAAAGATTGCAAAATGAGCATCTTCCTTATTATCACGAACCTTTTAAATTTACCGTTCTTCAGCGTGCCAGTATAATTGCCGCTTGTGGTTAATACAAAGTTTTGATTCATAATTCTTCATTCCCATTCCAGCCACCACTAGGAATAGGCACTGGTGCCACAGAGCATCTCTCCATGCTGCAGAAATGCAACACCGAACTGATCCTGCAGCTTCGAGTGCTGGGGAAATCTCTTTCAATAGTTGCGTGTAGAGTAACTTTCACATATTGACTTCAGTTTCCTTCATTTTGGAGGAGTTTTCTCCTCTGGGAAAGACTCATAGCTCAGTGGGAAAGTGCATATTTTACATGCAAGTCTCAGGTTCACTTACTTATGCTTCTAATTAAGGATCCTTTTGGAGCAGTGTTGGGAAGAGGTTCCAGAAGATAACCTTTGAGAGCTGTTGCCATTCAGAGTAGTCCCTTTGGGACACTTTCTTTGGACTTTAAAAGCAGGCTATAAATCTAGGTTAGGTTAATAAGTAAGCTAAAACAGTTCCCTGTGTTAACTAGCTTTTTTGAAAGCAGAAATCCAGGAGGTGAATGAGTCCCTATGTATTATCTGCATTCTAGAAAGAACTGCACCTGTTTTTTTTCTACCTGACATGCTGAAGACACAGACAGAAGCTGTGGATAATAAGGCATGGCTGAAGTACCTTATGCTAACTATGATTTTGCAGCAAACTTCTCTATAACTTTACATAAGTTTTATATCAGAAAATGCAATTGGAAAGACATATAGCATACAATAATGTCTTAAGAAATCTATTTCAGGCTACAGTTTTTTGTCTTAAACCAAGCTGCACATTGGCATAAATCTCTCATCTCTCAAAACATAAAACCTGGGCAGAGTTTCTTAACCGAAGGTTGTGTCACACCAGCTGTTGCAAAGTCCCTTCTTTGTGGCAAATTCTTCCCCTGCTGCACTGTGACAGTATTGCACTGCGAAATGTGGACATGAATGACTATGTAAGAGGTATTGTGCACTTTTGGTAGCAAGGCCTGCCATTTTTGTGTGATGCAATTACCCTGCAGCGCAACGTGCGGGAAATTCAACCCAAAAGTAATCATAGACTTTGTCCCACACGGGGATCAAACCTGCAACCTTGGTGTTACCAGAACCATAATCTAACCAGAGCTAGGACTATCTGCATAACCCCTAGTTGAGAAATCCCCCAGGATCAATTTAATTGTTTTGCCCTGTTTTGCAAAACAGGGAGACATATTTATTCAGAATTTATCATTTTATTCAGTGTTTCGCATGAGAAGAGTGAGCAGTGTTTCTAAGGACCGGACTTGTGGCTATTTGCAGAGGAATAACTGAATTTTTATACCTTTCCCCTAACCCTTTAACAAATTAAGTGCTTGCTAATTAGAGATGCCCCCTCTTCCAGATGTTTATTGTCAGTGGTTTTAAATAGATTAAAGATATGCATTCCATAAAAAAGCCAATATAACCCTAAATTCTTTAAACAGCAAGGAAGAAATACTGGTTAACTAAATTCACACGGTGGCACTGTTGAGCTGTCTTTCCTATTCATCTGTCGAGCAGGGTTTTATTAATCTTCTTTTTAGAAATTTTATGTCACTTCTAGAGTTATTGAGGTTAAAACATTTGAAGACCATCACGTTCTGTGATTCCCCCCCCCCCCCAGTAATTTGTGTTTATCTTAGTCTAACGGTGTGTTTCAAAAATCAGCTTTTCTTAATGCATTGTGAATATTTTTTTAAAAATAGTATTTGTAGACTGCAGTGTTTAAAGCAGTAGAAATCCTGTTGAATTTCGAGAAAATTCCTGTACTTTATACTTAGGATAATCATTCTTTCACTGTGACAGGATTTATCTAGTTCTGTTACGGAAAGGAAGAGCACCGTATTGTTCAACTAGAGCAGAAGGCCTCTCTCTAAAATATTAATTATTTTTTAACGGTGGAGTAAGTTGGGCTTAAAAAAGATGTATCCTCAGAGGGCTTGGAGCCATCTGCTAGTTTGACTTTGTGTGTTAAATGTCACCTACATTCTGCTGAGGCGTGCAGAACCAAGGAGGTTGCTTCCCAGAATATGTACATCTGTCACATTTCCTTAATTCTCGACAACCACAACCTTCTTTTCTTTCTCTAGATCGTTTCCTTTTGCCAACATATCACATGGCAATAGGTTCCCAGTATGTGAAGTGGAAAAGTTATCATTGGGACGATCGCAGAATGGAAAGGCTAGGTGCAGGTCAGTCTTATCTATAGATAGTCAACTTGGTTTTGCAGTCAACTAATTCCCACCTTGGGAGGGATGCGGGGGGCGCTGTGGGTTAAACCACAGAGCCTAGGACTTGCCGATCAGAAGGTCGGCGGTTCGAATCCCCAGGATGGGGTGAGCTCCTGTTGCACGGTCCCTGCTCCTGCCAACCTAGCAGTTCGAAAACACGTCAAAAGTGCAAGTAGATAAATAGGTACCACTTCAGCGGGAAGATAAACAGCGTTTCTGTGCACTGCTCTGGTTTGCCAGAAGCGGCTTAGTCATGCTGGCCACATGACCCGGAAGCTGTACGCCGCTTCCCTCGGCCAATAAAGCGAGATGAGCGCCGCAACCCCAGAGTCGGCCACGACTGGACCTAATGGTCAGGGGTCCCTTTACCTTTACTAACTCCCACCTACTGGCATTTAGGCTTGGTAAAGCAGACGATAAATTTCTGTATTTACACTGCAACCCGTTCTAGACAATACCGAGCTAGATGGACCAATGTCCTGAAAGCTTCCTGTGTCAAAAAATGAAAAGATAAGAAAACAGTCCTGGGATTATGGGCCAGGACTTTGTGTACTTGCCTCTTGCTTGCTGGAAGGGAAGGCGAATATGTTTCTCTCTGCTGGGCACAGGAGGAAACAAAAAAAGTAAAATAGTGGGTTTGGAGAGATGCTGTGAATTGTGCCTGCAGACCATGAGTAGTGATATGACCAGGTCAACTAAGTTTGCACTAAGTATGAACCCATTTTACCTATGGGTATGCCTGATTCCTAACCACTAAAGGACAAAGTGGCTGATCAAACTGACCATAAGGTTTCTTTTCTGTGGAAATGTTTGGAGCGAGTTCTACAGAACGTTATAGAATGGCTATAACGTTATGTGGAGCTACCATGCGATAGGAAAAAGTAAGGGAATCTGATCCAACTTCTCTATTGTGTGCCGAGAAAGAAATAGTTGTGTTCTTAATGGCTTGTTGTACATTAACCTGCAGTATAGAGAGTCCTGTGTGTCTTGGCTGCTGCATTTACTTCAATGGAGAGGGCAGCTCTGTGTGTGCAAAGGGGTGTATTTGTAAAAGGGGACGCCCTTGTAGGTTGTATATTTATTGCTGTGACTGTACTGCGTACACAATCACTGGTTTAAGATGCTGCTTTGTTGGATAGTTTAGGATGCCATATAAATTGCAAGGCAAGCCATTGGAGATGTCCCTTTATAGAAAAAAAGTGGCTCTGGGACTAGGTAGCTGGTCTCAATTATGAGAATGATAGAAATACACGATATATGAAACATGAAGGGATCACTTTCATGTTAAAGATGCCAAATCAAGCCTGCTGTTGTTTGTGAGTATATAAAATAAAGCAACTGCCTCTTCATTTTTAGGAAAATTGTTGGTTTTTAAAATTGTAACCTTGTGTCCTTTTGTTACATTATACGTGTGCTTTCCCTTAATAATTTTGGAACACCCGCATTATTGTGGGTGCGATGTTATAATAAAGAATTTCACTAAGGTGGCTTGTAGTGAGGATCTTTCATTTACATGCTATTTGATTACTAAATTAATGTAGTATCATTCTTCGGCATTGTACGCACCATATGTCTGAATCGAATGGATTGATCGCAGAATATTAACAGTTTTACAGTTCATATTTCTACATCTGCCACCTTCAGTGTTTTCACTGATTAGGTGCCTTTTGCTCTAAATCTGCAGCTTTCCTGATTTTGTCTTTGATTAGCTGTCATATTTAATTGGTGGAATCTATGAAATGCTTAACACTGCATTGTCATTGTATCCCCTTACAGCTTTTAACTGTGATATGTTATTACTTTCGACAGACCATTTTTTATGTTGCTGGCCTATGACTGAGTGAAGGTTTGGGTAAGCAATCTGGTTATTTGGCCATAAAGTTTGGCCAGTGCTAGGAAACAGTGTAAGCAGATGTTCCACTTATCACCAAGCCTTCACTTTCTCATCTAGCATTCCCCATTCCTATTTTGTTGCATATATTTCTTTTTTAATCTCACAATTATCTCTGGGCATATCTCTAGTGCCACATGGATGATATCTCCTGTATCCAGGGGTTGGGTGAATCAATCAATGTTGGTTTCTCATTTTTCCAACCATAAGTTCTGTTCCCATTTCCACATCAGTTTGTGAATTGTTTTTAAAGTCCTCATGGAAATTCTTTAAACCCATCAGCTGATTTCTCCTAAGAAGATTTTCCCTAATGGAGTCATTTTTGAAAAGCGATTTTCCCCAATATAATGCATTTTTCAGCAATTTGCATACTTTATCCTAGTATGTGCATTTTGGGCACGTTCCTTGGCTATAGAATGTCATTTCTAAATTCAGAGAAGTGTAAATTTTGAGGTATGGCTGTGTTTCAGTTTGCATATTGTTTTGGAAGGTCTGAATTTGGTAGGTTTCTCTCTAAATGCGAATTTAATCCCTACCAATACCTGCATCCTTCTCTGAACATTGTCTGTCTGTCACTGCCTCCCCAGCATTTTGTGGCATCTTCTTGCAAACTGGACAGGAGCATTTTCATTGGGAGAAATGAAAGGAAATCTTAACTACATTCATTCATTCATTCATTCATTCATTCATTGAAACGTTGGTCTTTTGTCCAAAAATCTTCCAGGGAGCTGGTGCTGTTTCATACAAAGTATATTTTCTGTCCATGCAAGGATATGTAATATATGAAGTAGCAGATAAAAGGAATTAAATCCACGGGCAAGTATAAGGCATGGCAGCAATTCTTCCAGCCACAGGATTTGCAGGAACTGATGCTATTTATAACTACGGCCAACCAGTTCTTATATTACTTTCTCCCTGCAAAGGCACACAAAGAGAAGGTACAGGGCTATTTGTGGGTGAATTTGAATAAGTTTTACTCAGAGTCAACTCAGTGAAACTAATGAACATTGAAGCCTTTTTCCTAGGTATTATAGGTGAAGAGTTTCCAAGAGAAGATAAAATACTTTTTATGTATGCAACAACGGCAGTGAGAAGGCTACTAGCTCAGAGATGGAAGGAAGGAGAAATACCAACAAAAGAAAAATGGCAGATGAAACTGATGGAGTATGTGGAAATGGCGAAAATGACAGGGAGGATCCGAAACCAGGAAGATCAAGTATTTTCCAAAGACTGGAGTAAATTTGTAATTTACTTAAAAGACCACTGTAAACAGTTAAAATCTTTGGCAGGGATGTAAAGACACTTGTAATGTGGAATTGTTTTAATGGTAATTATGGTTATACAATAGTTAGATAAGGAAGGGTAAAAGATGCAGTAAATTTAATCTTAAAGATGGAACCCATGGAGGGAAGGAAGGAGGTCTAAGGGTTCGAAAGAACTCTGTATTTTAATGTTTGAAATCGCTGTTTTATATGTATATTTTTTTTAAAAAAAACTTAATAAAAATTATATATACAGACACACACACACACATACAGTGGTGCCTCGCAAGACGAAAAGAATCCGTTCTGGGAGTCTCTTCGTCTAGCGGTTTTTTCGTCTTGCGAAGCAAGCCCATTGATGGGATTAGCGGATTAGCGCTATTAGCGGCTTTTAGCGGCTTTTAGCAGCTTATCAGCTTATCAGATAAGCAGATAAGCGGCTTAGCGACTTAGAAAAAGAGGGGGAAAAGGAAAAAAAACCCCAGGAACTCGCAAGACATTTTCGTCTTGCGAAGCAAGCCCATAGCAGATTCGTTTTGCGAGGCACCTCCAAAACGGAAAACTCTTTCGTCTAGCGAGTTTTCCGTCTTGCGAGGCATTCGTCTTGCGGGGCACCACTGTATACATATACATATACATATACATATACATATACATATACATATACATATACACACATATATATATACAGTGGTACCTCGGGTTAAGTACTTAAATCGTTCCGGAGGTTCGTTCTTAACCTGAAACTGTTATAGAATCATAGAATCATAGAGTTGGAAGAGACCACAAGGGCCATCGAGTCCAACCCCCTGCCAAGCAGGAAACACCATCAGAGCACTCCTGACATATGGTTGTCAAGCCTCTGCTTAAAGACCTCCAAAGAAGGAGACTCCACCACACTCCTTGGCAGCAAATTCCACTGTCGAACAGCTCTTACTGTCAGGAAGTTCTTCCTAATGTTTAGGTGGAATCTTCTTTCTTGTAGTTTGGATCCATTGCTCCGTGTCCGCTTCTCTGGAGCAGCAGAAAACAACCTTTCTCCCTCCTCTATGTGACATCCTTTTATATATTTGAACATGGCTATCATATCACCCCTTAACCTCCTCTTCTCCAGGCTAAACATGCCCAGCTCTCTTAGCCATTCCTCATAAGGCATCGTTTCCAGGCCTTTGACCATTTTGGTTGCCCTCCTCTGGACACGTTCCAGTTTGTCAGTGTCCTTCTTGAACTGTGGTGCCCAGAACTGGACACAGTACTCCAGGTGAGGTCTGACCAGAGCAGAATACAGTGGCACTATTACTTCCCTTGATCTAGATGCTATACTCCTATTGATGCAGCCCAGAATTGCATTGGCTTTTTTAGCTGCCGCGTCACACTGTTGGCTCATGTCAAGTTTGTGGTCAACCAAGACTCCTAGATCCTTTTCACATGCACTGCTCTCAAGCCAGGTGTCACCCATCTTGTATTTGTGCCTCTCATTTTTTTTGCCCAAGTGCAATACTTTACATTTCTCCCTGTTAAAATTCATCTTGTTTGTTTTGGCCCAGTTCTCTAATCTGTCAAGGTCGTTTTGAAGTGTGATCCTGTCCTCTGGGGTGTTAGCCACCCCTCCCAATTTGGTGTCATCTGCAAATTTGATCAGGATGCCCTTGAGTCCATCATCCAAGTCGTTGATAAAAATGTTGAATAAGACCGGGCCCAAGACAGAACCCTGTGGCACCCCACTAGTCACTCTTCTCCAGGATGAAGAGGAACCATTGATGAGCACCCTTTGGGTTCGGTCAGTCAGCCAGTTACAAATCCACTGAGTGGTAGCATAGTCAAGACCACATTTTACCAGCTTCTTTACAAGAATATCATGAGGCACCTTGTCAAATGCCTTGCTGAAATCAAGGTAGGCTACATCCACTGCGTTCCCTTCATCTACCAGGCTTGTAATTCTGTCAAAAACGAGATCAGGTTAGTCTGACATGACTTATTTTTCAGAAATCCATGCTGACTATTGGTGATCACAGCATTCCTTTCTAGGTGCTCACAGACTGTTTGCTTAATGATCTGCTCCAGAATCTTCCCTGGTATTGATGTCAGACTAACTGGGCGGTAATTATTTGGGTCCTCTCTTTTCCCCTTTTTGAAAATAGGGACAACATTTGCCCTCCTCCAGTCTGCCGGGACTTTGCCTGTTCTCCAGGAATTCTCAAGATGATTGCCAGTGGTTCTGAGATCACATCTGCCAGTTCTTTTAATACTCTTGGATGCAGTTCATCTGGCCCTGGAGACTTGAATACATCTAAACTAGCCAAGTATTCTTGTACTATCTCCTTAGTTATTCTGGGCTGTGTTTCCTTTGCTGAATCATTTGCTCCAAATTCTTCAGGTCGGGCATTGTTTTCTTTATCGGAGAAGACTGAGGCAAAGAAGGCATTGAGGAGTTCAGCCCTTTCTGTGTCCCCTGTTTGCATTTCACCATCTTCTCCTCTGAGTGACCCCACTGTTTCTTTGTTCTTAACCTGAAGCACCACTTTAGCTAATGGGGCCTCCTGCTGCCGCTGCGCCGTCGCTGCGCGATTTCTGTTCTCATCCTGAAGCAACGTTCTTAACCCGAGGTACTATTTCTGGGTTAGCGGAGTCTGTAACCTGAAGCGTATGTAACTTGAAGCGTATGTAACCCGAGGTACCACTGTACACACACACACACACACACACACACATATATATATATGAGAAATTAATGAACATTACCAAGATAGGTCCATTAGTTTCAATGGGTCGACTCTTGAGTAAAACTTAGTTGAATCCCGCCCTGCGTGAACAAGCTCAAAACTGCAAGCAGAATTATGGGACGTAAACAGCAGGAGCAACTGGGATCAGTAAGATGCTGGATTTTTTCTGTCTTAGATCCCCTAAACTGCTAATTCAAAGACCATAAGAAGTTCCCCATTTAAAGGCTTATGCTGAATGCTCTTACTATGCCTGTGCTGTGTTTCCTTGAGCCAGTTACCTCTGCCCTGTGTTCATAGTGGGCTCATAGAAATTAAAATATAAAAATAAGAATACCCCGCACATATAAAGACATAATAAAACGTCAAACATTAAAAACTACCCAATACAGGGCTGCCTTCATATGTCTTCTAAAAATTGTGTAAATTCTTTATCTCCTTGACATCTGAAGGGAGGGTGTTCCACAGGGCTGATACCACAGCCAAGTAGACCTTCTGCTTTGTTCCCTGTAAATTCACTTCTTGCACACATACAGATACAACACATATGCAGCTGGCTGGCAGAGCCAAACAAATCTGGCGAGAAAAGCTGTTTTTAAAAATGAATGAATAAATAAATGTTTGTAGACATATTCCAAGCAGTGATGAATTCTATTTAACCTCTAAGGAGAAGAGAATTTTGGTCACACTCCTATTTTATGAAGCGACAAAGAAAAAACAGACTGTGTCGGTTCAAAAGCCCCAGAGAAAGATTTTAGGCTTTCTGTGTTCTGTTGAAAAATAGGAGCAATTAGGGATTACCATTTAACCCCAAGTACATGGCATTTTAGACTGCTGGTTTGTTTTGTTTCCAGGCAAGCCCTGGAACAAATGAAATTGCCATTAGGGTCAAGGGAGGACTGTTCCTGCCGACCTGCTTTTCCCTTAGACAACTCCTCTCAGTTCAGCTTTGCATTGATCCTTTTCGTTGACTCTTCCAGAAAGTACTTTCTTTTCCTTCTCGTGTTTAGCTTTAAACCTACATTCTCCGGGAATGTAACAAATGCTCCTCTTTACCTGCACAATCCTTCAGGTCTGTGCTTCTCAAAGTGTGAAGTACACTTCCTTATGCAGTCACCTCAGCTTCAGGTCACTTCAAATGTTGAGCCAGAGCCTCCTGTACTTACAGATTTGAAAATAAGGGACCAGCAGCCTTGAAAATAAGGGATCAGCAGCCAAAATAAGGGATTTTGGCTTAGCTTATACAGAAATCCAGCACTGATGGAGCCATGCTGCTTTGGCTGCGACTGACTGTGTTTTGCAGGAGGTTGGACTAGATGATCCTAAGGGTCTACGACTCCGACCAAAGAAGAGTGGCGGACAAAACTGATGAACGACGTCGAGATGGCAAAGCTTACAGGCAGAATTAGAAACCAGGAAGAGGACCTCTTTCATAAAGAAAGGGGAAAGTTTATAATTTATTTGAAAAGCTATTGTAAAGAGTTACATACATTGGTAGGATTGACAGAAAACTTGTAGTAAAAATTTGAACTATGGATGGACAAATGATTGTTAAAAATAGAGTTATGAAAGGGATGCAGAGGGGGAAATCACTACATTAAGATGCTGCACTGGTTGGAGGGTATGCTAAGCAGCACGTCGGGGCTGCCGTCATCCTGGCGCGAGGAGTTCCATCGGCCCTTCCCCACCAGAGAGGGAGAGAGACTCTCACCCACACTACCTGCGAGCCCAGCATGAGGCGGTTGCGACGCCATGGCGGCCACTAAAGCATCCCTTCTGCATCCCTCCTCCTCCTCCTCCCTCAGGCTGCCTCTTTAGCCTCCGCCGCCACCTCCAGCTTCCCCTGGCAGCGCGGCGGAAGTCTCACAAGACCCCTGGACCCTGGGCAGGAAAGTATGCGCTTCAATGCATAGCGTATAAATGGCATATGTAAAAATGGAAGCCCATCACAGCAGTCAGAATGCATTCGGGTTTAGATTCCCTGCCAAACTCTTCCCTGTCGAGACTTGAAACCTTTCCAGTTGTATCCGTGCATATCTGTGATGACGGCAGCTGTCTGAAAATGGGATATCAAAAGTTGGTTCTTGTAGTCAGCATTCTTCTTTTCCGCAAATAGGTTTAAAGGATTTGTGACTGCATTCGGCGCGATGGCTTTCCTGTGACTGATTCTCTCTGATGGCTTTTTAAAGCTGTCTCTCTGAAACACACATTTT